CATCGCAGATTAAGTAAATAAAAAGTCAAACGTAAACAGGCTTTGACACGTAATTCAATGGGGGAGCTAAGGTTGCCAAACTTAGTGCCGCGTGCGCGCAATTACACGTTCGTTCCAGTTCCAATATTTTAAGTGCTTGCTGAAGGTCTCTATTGATCACGGTGTATAACCCAAACGCTCCTACATGCACGACGGAGCGTTACATTTACGCGGAAACGCTCCGGAGCGAAATAAAATGGCGGCTAATGAAGATTCCACTATGACCGTAAGTATTGTTTCTCTCGTTTCTCTTACATATCATATGTTATGGTGAAATATTATGTACCATTCGATGAACAATACCGTGAGCAAAGATCTTATTCAACTTCTGGTGGTAAACTGTTATTTGCTTGATCAAAGCTCCGTAGTGTAGATCGAACGAATCTGAAGATGACGTTTTGACCACAAATTACGAATTAAACTAGTATTTCTATGAAAACGTTAATCTTTCTGTTAAAGTAGTAGATCACAAACTCGTATATTCTCATTTCCTAAAATCCCAGTCCAAATCCATTACTTGTTCTCGAGAAATCGCTTGTTTTCCTCGAAACGCTCCGTCGATTTAGAACACAATTTTAGAAACGCTCTTACCATTTTGTTTTGATATCATTTTCAGATTATTAGAGCAGAGTCCCGAATCGAATCTATCTCTTAAAAACGTGTTGTACTTGTTAGGCAAATTGAAACATCTGAACCTGGTGGTGCTAAACGTGCAACTAGCTGATTTAAGCCTATACATTAGATGATGTCATGCCTACATATGTGCTAAATCATAATACTATAGAAAAAACGAAAATTTATATGTGAATTAATCTTTCTTCTATTGATGCCAAGGGGTATAATGGATCTTTTCTTTCTCTTCCTGAAAAGGAAAGGCAAGCTATATATTTCCTAAACTGATCTAGACTACCGGAGCGTTTCCAGTTCACTGTGTTAATCAGATCGGAGCGTTTCTTGAATATGAGAATGTCATCATTTTTAAGACTGGATTTTCGGTCATCAAATCAGTATTACGATAATGTATGGTGCGTTGAAGCATTGGAATTTGACTAAAATATACGTTGGTGCTCTAATCTCGGCTCACATGTATCGACAAAAGGGGTTTTGACCGGTAGAATGACAAATACGTTTTTGAATTTTGATAACTATACTGCTTCGTATAGCTCTTCCTAATTGCTTCAAACTTCAATAGCCAGCCACGTACAACATGAATATCACACCCATCGAATGTTATACTCGAAATATGTAACTCATACCTCTTATTCCCATTATTGGGGAAATCGTCAGACGGCTCATCATTCCCGCCAGCCAGTTTTCCTACTCCGGAGCGTTTCTTTGTTTAATTTCAGTAATGAAACGCTCCGTCGTGCATGTAGGAGCGTTTGGGTTATACACCGTGTTGATTAGAGGTTTCGGCTTGACTTGAAATTCACTTTACTTGTCGATAACATAGTGCTACGAATACAAAAAATCGTTAATTGAATGCGACTGGTAAGTAAGCATTATAAACTATTTTTAGAAAAAAATGACACTATTTGTTTCGTAGAAAGGCGTAAAAAGCACCTCCATCTGCCCATTGTACTAAAATGTATGCCATCATATTTGAATGTCAATCACGAACGTCAAACAAAATTAAAAACAAGATAATACGAGATCTAGTGTAGGTATTGGCTAAAATTGTTCAAGTATATTTGGACTGATGGCATTTACACACTCAGTTCAGTAAAATCCGTATACATCTGAAATAAAAACTAAATACACTTTACCTCTCATTAATTAAAATCTTTTTGATAATTAGGGTTACTATGGTAACCAAATATCGCGTAGTGTTAAGTGTCTATTGATGCCTAACAAATGGTGCAAGGTGGGAACTCCATTGACTTTACATTGCATGCGACCTCATGGGACTTCGCGAGACTCGAAGAGGCCATCCTCCGAACGCAGTGCTCCAGACATCATCAACTATATTCATTCCGAGGAGGTACAAGTTCTGAAGGCCTGTGTTCGGAGGATGCGAAGAGGGAAGGTTGGGCTTAACAAGTGGGACTTTGCTCCATTGGTGTATGTTGGGCTTTAGATACACGTTCGTTCGACCTGTTTGCGTACGTGTATTTTCATGTTCATCTACTAGTTTTGAACAGGGCACACAGTAAAAAATATCGCATTTTTATCAAAAGTTTCAAAATGGCCAAGTATAACCAGATGTTGAAACTACAGTGTAGTCTGCTCTTGCATTTGTAAAAAATTCATGTTGAGGTTCAAATTATTTGGATCAAACATCACTATCACGTTATTTCCAATTTTATGAGTTTCAAATAATGGCATTACGTTACACTTCAATTACAAAACAATCTACATGTAATAACTTTCAACTTGCAAAAAGATGAACAACTTACAGTAAAAACCTGTTTAAGTGAACACATTTGGAACCTCTAAAAAGTGGTAACCACTTCATATTCACTTTCTTTCACTATTAATTTAATTCACTATTAATTCAATTTATTATTTACTTTTAGTCACGGGACTCTGAAACTTACTTACTGAGGTGTTCTACCAGGGTTTGCTATAAGTTTCTTCATGGAATTTTCTTTCATTACAAGTTTTTCAAGATACATGAATTAAATAAAAGCAAAATCCAACTAGAAAAACAGCAACTCAACGAAGTAGCAAATCCCACCGAACAAAACATGTTTTGATAAATAGCGGCCATATAAAATTTGAGCCAAATCCATCCACTGGTATTTAAATTATCAAAGATTATGTTTTTAAGAAACATGGTTGCCATTTTGAAATTCAGCTGTCATCTTTAGATTTCTTCTTTAGCAGAGCTCCTATGTCCCAAGGCATCAGCATATACAATTTAATCCAAATCCGTCAACTGGTACCTGAGTTATCAAGGATTACATGTTTAATGAAAAATGGCGGAGATTTCGATAAATAGCAGCCACCTTGAAAATTTCTTCTCAGGCAGAGCTCCTTTATCTCTAGGCACTAGCATATAAAATTTGAAGTAAATCCGTCCAATGGTATTTGAGTTATCAAAGATTACCTTTTTTATGAAAAATGGCAGCCATTTTGAAATTCAGCTGACGCCTTTGGAATTTCTTATGAAGCAGATCTCCTTTTTCCCTAAACATCAGCATAAATTGGAACCAAATCCATCCACTGCAACTTCTTTGTCTCAAGTCATCAGCATATAGAATTTGAACCAAATTCATCAACTGGTATTTGAGTTATCAAAGGTTACGTTCTTTTATGAAAAATGGCGGCCATTTTGAAATTTAGCTGCCATCTTGAAAATCCCTTCTCGCGCAGAGCTCCTATGTCCCTAGGCATCAGCATGTAAAATTTGAACCAAATCCATTCAATGGTATTTGAGTTATCAAAGATAACGTTTTTTACGAAAAATGGTCGCCATTTTGAAATATGGCGGCCATCTTGAAAATGTCTTCTTGAGAAAGGCTCCTTTGTACCCAGGCAACAGCATATAAAATGTGAACCAAATCCATCCACTAGTATTTGAGTTATCACAGATATATTTTTCCGAAAAATGGCCGCCATTTTGAATTTAGCGGCCATATTGAAAATTCCTTCTCGAGCAGAGGTCCTACACCCGTAAGGCATAAGCCAATAAAATTTGAATGAAATCCGTCAACTGGTATTTGAGTTATTGCCCTAACACACGAACGGACGGAAGAACGGACGGACGGGCGGCTTTTCTATATCCCCCTCGAACTTCGTTCGGTGGGATAATAAAGGAGGAAAAAATACCACTGTATGGTAACTGAGTACCTATCCCTTGTAATTGCTTTGACTATTAGTAGGGCTGCCATCGAACTCAAATGTCAGTGTCGACAGTCGAACTCTGCTGTCGAAAATATTGTCGACAATCGAACTTTCCAGGGAGAAAAAATCATCGGGAAAAAAAGAAAAATTATTTCTGTGTTGTTGGTTCGTTTTCTGGTTCATTAACACACTTTATACACTATCGGGGAAAAGCTTCATATAACTTATATTCATATTGGTATGTAATTGCCTAATATTGTTACTAAATGCCAAGTTAATAGAATATTATAGACGAAAATGGGACAAATACCTGCAATGTTTCGACCGGGATTTATTTCGACTGCTCGGGCGAAATCTCGTACAACGTCTCGCAAGAGAGAAGAGAAGTCATGAAGGGAACTTCCGGGTGAATTTATTTTTTGAAAATGAAATGAATGTGAACAATATTTCCGCAGAATACGCGCACATAACACGTTGAAATGTGTATTGAAATGTATTGGGGCCATTTGGATATTTTCAAGTAAGTATTGATATCGTTTGCTGTCGACATGACGGGAATTTTGTCGACTTCGTTGTCGAACTTGCATTTTGACTGACAAGTCGACGTTCCGACTAATGATGGCAGCCCTAACTATTAGGGAACACGATTCACAGAGAGCAAAACACGACAGCAATGCAAAATAACAAAAAATCATTGTCAAATATATTTATGAAGAGTTGATAATTTCCCTCGAAATATGATGAATTGATTATTTTAAGGCGGTATTATGGAGGGCCCTCATGACGAGAACCACCACTACATCTTTATTATGGAAATATGTTCACTAATATTTAACGAATATACGGAAAGACTGCTTCACTATACTGCCAACAATACTTACCATAGTATTATCTAGAGATTCTACTGACTTATTAAATATGAAAGAGTAAAACTTTATTAGTCCCGTCCGATATCAGTTAACCCATCCTGAATACAAATGATACTTGGAAACACAATTATTTAATAACTAGCCAACGACATCTTACATTATAACAAATACTCGATGCCGTGATTTTTCCTTCCTTGATTTCAATTGGCATTGTTAAGTCATATTACTTTGTTTGTGAACTTACATGGCAGCTTTTCCTATACAGGTCGATGAAGACGCCGTTCGTATAGAAAGGAAGGAACACGGACAGTCTATGGCATGGGCCATTTTCCACCGCTATAAAGGTCAGTTGTAAAATGGCCCGACCTAGTAACCTACATGCATATTTCTCTGTAATTAATTAAAATTGATGATTAAAGATGGCATGACACTCTAGCTCACATCAATAGCTACACAGTAGTGTCAGTCTGTCTTTTGTCACCCACACCAATATGGAACAACATCAAGGTGAAGAATTTGGTAAGTTTACTTAATTATCTTAATTTCTCATGAACCATTTTTTTTAAAAAATGGATCATAACGTACCTTAATATCTTGACAACAAATTGACATGATTCATTTGAGTGACCAAAAATGTTTTCGGGCAAAAAATGGCAGTGATCACGGGCTTGTGATTATCAATATTTGGTAGAACATTTAATCACACAGCCTAGGTCATGACCTACTGGGCCATAATCCAGTGTCATTAAAGATTAATATATACAAATTACTTATTCAAGTGCCGTTAAATAGAGTCTTGGGAATACAGAAGATGTTTAGCATATATAATATTGAGCAGGTCACATTACAAGTATACATTGCAATATTAAAATTGTTGAAATAAAGACTAGAACTTTGCAGTTTTGATATATCAGTTTGTTAGATTGTTAGATTTGGTAAATGGGGGGGGGGTATAGAATGTCTAGTATGATAGTACAACGTGATACAGTTTACAAGATCTTACTAACTATTTTAACCCCATTCCTTTTCTACTATTTTCCCTATGATAACTAGTTCTTAGGGCTAGTTTTTATTCTTTTTATATAAAAAGTAGAGTTCTGTAAAGATATGCTGAATTAAAAAGCTTGTACTTGGGCTTTATAGCAATATGAGATGAAATATTGACACTGGGAGGGGAGGGGCATTCATTCCTCAAATCATGTATTTAAACATTTATTGTGTTAAATACAATTCACTAGATTTATTAAGATAGCATAAACAGAGTTGCACTTTGGTTTTAATCCGAGCACATCCAAGCATGATAAATCTAGTAGTATGAAGTCACTTTTTGGACATATTTCATTGGTAGAGACTAATCTGTTTATCCCCCTCCGTTATTCCTTAATAATTCACTTGTTTCCTACACCATATATCCATTGTTATCCCAACAGACGTTCTGTAGAGATATAGTAAAGCCTTCAGTCTGTCAGTTGACAGATTTTCTCTATATTTGATGGAAAGATGTATATCAGCAAATAGTTTTACGCAAAAAAAGATTTGGTCAAGATGCCCACTGCTTTGAAAATTGCGGTAATTTTTTTTTCAAAAATCAGATTTTATTTTTGACCAAAGTAATATTATTGTTTGAAATTTTGGTAGTATATTCCCAACATATTTTTATTTCACATATATTCCATGCTTTTCAGCCTCAGCCCCAAGGGGGGGGGGGTTCTGGAAAACAAGAATTTACGCTGAAGTATAGCTTTATCATACTCAAATGAAAGGCAATTTAGAGTAGATTGCAAATATTGTATTGTTTTTTCTCATTCGGGCCTCTTAAAATCAAAATGGCCACCAAATTTCGCAGTAAATTTCTAATCTCTTCAAGGTATGGCTATACTATACTCAAATTGAAGGAAATTTAGAGTAGATCTCAATTATGGTATTGCTTTACTGATCCATGCATTACAAAATTAAAAATTGCTGTCAATAGCAGTAATTCATTATCACTTAGAGATATCTTCAAAGTGCCTTTACTATTCGTGCCTTTGCAACTCCTATATGGTCACCAAAATACTTAATCGGTATAAATTCTGATATATCTCATATCTGAATGTATGTTAATCAATATACGCCAATTAAATCAAGGATGGAGTAAAAATTACATTGTGATAGACAGATTCATGAATATAGTTTTCGTTGGGATTTGCTACTCCGTAGAGTTGTCGTTTTCTAGTTGCTCTTTGAAAATATAGTATACTGATAAATCAAAATTTGCATGTTCTCTTTCATTGTAATTTTGACTATACTATATATTAAGTACTTCATTTTTCTAAAAAATTATGATACACTTTTTTATATTGAAGGTGCTGAAATTCAACAACATCGAAATATATTAGAGGGTATATGTCGAGTCTGTGCAAAGAAAATAGTTACTAAAACCAAAAAGGAAACGTTTTCAAGGGAGTTATTAGTCTTGTATAATATCAACATAATAGAGGATAATCCACTTGTCCACCCTCCTTTCCTTTGCACAAGCCATAGGTGCAGTTTAAGAAGACAGAAAGAAAAGTCTGCACACAACCAACCGTACTCAACAAAAAATGCAGATTTGTTTAACTTTCAACCACATCACAATGATAATTGTACTGTATGTATACTTCAGAAAGAAAGGCAATATGTAGAACAAGATAATAATACCCATGCAAAGAGAAAACGTCTAGATCCTATAGAACTAAAAACCCTAATCGATGCCTTCTTGTTAAAGCCTGAATATGATCGTATTGCCTTTTTTGAGGCAGTTATACCAAAACTGTCAAAAACAGAGAAAAACAGATTCATAGAAATATTTGCAAGAAATGATGACTTGTCACCAGTGTATGATGAGATGAAAAAAATGTACAAATCTTTAGAGGAAATGAAGACATTTTCAAGTGAATCCCTAGTAAATTCAATGAATGACATTTCTATTGTATCATACTGCAAAGGACTTGTACCCCAAGATCGTTATTCTGCCCCCAAAATAGTTATAATTTTGGAAAGTCTGTTGTCAATGACATACCATCAATTTATAGGCCCTTTGTCATTTTTGACAAATCTGAATCTCCAAAGTGTCAATGTCAGTCCAAAATGTGCAGATATTCTGGGATCAGTAATACCGTCTGGCAAGAGAAAAACACTTGGAAATTGGTTTGACATTCAAGCGAAAAATCCACCTATTTTTCCATCAGGAGATGTCATTGTTACATTTGACAATGAACAAATTATTGGAAAATCTTGGAGCATATCCCACATGAATAAAGCTAAAGTGTCTGTCATCACAAATAAAACAGCTGCTGTAATTGAGTCCAACAAAAGTATTCAAGAGAGGAAAGATTTGAAGCCAAAATATTGGTTAAAGATTGAGGGAAATGAATCAGCTGTCAGTTCTATGACACAGGACAATGAATCTGAAAGCACAACTAAATATTTAGAGATACACCATCAAGAGCAACATCTTTACATCAACACATTTCTCTCTGACATCACCAAGGAAAGCAAAACCAGAGATGATATAGACAATAAGGTTCAACAAAATGTGAGACAAAGACTGTTCAAAACATGTACAAACTGTAATTACTTAAATGATAAAACAAAGAGAAAATGTAAGGAATGTCACGCTCCACTCACTCCACTCGTTCCGCTGACCCCTACCAATATTGACAAACAACAAAACAGAAATAAAATTGCTCAGAATAAAATCATTAAAGAAAATGATGACTCTGAAATGTACAGTCACATAAAAAGTAACCACACAAGAACAGACCGTCCAGCAATGATGGACCCAACTATGGTGAATCCAAATAGTTACGCATCTCTTGAAGCTGTAATGAGGGACATTGGAAAGGAAGCTGGTATCGAACGATATGGAGGCTCCATTCGACACTGGCTTAGTGTTTGCTGTGATGGGCTCCCATTTTCCCTATTGATAAATATGATTTTTGATCATATTACTTGTCAGTCATGCAATAAAACCATAATAGGTGAAGATGAATTCAAAATCCACTTAGAAACCGAGCATCCTATTGATGAACCAAAGTACTACAGAGAGTTCGACTGGGTCCTACTTATACCGGGAGACGGACATTACGAAATGAATTTGGTAAAATCATACGTCGAACTAATGTGGGAAGTCTGCTACAAGGAACTGGTAAGGATGCTAGGATGGCGCTCAGATGCTGCACTTGTAAGTGCCAAGAAGTGCAGAGACTACCATAAGGCGTGGCAAACCCTTATAGTATTCATTGCTGGAACATTAAAGGAAATGTTGACTACGTACAACAGAAGTCCAGTTGGTGCCGACAGTCAGAACACAACTAGTGAGGGGTTTGTCATGTTCTGTAAACAACATAGAAATCCAACCATTCGATTTATGTTTGATATGGTTTGTGAGCTGGGAATCGGAATCCTTAATCTCAGAGCAGGCATCAGACGAAATAACTGCAATGTCATTATGTCAGCCAAACGCACAACACGAAGTTTATTTCATGGACGAAACCATCCAAAGTACCAAACAATAGAAATATTTGAAAACTTCCAATATCTTTGTATGCCAGATGAGGTAAGGAAACTCATAGATGAGAACAGATCATTATCCAAGTCAGGACATAAATCAAAGGGTCAGGCCTGGGACTTTATTCTTGAAGAGGACAACCAGGAGGTGAAGAAATGGGTAAATAGGGGTGTACCATCTGAGCACATGTGGAGGAAGATATGTCGAAATGTTGATGGCTTGGACAAAATAAAACAGAATTTTCAAGAAAGCCTAATGATTGACGGAGCAAATGAGGATCTACGGTATGGAAAGCTAGATGACGCTGTTGAGGAGTGGAGATGTATATTGAGGGAAAAGGAGTTCTTCAATGAAGAGAACACCAAACTAGTTTCACTCTCTGGGGAAGAATTGGACTCTCAACTAGAAGACTTCATTGAACTTTCAGAAAAAAAACGTTCAAATCGAATTCTCGAAAAACTTGAAAAGGGAAAGCCTTGTGAGGAAAATTGGGATCATCCTGTACATGTCACAAAGGATGAGAGGGAAGAGTTTACATCATTTGAGAATAAAACTGTTAACGAAATAGATATGCTGATATTAGACACTATCACTTCCCTACCAGATGAGCTACAGCCTGAATATTGTACAACATTCAAGAAAACAATTATGAACAAGCCAAAACAGAAACACATTGAATTTTTCAACAGAGTAATAGATGAAATTGATTCAGTGGCTGATATAAACACTACAGACAGCAGTGAAATTCAAGATCTCCTTGTTGAAGGTCTTGAGAACTGGTATGTACAAATATCAAAATCATCATTTTGTATACTTTAATCAATATTACATTATATATTATATTTATTACACTCCGATGACACATAATGATTATGTAGATAGTGTTTCAACTCTCTTTGTCTACTTCTGCACTTATACTATTAACTTGCGAGTAGATACTAAAATCTTGTACTAACAAACTTCGATGCATATTATACTTAAATCTTATATAAAGCAATAATGAAGCAAATGTTGTCATAGTTAATGTGTTGTCTGATTACAGACCCTGGAATGGAACATCGCAGTGCATCATCCTTTATGAACCGTCTAATGATAGCGAGTATGGGTAAGTGATTAATACCTAAACAACAAATTTTAGATTGGCCAACCAGTTAAGATTAATCTCCAAATAGATTTGTAAGATTCGCGTTATACTATAGTTCCAAATTTCAATATTTGTATATTCCATATAATTTTATGTTCCTTACTCCATCTGGAAACCCTGTGAGGATCAAAGCATCTATTAAAGTGTATCACTATTTTAAACAAAGACCTCATCCTGAAATAAAAATGAAGGTCGTCCTAGAACCCCGAAAATAGGTTTAACAAACATGCGTGTATTGTTGTCATGCCTACTTTGGAAGAAATCCCCAGGAACCTTCATGTGAAGAATATGAAATTGTTTTTTGAAGGTATAAATCCTGATGCTGTTTCAACAACTCCCTTGTCTATGCATTCTGTTCCTGATGTAGCCATGCCCGAAGATGCCCCCTTGACACCGCCTTCAGCAGTCCAAACCATCCCGTCCATAGACAAACGAGGTAACAACTTTAAATATTAAACCAGAGATGAAAAATCGTGTTTGTTGCATCCTTCTTTCACGTTTTCTCTCATCATTAATCTTGTTTATTACAATGCCTTTGCTGGTCATGTTAATCATAATCTGTAAGTGTTACTGTTTTTCATGTTCTTTTATAATGGCATTTCCGGAATTTAAGAATCTGGAAATGTTTCTGTTTTTGATGTCCTTAGATATTGATATATATGAAATTTAAAGAATCTGACGCTATTTCAAGTACTAGTATCACCTTTCGAAATATTCTGACATTCCTGGAGAACCTTCTTTAACCACATTAACACAGGCCTAAGAACAATGAAGAATGAAATCAAAATTGTTTTTTGAAGGTATAAATCCTGATGCTGTTTCAACAACTCCCTTGTCTATGCATACTTTTCCTGATGTTGCCATGCCCGAAGATGCCCCCTTGACACCGCCCTCAGCAGTCCAAACCACTCAGTCAGAAGACAAACAAGGTAATACATGTTACATACAAAGTGTCTCAAACATTTTGGCACTGTTTTGACTAATCTGAACTAACCTTGTTTAAGTGTGAGGTTGACACTGCTCCTGGTATTAAACATGCCCATATCGAGTCTAAAATCTCTAGACATTAATAATTTTATATTAAAAAATTTGCAACATTTGTGCCAAGTTTAGTAGAGATTGGTCAAATAAGAAATAAACCCTCAAAACTTTTTTGACACCCTGTATTAAATCAGACATAAAACATATATCTGTATATAGGTGTGTTTATTGCCTACACTCTGATTTAGTGAAATGATGTGTTTGTGTTTTGTTGTTTGCCTATGTTTGTTACTACTTCCCTTTATACAGGGTGAGTCACAAAATGGTAACCCAAACAAATCTTAAATCATTCATCTTGAATGTGATTTTTGCCATATTTGGCAGAATTGCACATTTTATCTTTCATTTCACCTAGTTTCTTGAACATTAATCAAGTTTCAGTTGCACCAAATATGACTTTAAAAGACTCTGGATGACTGAGTTAATAAAATCGGTTTGGGTTACCTTTATTGGTCACCCTGTATTTGTTAGGGATATTGCCGCTATTACCAGGTTTTGCAACACTTTGTATCATAAAATGGCAATCTTATTTTCTGGTAAACTTCATAAAGAAATGGCACATCACAATAATTATAAAACCGTTGTTACTTTTTTGTTAATTTGCAGGACCAGTAAAAAGAATGAGAACTGCGTCTGGGATTGCGGCCAGAATGACACCTACGCAAGATGACAGGGAACGGTATAGAAACTGGTGCCGACAAAGAGATGACAGGATAAGAACAATTAAAAATAAACTAGAGGAGATCCGTGTCAAATATGGATGTGAATACATACTAGGGATTAAGTTTAAGGATGAACTATTGGATTTAGAGGGAGATGAAGATATGAAAAAGATTATAGATGAAAAATTCTGGAATAAAGGGAATGGTCAGTCAAAAAATAAACGTCTAAATCAATCTGGAATCAAAGTTGTTCTGCCCGATGGGTACATCTTGCCAAAAACACCTTCTAAAAGTAACTCAAGTAAAACACCATGCACCACTATTGAGCCTGATACATCACCTGCTGTTCCTTCAGGCTCGTTTCCAAACTTACGGCGCTCATTGAACAAACCAAATGCTAGTGGTGTACGTGTCAGGCTAGATGCTGTTTTAAAGGACAAACCATGATTTGGATTAAGTGCGAAAGGAACAGTATATCAATAAATATTGTCATAAACTTTAACAATTGTTTATTTTATATCTGCATAAATGACATGAAAATCTTAACAGTAATGGAATGGAGCAATTATAGTGATGAAAAGTCCTTGTTAAACTTTGTTAAAGTTGAAATTCAAATGTAGGATTTGGTCCTAGATTCTTTTTCACTAGTTCATCGAATCTCCTTAAATTGACTGGCGTCTTGAGTAGAAACTCATATGAACATTTCAGCTCTGGTCCCCCTCCTTCTATATCACGACCTCCAGCTGCTGCACCCCTCGAGAATGATGTGTTGCCATTAACCTGAATCTCAGTCTCATATGTGCTAAAAATACATTATTCAAAGTTTTCAAACTTTTGGAGATATTTTATTTTCACATTGGTGATTTGCATGCAAGTCAGGAAGTATCAGATTTAAATGGTAAAAACTTAACCAGTTAATCCAATTTTGAATTGATAAGTGTAAAAAACTATTTTTCTATTTTCAAGGTTAGCTTTTTAGTGAAATTACTTTGTGTAACATCAGGCATGAACAATTCAATTACATACTAATACTGATAATTGAACGAAAGTACAACAGTTCCACCCTCAAATTCAACAGATCAGCATAAATCCTGAATGAAAAACACTCACCATGTTATACTCTCTGTCATTCCAATATCAAGGATTTCTGCAAAAAGTCGGCAAAGATTGGCAGGGACTCTTCCCACAGTCTTTCCTGAAATATTACAAATATTTCTAAATATATATATATATATATATACCGTACAGATATATGAGCAATGCAGTGATCTCCCAAGCATAAAAGCAAGTGGGCACAGCACCCACTACTGAAAATCCATTTGTACCCATTTGAAAATAAGAAAAATCATGAAAAATTGGCATATTTTGACCAATTTTGGTCTAAATTGTGAAAATGAGAATTTTGCACCCACATGAGAAAAAATTCTGGGGAGATCACCGCAATGTATGATTTAGATCTATTTAACTTGATGCTACCTAATTCGTTAAGATTTGCTCAATTTGGTGGATTCAGGGCTAAACTTAAGTATAATCTTTGATCTAGAATTTGGTAATCTTGGTATAGCACTGAGATCAAAATAGGAATACTCACACAAGCTAAATCTTAACAAATTACAAATTTTCTTGAATTTGCAAAAATAGGTCTGTTGGCGGATTTAGTCAATCCTCAAAACTGTCAAATGAAACAGGGAGTCAAATTACTCGAAATATACCTACATCTGCAGTATATAAGCACAACAAGTATTACATAAGAGCACCACAAGTACATGTATATTAACAAAACAGCAAATACTGTAAATACTGAAGTATTGTGATATTATGTCTTGCTTTATGCTATATTTCCTAGTTACTTTAATATATTATAAGATAAAACTAAAATGCATCTTGTTTACCTGCAATATCACGAACTAATTGGTTTGTTTTTGGTCGTGTTATCTTCGCATGAAGGTTCCCGGGGATTTCTTCCAATGGAGGCATGGCAACAATACATGCATGTTTGTCAAATCTATTTGTTGGTTCTGGGATGACCTTCATTTTTATTTCAGGATGGGGTCTTCTTTTAAAATAGTGATACCCTTTAATAGATGCTTTGACCCTCACAGGGTTTCCAGATACTTCCAAATCCATTTGTATAACAAGGAAAATGATTTTCTATGTTGGCAACTATATGCGTACATGGAGTAAGGAACATAAAATTATGTGGAATATACAAATATTGAAATTCCACTGTCTGACCAGATTGAACAATATTGAAATATTCAACACTAAGAATAATCTACATACAACTTATGTAATCATGTTACGTTAATTGAGTGGATCAGGTCGGGCCATTTTACAATTTTAGCTAAGATAAGATAGGTCACGTAATTAGGTCACTCGGGCCTTTTCCCCATGGAAGCTGTGACCTAGATATGAGGTGGAAAATGGCCCATGCCATAGACTGACGGAAGGAAATGGAAAAGTCGAAGGTGCGTTAAAATTTATAGAATTCTTACACCACTAATGTGATTTTATTTAGTGACTACTCTACTTAAGACCCGGGCCCTTAATTGGTTTCCCCCGACGGAAATTGTAACCATGCCAACATAATCAATATTTCGATTGTAACTTTTTAAGATAATAGCGTACATCGCTTCTACTATATATCAGTAATCAACAGTCTAATTTCCCTCAGCACTCACAACCCAATATTTCTTTTATTTTACCATTATACATCCGATTTAGGTAGATCTACCCAAATGAACTATAATTAGTCTTCACATACAATTCAGAGTGGCTCAATAATGGATTAAGATTTCAAAAGTATCGGTTGTACTCGTAGTACACCATTGGGAGAGTTATTCTATCCAAACGCCAGGATTCTCATTTTGAAAAACAGTTTGAATTACCAAACATCAACCAAAACGTGAGTTTGAAATGAGATGATTCATGTTCCAATATGAGAATAACTATATTGATCAATAAATTAATAATAATAAGCTTTAATTATGAACTACGACGGTACTTTCCAAATGGATACTGACCTTATTAACAATTGGCTGAAATGCAGACAGACATTACTTGCAAGATTTTAGGACGAAAAGACCATAAAAATAGCCTTAAAATGCTTGACAACATTTCGAGATGCGCATTGTTAACCAGAACAACGGCAACGCCAAAGCGTAGCGAATCCCATCGAACAGAAATGGCTGGCATTTTTACAAACGAAGCGCAAATATCATAAAACAACACACCAGAAAGGCCACCATTTTCAAAATGGTTGCTCACTTAGAGCCAAGTTGTCATCAGAAGAAATAATATGCTTTTAAGAAGCCACCTCTAAAATTTTTTGAAAAATCGCACACGTACTTGTAAAATAACACACGTAAAAATGGTGGCCATTTTTCAAAATGGCCGACTACTCCCCAAAGTTTTATTAGACAATGTGCCATGCTTAAAGTATTCACATATCAAATATGAACAAAATCGCTCCACTACTTTTCAAGTTATAGTAAAATACGTTAAAATGGCGGCCATTTTTCAAAATGTCCACCTTCTACCAAAAGCGTCATTAGAAATAGACGGTGTTCCATGCTTATAGTATTCACATACCAAATATGAACAAAATCGCTCCACTACTTTTCGAGTATTAGTAAAATACGTTAAAATGGCGGCCATTTTTCAAAATTGTTTTCAAAATGGCCGCCTTTTACCAAAAGTGTCATAGGACAGTGTGCCATGCTTATAGTATTCACATACCAAATATGAACAAAATCGCTCCACTACTTTTCGAGTTATAATATAGTAAAATACATTAAAATGGCGGCCATTTTTCAAAATTGTTTTCAAAATGGCCGCCTTCTACCAAAAGTGTCATAGGACAGTGTGCCATGCTTATAGTATTCACATACCAAATATGAACAAAATCGCTCCACTACTTTTCGAGTTATAGTAAAATACGTTAAAATGGCGGCCATTTTTCAAAATGGCCGCCTTCTACCAAAAGTGTCTTTAGACAGTGTGCAATGCTTATAGTATTCACACACCAAATATGAACAAAATCGCTCCACTATTTTTAGAGTTACAGCAAAAATCGTAAAATGACGAGTAAAGGCCGCCATTTTTCAAGATGGCTGCCATGTGCTTTTTAATATCTACATTTGTAGCATTATTAATGTCCTTTATAATTTTTTTACATTTAAAACATATTGCTATTACAGTTTTACATATTGCACCTAAATTACTGTAAAATCGTCACTAAAATGGCCGCCATTTTGAAATGAGAGGCCATTTTGAAAATCGGCTTTCGAGCAGAATTTCTACCCCCATAGGGTATATGTGTACGAAATATGAACAAAATCGGGCCAACGGTATTTGAGTTATCGCCCGGACGTACGGACGGACGTACGTACGGACGGACGGACGGAGGCGTTCCCTATATCCCTCCGAACTTCGTTCGATGGGATAATTAAAAATCCTATGCTAAAAGAGTTAATCTCAAAGAGTTCTAAAACTCGTGGAAACAGTGCTCCACAGTAGCATTACAGTTTATTTTAGTTTAATGATGGTTCGTTGTAATTCAAATACTTCTACATTTTTTAATTTAAGGATATATATTTTATCACAATTAGCAAAATTATACATCTAATAAATAGTTGAAAATATAAAAGCATCAAGTAAATTTTAAACGATCAAAATAAGTTTTAAATGTAATGTGAATAAATTAACAAGACACAGAGTGAACAGAATCGCACCCTTGAATAGAATATAGACGGTTTACAGGACAGAAAGTCCAAAATTGCCACCTTAAAATTTACCTTAGAATGCCCAAAAACTAACCTGTTGTAAACTTTCATAAGTAGAAACGTTAACATAGTTGACAATTTCAGATGAATCCCTGTAACTGTTTGGCTTGAAACCTGTAGACAAGCCTCAACAGACAAGATTTTAGGACAGAAAATCCAAAATGGCCATCTTATCATTTACCCAGAATGCCCAAAAACTTATCAGTTTTGAACTGTTATACCTAGATACATCCCTGAAAATTTCAGATGAATCCCTAAAACGGTTTGGCTTGAAACCTGTAGACAAGCCTCGACAGACAAGATTTTAGGATGGAAAATCCAAAATGGCATCTTAACATTTACCCAGAATGCCCCAAACCTAATCACTTGTAATCTTTCAAAGGTAGAAACATCACTGAAAATTTCAGATGAATCACTCAAACAGTTTGGATGAAAATCTGTAGACAAGTCTCAACAGACAGGATTTTAGGAAGAAAATCAAAAATGGCCACCCTAAGAGTTACCCAGAATGACACAAAACTAATTATTTGTAAACTTTTGTAGGTAAAAACATCCCTGAAAATTTTAGATGAACTGCTCAAATGATTTGGCTGGAAACCTGTAGACAAGATTAATTGGGACACCCATCTGCCCGCCCGCCCGGCAAACTGATCACAATATAGCACCCAAGTGTGCAATAAGAAAATCGTCCATTTCTAATGAAATTTCTCTACAAAATGATGTAATGTGGCAATGTTCTACTATTAAAACAACATGTTGGTCTGTTTACTTTTTCGCAAATTAAGATCTGTGGCACTCCACTGGTTTTCAATTGAATGCTAAATTCATCGTTTGAAAATCTATTTCAGAAGAGAATCTTACTAATGTATCCAAAACGGCCATCTTTTGAAATGTGGATATTCTTTTCTCATATTGTTTACACTTGTGTATTTGTTTAATTCTTCACTTCTTTTATTTGAGGTTGGTCTGTAAAAAGGGTGCACCTTGACCTCATTTCAAAGTATTCACTTATTCAAGATTCTAAACTTTGAATATGACATATTCCCATTCCTATGGTTGCGTTATATTAAGCATTTCTGGCAGTATTGTCTTTCTGAACTTCTGTTGAAGCTGGTATATGAAATCCAAGTGTGCTCCAAGCCTGAATCCCTTGATTGACTCTTCCTGAAAGTAGAATGACACAAGGCATTAACATGACAAAATGTCACCACCTAGTTGCTCACAATATAATGAGTTCAATCTTAAAGGGGTATTCCTTGCCAGACCATCTCTCTCCTAATATGGTAGCTATAACCATAAACATACTTTGCAAGTTTATCAAAAAACAGAAAAATGTTTTGAAATGGTCAATATTGATCACTTAAAAATGTAGTGCTCAATTCCAGTAGGCTGCCATCTTTTAAAATTTCACTCAGGAAGTGATATCATCGACTCTCAACTTTGCATATAACATTAGGTAAGGAGCTATTAGAATTACTAAACCAGCTGAATATTTTTTCAATTTGGTCTATGATTAAAATCCTTTTGATGATCTCTTCTTTAGTTCTAAGTTCACAACTCCTGATAATATTTTTACACCGAAGATAAGGGCTTCTTGTTTACAAGTGATTTTGTACTTCTTTCCTATACTGTAATAGACAAGGTTATAACAGGTGAGAGTCGATGACATCACTTCCTGAAAGAAATCTGAAAAGATGGCAGCTTACTAGGAATGAGTACTACATTTTTAAATTATCAATATTGACCATATGAAAACATTTTCCCGTGTTTTGCTAAATATGTGAAGTATATATATGATTGTAGCTACCATATCAGGAGAGAAATAGTCTGGCAAGGAATGTTCCTTTAAGTCAGATTTGAATTTCTGAGAAAGTGTAGATGATAAAGAAAAAATAAATTGGTCAATTTGAAAAAAGACCTTTTTTGAACATAAGAAGGTCATTGAAGGTGAAATCTCAAATCTATAGTCAGATTTGAACTTCTGATAATTTGCAGATGATTTTGAAAAAGAAATCTGTCAATTTGAAGCAAGTTGAAAAACAACATTTTTGACCTTTTTTGACCTTGAGAAGGTCATTTTTGGTCAAATCAAATCTAAAGTCAGATTTGAACCTCTGATAACTTGTAGATGATTTTGAAAAAAAAGATTGGTCGATTTGAAGCAAGTTGAAAAAATACCTTTTTGACTTTTTTTTACCTTGAAAAGGTCATTGTAGGTCAAATCTTTTTTTGACCTTGAGAATGTCATTGAATGTCAAAACTATAGACAGATTTGAACCTTTGAGAACTTGTAGATGATTTTGAAATTTTTTTTTGTCAATTTGAAGCAAGTTGAAAAATGACCTTTTTGACCTCTTTTGATCTTGAGAAGGTCATTGAAGATCAAATCTCAAATCTTAAGTCAGATTTAAACATCTGATAACTTGTAGATGATTTTGAAAAAAAAGATTGGTCAATTTGATGCAAGTTGAAGAGACCTTTTTGACCTTTTTTGACCTTGAAAAGGTCATTGAAGGTCAAATCTTAAATATAAAGTCAGATTTGAATTTCTGTCAGTCTAAACAGTATTTGTTAAGTTATTGGAAGTTGTAAGAATTTGTTACAGACGCCAACCGCCAACCACCATCCGCCAACCACCACACCGTCAAAAAAACGGAGACTATAACAATATGTCACCACTTTTTGGTTATGACATATAATACCACACCTAGAGCATCATACAGAGATAAAGCATATACATTATCATATTTATGAGCTTTATTGTACATGTACAACCATAATGTTGACATGCCTGAATAGTTGTTATGTCATGTTTGAATCCGATCTTCGTATTGACATGCCTGAATAGTTGTTATGTCATGTTTGAATCCGATCTTCGTATTGACATGCCTGAATAGTTGTTATGTCATGTTTGAATCCGATCTTCGTATTGACATGCCTGAATAGTTGTTATGTCATGTTTGAATCCGATCTTCGTATTGACATGCCTGAATAGTTGTTATGTCATGTTTGAATCCGATCTTCGTATTGACATGCCTGAATAGTTGTTATGTCATGTTTGAATCCGATCTTCGTATTGACATGCCTGAATAGTTGTTATGTCATGTTTGAATCCGATCTTCGTATTGACATGCCTGAATAGTTGTTATGTCATGTTTGAATCCGATCTTCGTATTGACATGCCTGAATAGTTGTTATGTCATGTTTGAATCCGATCTTCGTATTGACATGCCTGAATAGTTGTTATGTAATGTTTGAATCCGATCTTCGTATTGACATGCCTGAATAATTGTTATTCTGTCATCAGATCTTCATGTTGACATGCCTGTGCCATAATGATGATGTTAAGTAGGGTGATATAACTGCATATAATATAAAGGTTACCTTTAGAAACACAGCAAGATCTCCATCTTGCTGATGTTGGAGAATGTCCCTCTGAAGGTATTTGAGAAGAGCAACACATGTGTACACCTGGTAATCAACTCCTCTAAGTATACATACACACACATAGTGGCATATATCCAACCAGTCAAGGTAATTCCAGAAACATTGCTGAAGCCAGTGATAGCAGATCTACAACAGAAATAAACATGTATCTTAGCTTTCTAACTATGTTAATCTATGTTAATAGCATGTTCATCCACATATAGAAAAATCAAATTCTCAGTCTCTTTTACTGACTCTTTCTGTGCTACATGAGGCCAAAGAACATCACTATCACTGAAACATGTTCAATTAATACAGTGTTATATATAAATGCTACAAAATGTTACAAAGTGCTAAAACACCTGACCCCTTATGATTAGGTTTACACATATTTTAATGCATTCAAGATAAATAAATGCATACTTATTCTGAAAGGTAATAGATTAACCTATGTAAAACTGAAGTCAGAATGAAAAAAGCTTCTCTGGTTGCAAAGTAATTGCAAAATATATCTTGGACCCCAAAAACCTTTAGAGGGTGTAAAAAACAAAAACCATTTAAGGGTTAAATACATTTTGAGGTACTAAATTACTAGGAGCACATCCTAGATTTAATGGATGTAATTGCACATTGTCACATTTCACATTTTTTCAAAATATTGGCCTTTGCATGTTATGCACTTTCCCGGTGCACTTTTTTTGCCATTCATGTTTGGAGTTGTCATCCAGGGTCAAGTTATCACTTTTGAATCTCTTCTGCCACCTCATAATTGAAGTTCTATCTGGTATATACTCCTTTTATACTTTCTTCATGGTAGCATCAGTTTTGCGTGGCTGTGAGTCCAAGTGAAGTATGAAACTGGGCCACCAAACGCAAGCTCTTCTGTTATCGGGTTTGAAAATTGAGGCCATTTTTTCAATTTCTTGACTGTGACTGAATTTGAATTTGTGACTATTTGGCTGTGGAACTGTGGAATTATGACATCACAGTGCTAAATGTCATTATTTGTACTCGGTGAACATCATGCTGAATAACTTAACAATTTTCCAAACATTCTGATCATTTAAAAGAAAGAAATATTAATAAAATAACACTTTGGAGCTTTTCATGATTAGAAAAATTGGTACCTGCCCCGCCCACCCCTACCCTCGTGTTGGTATAGCAACCATTTCAAGACTTAATATTAATGTATGATGCTAAAACTCCAGGATATAACAGATAAAACTTCAATTGTTATATACACAAAATTTCAGCTGAATTGAAGAATATTAAAGAAAGTTAGAGCATATAGTGCCTTACTTCTGGGACAACCCTCGTATAAATCAGTACAGTATACAATCTACAAAAATAACTTAAACTATAACTAAACTACAAACTCCAAAAATTATGAAATATATGGGCCAATTTACAATAATTGATATTTTGAAAATCTGGTGTTGTACTAGAGACTGCGACATATATGTTGATTTTATGGACATGCAATGTGCTAATTTTTGTTGACCAGACTGTAAGCAATCATTCCCACAAGTTTAAAAAATATCACTTTAATGATGGATATTTAGACAATTAAGAAATATTTTATTTTTTGGCAAATATAAACTCTGATTTCTTAACCTAAAATGTATCGATTGCGTTGATATTTTTGAGCATGTTAATAAAATGTATGTGCTACCAACTCTTGAAAGTGGGATGTCGACAGGGTGGGCCAAAAAAAAAAGCCACTTTATTTTCAAAATGCTATAACTTTTTTAATTTTTGATACAAAATCATAATTTGCATACCAAATGAAACTTGAGGTTGTTATCTAGCCATGGATCATGAATTATACACTTTTACTTGAATAAAATATGTCACCAGCGTCTCACTTAAACATGTGGTGTGCCATGAGAAATAAGCATAATTTTCAAAATGTTCCTGAACTGATACGGCCTGATGATCACCAAGCTAATAGCCCTTATGCAAACCCCAGTGAGTATAGGTTATGGGAAGGTCTGCAGGAGATTGTATGAAGGCACCCAATCTAGAAAATTGCTCAACTAAAGCTGGCAATCAAGACAGGTTGAAAAAAACTTAGCTAACCTTTCATTGATACTGCTTTATTAGCAAGACGAGTAAAACTAAAATATATCATTAAATAGGGTGGCGGACCAATGGAACTCCTCTTTTAGATCAAATATAATCCAAGTTGAAGGACTTGTTACACTATATTATCACTAAGAACCCCTGGCACTTTTTAACAGCAAAATTAGGGGTATGTAGGTTGGAAAATAAAAAAGTTGTAGTGTCTTGAAAAAAAGTGGCGTTTTTTTTTGGCCCACCCTGTATATATGTGATATGTCTATGATATATGTTGCTTGCACATCTTTCTAAATCATTGTAAGTGTCAGAATACTTTTATATAGATTCCAATGAAAATGATTGCATCCGTTGCAATTTTTAATACTTCACATGCAATATGAGCAACATGCCTAAGTCAGCTTTTAGTAGGGGTGTGGGTACACATTAAAAAAATGTTCCATGCTATACCAACACCTGGGACGACCCTTAAAATTCAGAGGGTGGTAGACAAAAAAAAGTTGAGTCCAAAATTTTTTAAATAATGCCCAGAATTAAAAACAATGCCCGATAATTTCAGTTTTCTATCTAAATTGTCCCAATTTATGTGGAGAGGAGCAGATTTTGGGTCCAAAAATTAAAAATAGAAAGAATATCGTTCAAGATCGCACGAGCCTCCAACCCCCTCCCCCCATAACACACACACACACAGCCTGGCTATGGGCCTGAGTAATAAAGACCTTAGACAAAAATGTGCCTGTGTGTTATTTGGAAAAAGAAATAACTCCAGTAACTTAAAATCATGATGGTCATTTCGAAAAAGCTCTGGAGAATAGACGTAATCAAAAGCTACGAAAAACAAATTCTTCACTAAATTGGTTGGATTATAGGTTTGTGCAGTAACATATTTCTCCTACTAACAAGAATGACCAGAATAGTGGAACCAATTCTAAAAATTCTTAAAAATTCTAAATTCTTAAAAGATACTTCTGGTGGAATGCGCATCGATTTCTTGACGAAAACTAAGAGTTGACTTCATCATCTAGCTTAGACACGTTTTATTTTGCTTGTACAGTACTAGGTATTTATTTTTAGTAAGCAAAGGGTAACAGTTAAAAATAGAAAATGGAATTTCATTGCTTCACAAAAACTGTTGTAGAATCGAACGTTTTGACAACACAAATATGATATTTCAGGATGTCAAAATCCACCTCATTGATCACTTACCGAGTAAAAAGTTAGAAACTCTTAAAACCTCTCCTCATCAATCCTTCTCTTTTACATTTCTTCGTAGGAGGGGAAGAAATAATATTAAATACGATTGGCCAAAATCAAGAGATGTTGCATGTGTTACCAAAGAAATTCATTGTTTGCCAGATAGACATAATCACTTGGTGTGTACCAAATTAAGCGTGACAGTTGAACACTTTTGACACAGTTCAAAATAATTTGCGGCAAATAATTTCAAACGATAACATTGACTCTATTTACATTTTTATTTTTACAATGGTCCTTTTTCCATATAGCTTTGAAATCTTGTTTAAGTCTCGTTTTTAATGAGATTTTAGGAGATCTGCATTTTTAACCATTAAAGACTAACATTTTCTTCTATTTGATGCCATATTTGAATTCTGTGTGTAATTTTCTATCAAAACAACTAAAAAAGGTTGGGCTAAATCCCCACTGACACAATGCTGAAAAACCTTTAAAAGTTCATTTACTCTTACGTACACGGATCACAATTTTTATGTGAAATCACAATCCATGTGTCAATAAGATCATATAGTTACATTTCAATGGAGTTGATCCAAATGGAGTATTTCTTAAATCAAGAAATTAAGTGACTCTGGCAATACATTTACATGTTACATTCTACCCCTACCCTAGCCCTACCAATACCCATGATGCCATCTATTTTTCATTTATATGGAAAAAGGTCAATTTAATACTTATATCCAAGGAAACATGTTTATTGTTTGTTTGACACACACAAATGTGATAAATAATATTTATTTGAAATAAAACCAGACTTATGGAACAATTAACGAAAATATGTTAATTTTTTATTCCTTTGAAAATTGCTCAGGTTACGAAATGCCAATATAGTCCTAATGATGCCGCTTACGTTTTTATAAATATAATGTGTTTCCTCTGCAATTCAAGAAAAAAACACCGCCATATGAATATTTTAATTTTCGAATTTTGTAATTTTTGAAATACAAAAGTTCAATAAGTACTGATAAAAATGCTGTAACTTTTTTATTTTTTCATATATCTTACTAATCTTTCTAGTGTGCATTGTTGAGTATTATACTGATGTCCTGTGACAATTACAGGACTGTTCTCCAACAGGAAGGTGGTGCTGGGTTGAGCCAAAAGTGGTTAGTGGTGGACCAGGTATGTCTGCACAAAAAAAGTCTCAAAATGACCAACTTAAAATGTGAATATTGCTCCTCAGTCAATTGCTTGAGCACCAACATGTCACACATCAATGTCATCTCTAATTTATTATGAGTTACATTGTGCAACACTTGAATCAGTCATGTCTGCAATTTTCCTGACGTGAATTCATTCAATATTTCTTTTATTGTATTAATCTTACTAGGGAAAGTTACAGCTTTTGATCACCCGTGTCTGGGTTCATCTTCAACTGACTTTCTCCCTCTTTGAATAGTGGTACCAACGATATATGGCAGGGGTAGATATAGTGTCCTTTCCATAAACTTCATGAATATCCTTTATTGTATCCTGATTTGATTTACCCTAGGAGTATATAGAACTTGTTGCTGCTTCTAATTTGATGCTGAATATTATTGATATTCTGTTCAGCAGTCATGTTGTTGATGACATAATTTCTGCTGAATTTGTGTGATGTAATTTCTCCATGAAGTCATCCGATCTTAAATTGCTCTCTGATATTAGCTCACCGTGATAATGGATTCAAAAATAAAATTATGTATGAAAATATTCAAATTTTAACTCATTTATATGGAAAAAAATTTGTGCAGACCTGTACCATGACAAACCACCTTAGGCTCCACCCAGTACCAACTTCCTGTTAGAGTACATTCTTGTAACTAACTCTCACAGTACATCAGTACAATACTCAACAATGAACAGTAGAAAAGTCAGTCAGAAATATAAAAAATCAAAAAGTAACAGCATTTTTATCAGTACTTATTGAACGCCCTGTATCAATTATCATAAATTGGCCCATATACAGCATGACAAATGCAAAAAATTTAAGTCATTAGTCAGAGTAAAAAACAGCATAAGAAAAAGTAAAAATATTAGTGTGATGTATCATTGACACAATATTCATCCAATTTTTTTGAACGAGTGATAGATGAATTTTGCTAAATGTAAAACTACATAAGAATTTTTATGTGACATGAGCTGTTTAAATATAACATCATGCCTGCATACAGAAGAAAATTGCTACTATAAAACAACCATTTCTTTCTCCCGTATTTTTTCTAAAAACTCATAAGAAATTGTTGTTCATTTTCCAAAGTGTTACAAACATTCATCTATTTATGATTCTGATGTAAATTAGTTATCAATCATTTTACTTGACCATGTGCCTTAAAAAACAAATTGATCACTTAGTTTTAATTTTACTCAAATTTCAATTATCTGGCTGAGAGATTAAATACCTGAGAAGGAGCAAATCCAGACATTCTAAAGGCACTGTAGACCAAAGGTAGCTCAGCCTGTAGCACTAGTTCTACATTGTGCCCTGTGCTGGACAAGAGGGGAGATATACCACTCTCCATCAGACCAGGAGGCAAGTGCATCTGCAATAAAAAAATATATTGATATTTCCACAAAAACCTAATATTCTTGGATGCAAACAATTACTTATGACAAAAATGGCAAAGTTGAGAAAAATAGGCTAATATTAGACAATGACATGCTATTATTTGATATAAAAAAGAATGTGTTTCATCATCTTGTTGTATGACAGTATGAGAGAAGTAAAAACTAATTTGATGGTACTTCCTAATATGATTATAACCTTATTGTAATGGTATATTTCTTGTTTTTTTAATGATCAGATCTGATCATACTTTTCAGACATTTTTCATAGTGTGGATAGAAGATAAACTTTACAATATCTAGCAGTTTTTCTGATGCTTAAGTAAACTATTTGAGCAGCAAAATTCAATGAGTTGATGATTGAGACAATACAGACAAGATATTACATGGAAGCAGACTTACTGAACAATAAAGCCGAGGCACCCAGAGATAGCCTGATGAGGCAAGACAGGAAAACCTGTAGAGAAACTTCCACGTTCTCTCCACATGTCCATTCATCATGAGAAATATAGTAGCAGCAAACCAATCAAAGCCAACATACTCTCCCTGCATAGTGCCTCGGACAAGTTAAGCAAAAATTCACATAGAATTCTACATTTTGAATTTGGTAGGTCAATGTTCATAAAATAAAAGTCTTTAACATTGTTTTGACATCATCACACGTTAACTATCTGATCAGATCAAATTGGTTCAAAAACATTTCTTTAATGAAAAAATTGAATTTTATTCTAGAATACACCAACACTACTTAGTTACTTAATATACAAGTATAATTCATTCATTTTTGGAGCATCCTTTACATGGTGGTCTTTGTCCATGAGTGTATTTTGCCACAAAATAGACATTAAATAATGTTTTAGGTCTCTAATTTAAGAACATTAATTTCCTCAAATTGTTGAGACGAATCATTGCATAGAAGTAACCAAAAGCCTCAAAAATCAAGAAATATGTCCTGTTGAAAAACCCTATTTTTTATTACTAGTCTTGGAACCTTTAAATCTTGTCTATCAATGCTTGTTTACAGGTTTCCAGGCAAACCTTTTCATGGATTCATCTGAAATTTTCAGGAATGTTTCTATGTATGAAAGTTTACAACTGATTGGATTTGGGAAGTCTGGGTGGTCTGTGTTATGGCAGTCTGTATAGGGTGGCCATTTTGGATTTTCCGACCAGAAAACTGTATTCTACTCAAGGGTGCGATTCTGTTCACTCTTTGTCTGTAATGGTTGTGTGCCTGACATTTATTGTCACATATCCTTCACCTTCCTATCAGTTATTAAGTTTGTATGCCTTGCATTTCTAACATTTAATGCTACACATAATCAGTGTTAAGGTCATGTGTCATTTCTGCATATCAATCTTTAAGGCTGTGTGTCCATTTAAAATTAGTGAGTATGTGACATTAGTTTCAGCAAACTTGAAACCAATCTATTAAACGGCTTGGCTTGAAACATGTAGACAAGACTTTATAGTTATACACAAGATTTTAGGATGGAAAATCAAAAATGGCCGCCTTTATACTTTACAGACACGATTTAAGGATGGAAAGCCACCTTAACATTTATCTAGAGTGTCCTAATCCAATAAGTTTGAGATTTCTATATATAATGGCCACCTTAATATTTATCCAAAATTACCATTAACTAATCATTTCTAGATTGACATAAAAAGAAACATCCCTGAAAATTTGAAATTAATCCATGAAATGGTTTATCTGAAAATGTGTAGACAAGAATTTACAGACGGGATTTTGGGACGGAAAACCAAACTTGCAACTATAACAATTTACCACAAATGTTAAAAAACCAATCACTTCCAAGATTTTATATGTAATAAAACATCCATGAACATTTGAAATTGATCCGTCAAATAGTACGCCTAAAAATGTGTATGCAAATTAAAGAAAGTATTTTTGCTGATGTTTTTGAAAACCATTTACAATTGCCAATAAGTACTCTTAAAAATGATAGGTATAAAACTCTCCTGGTATCTCTTAACTTTTTCCAGATGTAGATTGACATAGCGTTATGCATTTCTAAAAAATTTCAGTAGCAATATTTTCAATCCATTTCAGTTTGACTGCATTTGTTTTGGAAATATTATTGTAGTTATATCAAACTGAAGGATTAAAAATGTGAACAAAACAAATAGAAGTCATGATTCAATGCTGTGCTTGGGCGAACATACAGACAGACAGATGCCACATGTCTGCTAATAAACCATGATGGTGATATAAGTGTGACAGAAAAGGATACGGAGTGGAGAGTCAACATGTTTCTGCTGCTGTTTCAAAAAGTATCCAGTCTGTTTCATTATCTGTGAGAGATTCTCTGCTGCCTCAGCACTAGATGTCAGCACCTGCAATTTTTTACATATCCCATAATACAATATAAATGTTAGTCATACCCAAATACATGGTTAAATAACAAAAACATTGTAACTCAAAAATTATTTTATCATTAAGTAGTATTTTGAATGAAGTATTTCAATGCCTATGATTTAGAATACCTTGAAACGTTTGGGAATTCCTGGCTTACCTTGAGGTGCATGCCATATCTGACTGCCATTCTTACACCAAGGTCTTTGATAGAGGAGAGTTTGTAGGATTTCAACTGGGCATCCGTGCCTATATGAACAAGAAACAAGAATCTAATTAGATTAGATTATATAGATGTAACATGAAATGAGAAGATATTTTAGTTTTAGAATTTGATAAATTGACCAATGATCCATCTGTTGAAAATTCTAACAAAGATCTAACATTTTATAAATTTCAAATGTAAATCAATTAACTGTATTTGGTATTTGAGCAATCTAACACAATCACAACTCAAAAATGAATATTACACTATCCCATATCATATTATCCTATATTCCTTTGTCCTATATTTGTTACATTATCCCATACTTCATTGTTTTATATTACAATATTTTATATTACATTATCCCACACTTCATTGTTTTATATTACAATATTTTATATTATATTATCCCATACTTCATTGTTTATATTACAATATTTTATATTACATTATTCCATACTTCATTGTTTTATATTACAATATTTTATATTACATTATCCCATACTTCATTGTTTTACATTACAATCTTTTATATTACATTATCCCATACGTCATTGTTTATATTATAATATTTCATATTACATTATCCCACACTTCATTGTTTTATATTACAATATTTTATATTACATTATCCCATACGTCATTGTTTATATTATAATATTTTATATTATATTATCCCATACTTCATTGTTTATATTACAATATTTTATATTACATTATCCCAATTTACTTCATTGTTTTATATTACAATATTTTATATTACATTATCCCATATAGCTTCATTGTTTTATATTACAATATTTTATATTACATTACATTATCCAATATTTTTATGACCTATATTACATTATCCCATACTTCATAATACTTCATTGTCATATATTACAATACATTATACCATATTTCTGTCCTATACCTGGAGTCCCCATTGCCCATATTACTTTGTCCTATATTTCGTATTACTTTATCCCATATTTCTATGCTCTATATAACATTATCCCATACTTCATGTACTTCATTGTCATATATTACAATATTTCATATTACATTTTACCATATCTCTGTCCTATACCTGGAGTCCCCATTGCCCATATTACTTTGTCCTATATTTCATATTACTTTATCCCATACGCGTGAAATAAAGAGAAATCGTACCTTCGACGTTTCGACATTTTGTTACCAAACGAACCGTTACATTATACCATATTTCTGTCCTATACCTGGAGTCCCCATTGCCCATATTACTTTGTCCTATATTTCGTATTACTTTATCCCATATTTCTATGCCCTATATTATATTATCCCATACTTCATGTACTTCATTGTCGTATATTACAATATTTCATATTACATTATACCATATTTCTGTCCTATACCTGGAGTCCCCATAGCCCATATTACTTTGTCCTATATTTCGTATTACTTTATCCCATATTTCTATGCTCTATATAACATTATCCCATACTTCATAATACTTCATTGTCATATATTACAATATTTCATATTACATTTTACCATATCTCTGTCCTATACCTGGAGTCCCCATTGCCCATATTACTTTGTCCTATATTTCGTATTACTTTATCCCATACGCGTGAAATAAAGAGAAATCGTACCTTCGACGTTTCGACATTTTGTTACCAAACGAACCGTTACATTATACCATATTTCTGTCCTATACCTGGAGTCCCCATTGCCCATATTACTTTGTCCTATATTTCGTATTACTTTATCCCATATTTCTATGCCCTATATTATATTATCCCATACTTCATGTACTTCATTGTCGTATATTACAATATTTCATATTACATTATACCATATTTCTGTCCTATACCTGGAGTCCCCATAGCCCATATTACTTTGTCCTATATTTCGTATTACTTTATCCCATATTTCTATGCTCTATATAACATTATCCCATACTTCATAATACTTCATTGTCATATATTACAATATTTCATATTACATTTTACCATATCTCTGTCCTATACCTGGAGTCCCCATTGCCCATATTACTTTGTCCTATATTTCGTATTACTTTATCCCATATTTCTATGCTCTATATAACATTATCCCATACTTCATAATACTTCATTGTCATATATTACAATATTTCATATTACATTATACCATATTTCTGTCCTATACCTGGAGTCCCCATTGCCCATATTACTTTGTCCTATATTTCGTATTACTTTATCCCATATTTCTATGCTCTATATAACATTATCCCATACTTCATGTACTTCATTGTCATATATTACAATATTTCATATTACATTTTACCATATCTCTGTCCTATACCTGGAGTCCCCATTGCCCATATTACTTTGTCCTATATTTCGTATTACTTTATCCCATATTTCTATGCTCTATATAACATTATCCCAAACCTCATAATACTTCATTGTCATATATTACAATATTTCATATTACATTATACCATATTTCTGTCCTATACCTGGAGTCCCCATTGCCCATATTACTTTGTCCTATATTTCGTATTACTTTATCCCATATTTCTATGCTCTATATAACATTATCCCATACTTCATGTACTTCATTGTCATATATTACAATATTTCATATTACATTATACCATATTTCTGTCCTATACCTGGAGTCCCCATTGCCCATATTACTTTGTCCTATATTTCATTGAGCAGAGAGTGGTGTGAGAATTAAATGGAGAAACTGACCTGTGTACTCCATCTGAGGAAATATTGCCTCCTCTTGTGAGTTGTTTAGAACTGGAAGACTCTTCTCTAGTAGTTCAGTCAACACTGAAACAATCAAATACACACTGTGTAGTTTTTAACTAGTTAAAGTAAAACATGTTATGCCGCTTTTAAAATCAATTGATCTCCATTGATTTTGTGGTTAATTATGCTTAAAAATAGTACCTTGGGTACTGGGCTCACATGGTGTTACTCAAAAGTGAATGATGGCTAAAATGGCAGAAAATAAAAAAAAACGGATAACATTTTTTGCCTATCTTTTGCAACAAAATTATTTCATACAACTACTCTTTACAGTGACATGGCTTTTTACAATGCAGAACACCTGAAATTATTTTTAAAGGTAGAAAATGGGCCAAAAGTGAATTTCGCGAGACAAAAATGGCGACCATTTTGAAAATAGGCGGGCTTTTGAACCAGGAGTCATAGGGGAGTTTTCTGTATTGATGTTGAACAAAAATAACTTAAGACGGGAATCCTATAGACAGGTTTTAAGCCTTATGGTCCAAAAGTTGATTTCGCGAGACAGATTGACAAATCAATGTTAACTCGATACAATTTTTTGCCAATTTTTTGAAACAAAATTATTTTATACAACTACTCTTTACAGTGACATGGATTTTTACAATGCAGGACACCTGAAATTATTTGTAAAGCTAGGAAATGGGCCAAAAGTGAATTTTGTGAGACAAAAATGGCGACCATTTTGAAAATAGGCAAGCTTTTCAACCAGGAGTCATAGGGGAGTTTTCTGTATTGATATTGAACAAAAATAACTTAAAACGGGAATCCTATCGACAGAGGTTTTAAAGCAAATGGTCCAAAAGTGAATTTTGCGAGACAAAAATGCCAGCAATTTTGAAAATAGGCGAGCTTTAGAACCAGGAATCATAGGCGGGTTTTCAATATTGATGTTGAACAAAAATAACTTAAATTGGGAATCCTAATTGAGGGAGGTTTTAAAACGGCCCAATTGTTGACAGACAGATGGATGGACAGACGGACGGACAGATGGACAGACAGACGGACAAGTAAGTGATTGCAATAGCTCACCATGTGAGCTAAAAAGCCAAATAAGACAGTCACAAATAAATTATGGAAAATAACTGTAAAGATATACACATCAATTTGAATGCCCTACAGCTGCTGTGCCAGTAAATCATATTGCCTTAGGCCTATTTATTTGATTTCGCAAAACATCAACAAAAAAATAAAGCCACTGCATGTACTTACAACTCCCTTTAACTGTCTCTGGTTTTGAGCTCATCAGATTCAGGAAAACTTTGGAACATTTGTCTAGCCAGGAGGTAGACTTCACATGCCGGTTCTTCTTGGTTGTCTCAGATAAGAACTTACTGAGTTCATTCTCTATTTACAAGACAAGCACAGGTACTTTTAAATACAATGTAGTTACAAAGGAGGAAGGAAGGTATCGCAACAGATTTCGGACAGTCATATGTTGGATTTTGGCTATTTTCTGAGGATTAAACCAGGTGCATAATGTTAGGCCAATGCATTATCTCCAGGAAAAGCGCTCATAGAGATGATAAAATAATTTCGACTTTGAGACAGAGAAGATGCAAACAACCCACCCACATGTTTTTTCTGAAATGTTTTCCTGATTTTCAACCCATTCCATTCCTGATTTTTTCATTTTTCTTGCATCAATATGTTGTGTTTTGACACACAGTTAATCGTTTAAAGGAATAAGTGATTCCTTTTAGATAAAGTAGAAAACAATAATCCATATAAATTATTGTATTCTTATCTGGGGAACATCAACTAAAGCTCTATTGTTTCAAATTCTGAAAGTACAAAAAAGATTCTTAAGACCAATTACAAACAGTGTTAGAACAGACGATTCCTCTCTACAATTTAAGAAAATAAAGATACTTAAATTAGAAGATATTCATAGAAATAATGTGGTAATAAAGGATACAATACAATACAATAAGCTAAATGTTGGTATTTTTGTATTTAATTGTCTCAAACAACCTAAAGAATTTCCTCAAACTTTATTCTATGACTACTTCATATCAAATGCCCAAACTCATGGTCAAGAGACACGTTATAGATTCAATCTTAGAGCTAATCAATTTAACTGAATTCTAGAAATAAATTTAAATCAGATTTGAAAAAGTATTATCTGGACAAGTATTAAATTGATCTGTATAACATTTAGCTATATGTGCTTATATATATGTATATTTCTTTCTCTTCTTTTACTTTTCTCCTAACTTTCTATCTTTAAAAACAGTTTTATATCTTGTCATCTTGATTAATACAATTATGTAATATAATCATATGTAACTATATACACCCGCATGGGTGTCAGTTGCCTGTACAATGAACATTGATATAATTGATGAATAAACAACTATGCAAACTGTAATACTTCCCATGTTATTTTCCCATAGGGAAAACTCATGCGACCAGTTGCTTTCAGCTAGTTGGTCACACATAATGGATATCTTTAAAACCCCTGATGGAATCACTTATTCCTTTAAAGGGGTTAACTGTGTATCAAAACACAACATATTGATGCAAGAAAAATGAATAATAAAAAAGCAGGGGTGGAAGGGGTTGAAAATCAGGAAAACATTTCAGAAAAAACATGTGGGTGGGTCGTTTGCATCTTCCCCGTCTCAAAGTCAAAATTATTTGATCATCTCTAGGAGTGCTTTTCCTGGAGGTAATGCATTGGTCTAACATATGGACCTGTTTAAATCCTCATAAAATAGCCAAAATCCAACATATGACTGTCCTAAATCTGTTGCGATACTTTCCCTCCTCCTTTTCATATATAAGGTATATGTCAAGGATCTTAACTGATACATTAGTGTTATATTAAGGGATACAACCATATTGGAGCATATGAAATTCAAAAGATCTGAAGCTAACATTATGAAAACAAAACCAAAGCCATAATTTGATAAGGTTGACATACAGTTAATATAACTGCTATAAACCAAAAAAGGATATTAAGCAATCAAATTGTGGGTAATTTAAAAAAATTAACTTCTGGCACCGGCCAGTCAAGGTGTCACATCGGCATGGTCCATTACAATTAGCTGCAAATATATTTACAGTGTACCAAAGGTGACATAGACTTTACCATGGGAATATGGTAGGTATGATTTAATCATATCAACAGTGCTTGTACTGCAAATATGTGCTTAACCAGTGCTGTCAGATATGCAACTTCAAAGGATGTGCTTCAATAATTTCAGGGGGTGGAAAATTTTGGAGTATTTTCATTTGAAATACTAGGTGTAGTTTAGTGAATGTTTGGTAGAGTTTTCTTAGCAATATAAGCCATTCACATTCCCAGTACATCGGGGAAACATTCAATTGACAGCTATCGATCTAGTTTTCTAGAATGTGGAACAGAAGAAATGTTGTGATTTTGAACAAAAATTCTTTGGTTAATCCTACTTTGTTGAAAATCGAGAGTTTTGGGTGTCAATTTGTAACCATTGAGTTCCCCGATGTCCTGTGAGAGTGGTGAGCATAGTGGCAGATGGGCAAGTGAAAACAAATATTGACAGACAACTAAATAAAACTACACCTACCTAATTTTTGAATAAGTTAGAGGTTTTTGTAATGCATTTCCTGTAAACGCCACAAAATATGCATTTCCACCCGCTGAATATGTGCTTTGTGACAGCAAGAATATGTTTCATTAGGACAACTACAGGATATAGATGTGCACTCACACTGTACTAAAACTAAATAAACATGTGCTCCTATGAGTGCCAAATAGGATACATTTTGATTAGTTTTATGACTTTTTGTTCAAAGCCCATTGTGTGCTGACAGGGTTAGGTGAGCACTGATGCAGTATTTCATTGTTCCCCATTATATGATTGTATTCAAATGTGGAGAGATACAGAAAGATGTGAACTGATGCAGTATTTCATTGTTCCCCATCATATGATTGTATTCAAATGTGGAGAGATACAGAAAGATGTGAACTGATGCAGTATTTCATTGTTCCCCATAATATGATTGTATTCAAATGTGGAGAGATACAGAAAGATGTGAACTGATGCAGTATTTCATTGTTCCCCATTATATGATTGTATTCAAATGTGGAGAGATACAGAAAGATGTGAACTGATGCAGTATTTCATTGTTCCCCACTATATGATTGTATTCGAATGTGGAGAGATACAGAAAGATGTGAACTGATGCAGTATTTCATTGTTCCCCATCATATGATTGTATTCAAATGTGGAGAGATACAGAAAGATGTGAACTGATGCAGTATTTCACTGTTCCCCATCATATGATTGTATTCAAATGTGGAGAGATACAGAAAGATGTGAACTGATGCAGTATTTCACTGTTCCCCATCATATGATTGTATTCAAATGTGGAGAGATACAGAAAGATGTGAGAGATACAGAAAGATGTGAACTGATGCAGTATTTCACTGTTCCCCATCATATGATTGTATTCAAATGTGGAGAGATACAGAAAGATGTGAACTGATGCAGTATTTCATTGTTCCCCATTATATGATTGTATTCAAATGTGGAGAGATACAGAAAGATGTGAACTGGTGCAGTATTTCATTGTTCCCCATTATATGATTGTATTCAAATGTGGAGAGATACAGAAAGATGTGAACTGATGCAGTATTTCATTGTTCCCCATTATATGATTGTATTCAAATGTGGAGAGATACAGAAAGATGTGAACTGGTGCAGTATTTCATTGTTCCCCATTATATGATTGTATTCAAATGTGGAGAGATACAGAAAGATGTGAACTGATGCAGTATTTCACTGTTCCCCATCATATGATTGTATTCAAATGTGGAGAGATACAGAAAGATGTGAACTGATGCAGTATTTCACTGTTCCCCATCATATGATTGTATTGAAATGTGGAGAGATACAGAAAGATGTGAACTGATGCAGTATTTCATTGTTTCCCATTATATGATTGTATTCAAATGTGGAAAGATACAGAAAGATGTGAACTGATGCAGTATTTCACTGTTCCCCATCATATGATTGTATTGAAATATGGAGAGATACAGAAAGATGTGAACTGATGCAGTATTTCACTGTTCCCCATTATATGATTGTATTCAAATGTGGAGAGATACAGAAAGATGTGAACTGATGCAGTGTTTCATTGTTCCCCATCATATGATTGTATTTAAATGTGGAGAGATACAGAAAGATGTGAACTGATGCAGTATTTCATTGTTCCCCATCATATGATTGTATTCAAATGTGGAGAGATACAGAAAGATGTGAACTGATGCAGTATTTCACTGTTCCCCATCATATGATTGTATTCAAATGTGGAGAGATACAGAAAGATGTGAACTGATGCAGTATTTCACTGTTCCCCATCATATGATTGTATTGAAATGTGGAGAGATACAGAAAGATGTGAACTGATGCAGTATTTCACTGTTCCCCATCATATGATTGTATTCAAATAAGGAGAGATACAGAAAGATGTGAACTGATGCAGTATTTCATTGTTCCCCATCATATGATTGTATTGAAATGTGGAGAGATACAGAAAGATGTGAACTGATGCAGTATTTCACTGTTCCCCATCATATGATTGTATTCAAATGTGGAGAGATACAGAAAGATGTGAACTGATGCAGTATTTCACTGTTCCCCATCATATGATTGTATTCAAATGTGGAGAGATACAGAAAGATGTGTGCTAATGCAGTTAATTATGTGCTAATAGGTGTATACTAATATAAAGGCTTATGCAAATACAAATTGATGTTTTCTTAATTTTGTTAATGTGTTTCAATGTAGTATGCATGCATTTCAAATATGATCAAATATTTCCAGCTCATATACTAAGGGGTGAGTGTATAACAAGAGTGCTTCAACCATGTGATGTGAAGGTCATTACCTGGACCACGATTGGCATAGTCAATGTAAGAAGCTGAAATGCAGATTAATAACATTACTAAAAAAATCATCACTGAACTACTGTTGTAGATCTATGTTCTACTTGACTATGTTGTAGATCTATGTTCTACTTGACTATGTTGTAGATCCATGTTCTACTTGACTATGTTTGAGATCCATGTTCAAGAGAAGACAAACATGTAGAGTTCAAGAGCAAACTACAGTGATGTAGATCTATGATCTAGACTAAACTTCAATGTTGTAGATCTATGTTCTAGATCAGACTACCAAGTTGTAGATCTAAGTTCTAGATCCTACTACAGTTATGTAGATCTACGTTCTCTATGTATCTATGAGGTCGTGAGTTTGAGATGCGTGAGCTCCCGGCGTTTATTAATTCTACAGTAGACTACCATGTTGTAGATCTAAGTTCAAGAGCAGACTACAGTGATGTAGATCTATGATCTAGACTAGACTTCAATGTTGTAGATCTATGTACTAGATCCAACTACAGTTATGTAGATCTATGTTCTCTATGTATCTATGAGGTCGTGAGTTTGAGATGCGTGAGCTCCCGGCGTTTATTAATTCTAAAGTAGACTACCATGTTGTAGATCTAAATTCAAGAGCAGACTACAGTGATGTAGATCTATGGTCTAGATCAAACTACAATGTTGTAGATCTATTCTTGATAGTACTTCACAACAGTGAACTAGATGTATGTTATACACTGTATGTACAGTGATCGCCTTCTATTAAAAGTGGGTGATCAAAGACTCGACAAGATGCGCAAAATCCAATATGTCGGAGGAAAGGTATGTTTGTTTGTCTTCTTTTTACCAGTTTAAAGTCATTTTACCTACATATGGTATTCCATATGCTGTATTAGAGACTCAAGATTCATTTGGTAACAGGATTCAGTGATTAAATCAACCGAAATACCTGTACTGAGTTGATAAAAGAAGCAAAATCAAAAACCCGTCGAACGAAAATGTATTTTTCATAAAATTTTCTGTTTTTAGATTGCCAAAACCACAAAACCAATATCATCTATGGTTAATATACATAATACTTAACATTACATGCATATCAGACGTTCCAACTCCCCTTCAGTATCGAGTGGGAAGGATAATATGAAAACAATTTATGATCAGCCAAGTGAGTGATTTTACCATGTGGATTCTAATGATATGTTCTTTGCATTCCAGAGTGGTTGGATTTACATGTTTCTATTGTCCTTCGATACGAAATGTTAAATTTCAAAACAGTATAAATCACCTTATAGAACACCATGAAGATGAAGAGATGAAGATGAGAAAGATTATTGAAAATAGAGGCAAAGGACGATTCTCGGTTTGGAGAACAGTCTCCTGGGCTAATAATTTTTTTCATGAAAAATATAGAAATATTACCCAAATTAAACTATGAATATTCAAAAGAGGACATTTTCATCTACAAGATGTAAAAATAACAAATTGGTCTGAAGCAGGGATAATGCTCAATTAGACTGATTCAATAAAATACAAGTCTTGATTTTGGGGAAAGAAGTTCATCAGTGTACTGCGCTAATATTTTTTTGCGAAAAATCTAAAAATATTACCCAAATTAAATTATGACTATTCAAAAGAAGACATTCAAATCTATATTATGTAAAAAAAATCAAATTTGTCCGAAACAGGGATAATGCTAATTAAGATTGAAGAACTTCGTTCTCCAAACCGAGAATCGTCCTTTGGAATGATTACAAGAACTATGAGCTTGACAAGTAAAGATTTGGTTTAAATTATAAATCAAACAAATCTTTAATGTACATATGACCAAAGCCTAAACTGGAACTTTTCCTCAGTCCCATCCACATAACGCTGTCTAGAATAGCATAGTATTTATTTCACTTTGTTCCTCTAAAAACGCCCACTGGGCGTTTATTATTAATTCTAACATTTTCAAGCTAATCACCTATACACCTTAGTTGAAAATTGATCAATAAATCTTCTGAATATTGAACTATAGAGCAGCTTTCCCCTATACCTATCATTTACATATGACTCAAGTTAGCCACCTCGTGTTGAAACTGGGAACTGACTAATGGCATCTACTGAAGGTCATTACATTTTTCTATAACTTATTGATACCTTGCTGCAAAAGAATGATTTAACTCCCCAATGAAATAGATAGTGTACAATTCAGATTTAATAGGTTTATTATGAGACCCCATGTCCATAACAACCACAATCATGACAATGGGTGATACAGTGACATACATTTTCATTTTTGATTTATTCAATTCTTGCATTACAATTCGACAATCATCTTGGATGCCAAGATGTAAAGTTTTCATACCTTGGAATCAGAGGGTAAAATAAATGGACTGAAATGTAACTTTAAAAACTGTTCCATTTATAAGGTGTTACGCTTCAAGAGGTTTTTCTATTAGCAGTGTACAGTGTACATATCATATTGTATTCAAACATAGACAGAATAACAAAATATACGCAAACAGTGACCATTTAATCGAATGAATCAATGAACGGTGATGTACATGTTTATTTTAATTTGGACATACATTTTGCATGAAACCCCATTTTTCTTCTCTTTAAAGCATATAGTGTATGATCTGCTGAAACTCACGCTATAGGCTGATCCATTCATTTCTGTGTTAAAATATTTATTTCATGTTATTTAAGAGGAAACGTGAACTTTATCATGGTCAAATGGAAGCCCAAGACCCTACCTAAGTATAAAACATTTAAGTGAGTAAAGATCTTCTATTGTTTTTGATATTTTAAAGCTTTTTAAATAAAACAGCACATATTATATCGCATTTATATCTTTACATCGTAAAATCAATCACATATGCGAAAAATGGTCAAAGTAATATATATTTTTCAAAGCATATGGGTGTTCTTGTGCCTACAAAACCTTATTGAATCACCAGTAGCGTGTAATATAAACACAAATAAATCTTTTAAAAATAACCGTTACAAGATATTTGAATTTTGCGCATCTTGTCGAGTCTTTGATCACCCACTTTTAATAGTAGGCGATCACTGTACATACAGTGTTATAGTAAACTATGAATTTGAACATGAAAAATGGTGCCTGCCATCTTTACCATCCACATAAAATAAAAAATAATAATGAAGAACATTTTTCTAAACAGAGGATAGGACACTAACCTTGTTTCATGGCAGACCTTCCAGCAATGTTTGGAGAGTATTCTCGTGGCACAGGGTAGCAGGAAAACAGAGGGTACTTGAACTTCTTCTTCATTTGAATCTGCAACATGTTTAAACATTATTAAATCAGTCACTTCAATTTTGACTACTACATGTAAGAGTTCAAAACGAAAACTTTCCTTAACCCGGCAAATAGATACCCCCATCAATTTTTAAATTAGAGGTCATTTTGTTTTAATTGAGGGTTGTAGAAACCAAAAGTTGCTGATTTATTCAAAAAGTGGTGTCTTTAGAAATCTTAAACCTAATTGGAATAATCCTATATTGTATATAAGTATGCATTCAGAAACAAATTCCACAATGAGAAACACTGGCCTTAAACATATTAACACCCTTTAAACCAGTTTATTTTGAAAAACTAGAAAATGGATTTTTACTCCTTATGGCCTAGTCACATAGCCCGGACGATGAGGTTACGATGAGCCAGCGATGCAATTTTCACCGAACTCTGCCGAACACCGGCCGGACATCCGTGGCGTTTGTTGCTTAAAACCGCATCAGTGGTAGCTCGGTGAAATTTTAACTTCAGAGTTAAATGTCACCGGGCTCTCAACGAGCTCCCTCATCATGTCATCGCAGCCCCATCGTAACCACATTGGAAAACACGTCGGCCGGTGCACAGCCGAGTATCGGCCGATGTCCCGTGCATCTGAGACAACCAGAGGACGAGGTTTTTTAACGGACAGCGACCGAGCTCCGACCGATGTGGGACAGAGCATCGGCCGGTCACTGTTCAAAGCCCGTTAACAACCCGGCCGGCGATCGCACGGTGTCCTGTTACCTGCTCGGGTACCGGCCGTATTCCTTCCGATGTCCGGCCGACCTCCGGCCGGTAGTTGCTGCCACATCGGCAGAAAAAAACTACCATTTTGAGACAGACTCCGTAGGGTCACCGGCCGGTGTTCGGTCGGTCGCCTGAAGATGTCCGGACGGAGTCCGTTCACGTCACCATTTCACAGCATTAATGTCAAATTTCACAGCATAAATGTCCTATTCTCACCTTAAATGTCCTATTTCACAGCATTAATGTCAAATTTCACAGCATAAATGTCCCATTCTCACCTTAAATGTCCCTTTTAACAGCATTAATGTCCCATTCTCACCATAAAAGTCCCATTTCACAGAATTAATGTCTAATTTAACAGCATAAATGTCCCATTCTCACCATTAATGTCCCATTTCACAGCATTTATGTCAAATTTCACAGCATAAATGTCCCATTCTCACCGTAAATGTCCCATTACACAGCATTAGAATTTCATAGCATTAATGTCCAATTTCACAGCATAAACGCCCATTCTCACCATAAATGTCAAATTTCACAGCATGAATGTCCCATTTCACAGCATTAATGTCCCATTTCATAGCATTAATGTCCAATTTCACAGCATAAATGTCCCATTCTCACCATAAATGTCCCAATTCATAGCATTAATGTCCAATTTCACAGCATAAATGTCCCATTCTCACCATAAATGTCCCATTTCACCGCATTTATGTCCAATTTCACAGCATAAATGTCCAATTTCACAGCATAAATGTCCCATTCTCCCCTTAAATGTTCCATTTCACAGCATAATGTCCAATTTCACAGCATTAATGTCCCATTCTCACCATTAATGTCCAATTTCACAGCATAAATGTACCATTCACACAATAAATGGCCCTTTTCGCACTATAAATGTCCCATTCACACCATAAATGCCCCATTTACACCGTAAATGTCCCACTTCAGGGCATAAATGTCCCATTTCACACTATAAATGTCCTATTTACACCATCAATGTCCCATTCACAGCATAAATGTCCAATTTAGAACATTAATGTCCCATTTCACAGCATAAATGTCAATTTCACAGCATAAATGCCCCATTGCACACCATAAATGTCCCATTCACACCACAGATAACCCATCCACACCAAAAATGTCCCATTTCACACCATACATATTCCATTTACACCATCAATATCCCATTATACAGCATAAATATCCCATTATACAGCATAAATGTCCCATTTTACAGCATAAATATCACATTTCACAGCATAAATGTCCCATTCCCACCATTAATGTCCAATTTCACAGCATAAATGCCCCATTTCAGACCATAAATGTCCCTTTCACAGCTTAAAAATCCCATTGCACAGCATAAATGTCATATTTCACAGCATTAATGTCCAATTTCACAGCATAAATGCCCCATTTACAACATAAATAGCCTATCCACACCAAAATGTTCCATTCACACCACAAATGTCCCATTTCACAGCATAAATGCCCCATTTCACATCATAAATGTCTCATTCACACCATAAATAACCCATCCACAGCATAAATGCCCCATTTCACATCATAAATGTCTCATTCACACCATAAACCAGAACAATGGCAACGCCAAAGCGTAGCGAATCCCATCGAACAGAAATAGCTGGCATTTTTACAAACGAAATATATAGCAAATATCATAAAATAACACACATAAGAAAGTTGTCATCAGAAGAAGTAATATGCTTTTTTATAGTATTCACATGCCAAATATGAACAAAATCGCTCCACTACTTTTCGAGTTATAGTAAAATACTTTAAAATGGTGGCCATTTTTCAAAATGGCCGCCTTCTACCAAAAGTGTCATAAGACAGTGTGCCATGCTAATAGTATTTGGATACCAAATATGAACAAAATTGCTCCACTACTTTTCAAGTTACAGCAAAAATCGTAAAATAACGAGTAAAGGCCGAGTAAAATACGTTTAAATGGCGGCCATTTTTTAAATTCCATTTTTTGTCATCAGAAGAAGTAATATGCTTTTTTTATAGTATTCACATGGCAAATATGAACAAAATCGCTCCACTACTTTTCGAGTTACAGTAAAATACTTTAAAATGGTGGCCATTTTTCAAAATGGCCTCCTTCTACCAAAAGTGTCATTAGACAGTGTGCCATGCTTATATTATTCACATACCAAATATGAAAAAAATCGCTCCACTACTTTTCGAGTTATAGTAAAATACGTTAGAATGGCGGCCATTTTGAAAAATGGCCGCCTTCTACCAAAAATGTCATTAGACAGTGTGCCATGCTTATAGTATTCACAAACCAAATATGAACAAAATCGCTCCACTACTTTTTGAGTTAAAGTAAAATATGTTAAAATGGCGACCATTTTTCAAAATGGCGGCAAATTTTAAAAATGGCCTCCTCCTACCAAAAGTGTCATTAGACAGTGAGCCATGCTTATAGTATTCACATACCAAATATGAACAAAATCGCTCCAATACTTCTTGAGTTACAGCAAAAATCGTAAAATAACGAGTAAAGGCCGCCATTTTTCAAGATGGCTGCCATGTGCTGTTTAATTTCTACATTTCTAGCTTTATCAATGTCCTATATAATTTTTTTACATTTAAAACATAATGCTATCACAGTTTTACATATTGCACCTAAATTACTGTAAAATCGGCACTAAAATGGCCGCCATTTTTAAATGAGCGGCCATTTTGGAAATCGGCTTTTAAGCAGAACTTCTATACCCATAGGGTATATGTGTACAAAATATGAACAAAATCGGGCCAACGGTATTTGAGTTATTGCCCGGACGGACAGACGGACGGACGGACGGACGGACGTACGGACGTACGTACGGAGGACGGACGGACGGACGGACGGACGGACGGACGGACGGACGGACGGACGGACGGACGGACGGAGGCGTTCCCTATATCCCTCCGAACTTCGTTCGATGGGATAATAACCCATCCACAGCATAAATGCCCTTTTTCAAACCATAAATATCCCATTCACACTTTAAATAACCAATCCACATCAAAAGTGTCCCATTCACACCATATGCTGATAAATAGTGATTAATACTGCAAACTAAATATTGTAAGTACCTAATAGGAATTTGTAATACCTGAGTCAACTCTCGAGGTGGAATGATTCTCTCAGAAGGTCCACCTATCAAATATGATTTCACCAATATGTAGTTTCTTTCCAGAGAGAGCATATCTACAATGATTTCTCCTTGCCTGGAAATAAATATTCTCTATTTACATAATATGCTGTATGATATTACTTAACCAGTAAAGATAAACAGAGGATATCCTAGGATGAGTAATCAATTTTTATCCAGGAATGGATATGGTATGCATAACCATGAGTGACATAGAATATGACTTATGACATAAATACGACATAAGACTAATGACATATATTTTGCAGGAATGGATATATTATTTATTTATTTTATTTATTTACTGTTTTAACAGTGGCACTCTTAAATTAAGGCAAATGAAATGGAAAAATATTCGTAATGCCATTGTTTAAAACAGCACATTTCAAATGACCTTTAAAGAGAATAAAAACATAGGCATGTTAATTATATTTACCTAAAATTTTATTAAAGAAGCTTTTTACTGAAGAGTCTAATAATAGATAACCTAAAGAATCCTCAAGAAAGATTTTAAATATGAACATTATTTAAATATAATCGACAGACTTGATATGCAAAGAAACTTTACACATTTGAGAATAAGTGCTCACAACCTCCAAATTGAGCAAGGGAGATATACAAAACCAAAGAAAACCCCAATTGAAGAAAGACTGTGTGTCCATTGCAATATTATTGATGATGAGCATTTTATGATGAAGTGTAAAAAATATCAAAATGACAGATTATTACTTCAAACTGAATTATCTGATACGGCAAAATCACAAACAAATCAATTTATATACCTCTTAACTTGTATAAATCAAGATTACATCAAGGTTGCAAAATATATTAGTGATGCCTTCCGAATTTTAGAAAGTAATACTTAATTTAGAAAGGCTAATTCCTGCTGCGCAAAAACATTTTGTAGTAACACATATTTTACATTTTACAGTTAGGCATATATAGTATATATATGTACAGGAAAACATAATGAACATTACACTTTCTTGTACCTGACCCTCAGGGGTATGAATGTACTCAATAAATATTCTACATTCTATGATATCTGCATGAATGAGTGACATATATGACATATGACTAATATTACTATCCAGGAATGGATGTGATACGAGGGTTGATCATAAAGTTCTCATAATATCTCTCTAATTTCTTTATTTTTCAATATTTTCCTATGAAATTTTCACAGAATGTGCAGCATGGAATGTTTTATTGTTCTAGCAAAAAAGATTTAGAATAACAGAAACATCAAATAAGAAATGGTTGCCATAGTAACTTGAAATCAAGGCACCCGGGGCAAATAAAAAAACTAGCTATATTAGCCCCCATTTACCATGTTTAAATACATAATAAGTTGTCAAATAACCTATCAAACACATTAAATTGTCAAATAATATGTGCTCTTGATCGTTGTGAACTATTATAATGGTCATGTGGATTGTGTGATCTCATAATGGATGATTGTTATGCTTCATTAGAAGTGACTGTTAGACCCCATGACTGTTTTGTCAAGTATCCCGAGGAAAATTGATTTAGTTCAATTTTAACATATACAGACCACACACAACGTGTAATTTTGTTGATATCTAGCAATATATTTGTTTTAGATCATGTTTAGTCTGACCAAAGGATCTTACAAACTTAACATAACATTTTATCAGTATGAATTTTCTGAAGATCTCTGCATCCATTGCATTCTCTTACTCAGTCATTTCTGATCATTAGCTTTGAGTCTCAGACTGTGGTATCACATCTAATGAAGCATGAAATAATCCCCTATGACATCACACAATTTACACGATCGATTTATATCATTGTTAAAGCACTTTACAACATATCCAAGTTAACATTTTAATGTGTTTGGTAATTCATGAGAGAGTTTATTATGTATGCAAACATGGTTAATGAAGCTCATTCTCTCAATTATTTTTATTTGCCCCGGGTGCCTTGATTTCCCGTTACTATGGCAACCATTTCTTATTAAATATTTCTGTTGAACTAAATATTTTTTGCTGAATTAATAAGACATTCTATGCTGCACATTCTGTGAAAATTTCATTAGAGTATATTGAAAAACAAAGAAATTAGAGAGATATTATGAGAACTTTATGATCAACCCTCGTACTTGCAAAAATGAGTGACATATATGACTTGACATATTACTATCCAGGAATGGAAGTGATACTTGCAAAAATGAGTGACATATGACTAATATTACTATCCAGGAATGGAAGTGATACTTGCAAAAATGAGTGACATATGACTAATATTACTATCCAGGAATGGAAGTGATACTTGCAAAAATGAGTGACATATATGACTTGACATATTACTATCCAGGAATGGAAGTGATACTTGCAAAAATGAGTGACATATATGACTTGACATATTACTATCCAGGAATGGATGTGATACTTGCGAAAATGAGTGACATATATGACTTGACATATTACTATCCAGGAATGGAAGTGATACTTGCAAAAATGAGTGACATATATGACTTGACATATTACTCTCCAGGAATGGAAGTGATACTTGCAAAAATGAGTGACATATATGACTTGACATATTACTCTCCAGGAATGGAAGTGATACTTGCAAAAATGAGTGACATATATGACTTGACATATTACTATCCAGGAATGGAAGTGATACTTGCAAAAATGAGTGACATATATGACTTGACATATTACTATCCAGGAATGGAAGTGATACTTGCAAAAATGAGTGACATATATGACTTGACATATTACTCTCCAGGAATGGAAGTGATACTTGCAAAAATGAGTGACATATATGACTTGACATATTACTCTCCAGGAATGGAAGTGATACTTGCAAAAATGAGTGAAATATATGACTTGACATATTACTCTCCAGGAATGGAAGTGATACTTGCAAAAATGAGTGACATATATGACTTGACATATTACTATCCAGGAATGGAAGTGATACTTGCAAAAATGAGTGACATATATGACTTGACATATTACTATCCAGGAATGGAAGTGATACTTGCAAAAATGAGTGACATATATGACTTGACATATTACTCTCCAGGAATGGAAGTGATACTTGCAAAAATGAGTGACATATATGACTTGACATATTACTATCCTGGAATGGAAGTGATACTTGCAAAAATGAGTGACATATATGACTTGACATATTACTCTCCAGGAATGGAAGTGATACTTGCAAAAATGAGTGACATATATGACTTGACATATTACTCTCCAGGAATGGAAGTGATACTTGCAAAAATGAGTGACATATATGACTTGACATATTACTCTCCAGTAGTAGGGCTGGCACGATACGGAATGGAATCGGAATTGACTTCGGAACTTGGCTTCGGAATTCGGAACTTTCGGAATTTCGGATTTTATTTAAAATAGTTCCTACTTCTCTTAAACTCTCATTTATTCTCATTTATTTATTCATATAAAACAATCATAGTTTATTTATTTCTATCATTTATTACATATAAAACAACTTTACCAAGTGAAAATGTTTAATAATTATATATATTTATTGATTTCGTTTCATAGTACTAGTTCCCTATAGCGAGTTAGCGTGTCGCTATAAAGATAAGTGAATGTTCTTTAAGGAAAATAAAAATTCCAAAAATTATCTGAATATGAGAAGGTAGGTCCAAAAGTCTGTTTCCGAAGGCAAAATTGAACGGTTCGGACAATAATTCTGTTCTGTACCAGCCCTACTCTCCAGGAATGAGTATGATACTTGCAAAAATGAGTGACATATATGACTTGACATAAAACTCTCCAGGAATGAATTTGATACTTGCAAAAATGAGTGACATATATGACTTGACAAATAACTCTCCAGGAATGAATATGATACTTGCAAAAATGGGTAACATATATGACTTGACATATAACTCTCCAGGAATGAATATGATACTTGCAAAAATGGGTAACATATATGACTTGACATATAACTCTCCAGGAATGAATATGATACTTGCAAAAATGAGTGACATATATGACTTGACATATAACTCTCCAGGAATGAATATGATACTTGCAAAAATGAGTGACATATATGACTTGACATATAACTCTCCAGGAATGAATATGATACTTGCAAAAATGAGTGACATATATGACTTGACATATAACTCTCCAGGAATGAATATGATACTTGCAAAAATGAGTGACATATATGACTTGACATATGGCTCTCCAGGAATGAATATGATACTTGCAAAAATGAGTGACATATATGACTTGACATATAACTCTCCAGGAATGAATATGATACTTGCAAAAATGAGTGACATATATGACTTGACATATAACTCTCCAGGAATGAATATGATACTTGCAAAAATGAGTGACATATATGACTTGACATATAACTCTCCAGGAATGAATATGATACTTGCAAAAATGAGTGACATATATGACTTGACATATAACTCTCCAGGAATGAATGTGATACTTGCAAAAATGAGTGACATATATGACGACATATTACTCTTCCAGCTCACCTATCTTCGGGACAGTTAGCCTCTTGTCCAGTGAGGAGAACATTGTGGATGTCATACTGCGTCTGCAGCAACAGAAACACATCAAGGCTTGACACCATTGCACTTAGTACTCTGGAATCAAAAATATAACTTCACCTTCGTGTATAGGACTTCTAAATGAATAATCACAACTGGATTCTCTTCACTTCAAAGGTCCATGTGCAGTATGGCAAGTGATTTTAGATAGTCATATCTTTAACCACGAGTACCTTCTGGGGATAAATACAGTGGTTTTTATTAAAACAATGTTTTCTTTCAGGTGAAGTACCCATGACAATAAAAATACCAATCAAACAATTTGAAAAATTATGAATAGGGAACCCATGTCAACAATTTTTTCAAAATGTAAAACCTATTTACTCAAAAGAGGATCTTCTTTTTCTGATTTTTATTGCATGAAAAGATTATTCAACAAGGGGTCTATACTCTAAGAGCGAGGAGGAAAATTCTTAATAAATGGAGTATGGTTGGTTTGGCAGCATTTTCAGTTAGAGGGAAGTCTTGGATGAAAATTCTACCTAGGTGATAGCTTCACAGAGTGGTACATAATTCTTTTTTTTCAGGGGTTAGCCCCCCACCCCCCAAAAACACCCCACCCCTGGAAAATAATTTTATCATTCTCAATAATTTTAGATATCTTGATGTTTGTAAGTTACATACATAGACGTTATATATATGAATCATTTGCAAAATAAATAATGCCAATCACTCCTACAGAATTTGGAAAATACTACAAAGTATGTACCCCAGGGGGCAAATTCGTGACCCATTTTCTTACTTTTTAGAGCCTCACTTTTCAATCAGACACTGGGAGACATTGAAAAATTTCATGTGAAGTGCCCAGTAGCAGGGCTATAAGCCCTGAAAGGTTCAAACTAATTGAATTAGTAGGATCCGAGAAAAAAATAGTTGATTTTTTGAAAAATTTGACATTTTTGAGAGGGGTGATTTTGTGTATAACTATAGCTGATGCCTATGGTTTCCAGATCTATCCCTCTTTGATGATAAATATGGTTTTGAAGTATAGAACTAAGATGTAAAAAATAATTAAAATTGGTTTTAAGGAAGTTTCATGTTTTAAACAAGTTCAAAATTCCAAGAATTGTACAATATCAGGTCTGAATTTACAAATTTTAGGTAAGACCTTGGATGAGCCTTAGATTTTTTACATCTGTCCCCCTTTGATGATATTTATGGTTTTGTAGTATGGAACTAAGATGTACAAAATAATTTAGATGGGTTTTAAGAAGGTTTAGGAATTTTAACAAGTTCAAAATTTGAAGAATTATACAATATCAGGTCTGAATTTACGAATTTCAGGTAAGACCTTGGATGAGCCTTATATTTTTTATATTTGTCCCTCTTTGATGATATGTATGGTTTTGTAGTGTGAAACTAATTAGTAAAAAAATAATTAAGATGAATTTGAAGAAAGTTTAAGGATTTTAAATGAGTCCAAAATTTGAAGAATTGTACAATATCAGGTCTGAATTTATGAATTTCAGGTATGACCTTGGATGACCCTTATGTCTTTTAAATCCTTCCCTCTTTGCTGGTATTTATGGGTTTATAGTGTGGAACTAAGATGTAAAATATAATTTAGATGAATTCTAAGAAGGTTTAAGGATATTTAACAAGTTCAAAATTTGAAGAATTGTACAATATCAGGTCTGAATTTACGAATTTCAGGTAAGACCTTGGATGGCTCTTATGTTTTTACATCTGTCACTCTTTGATGATATGTATTGTTTTGTAGTGTGGAACTAAGATGTAAAAATGGTTTAGATGGTTTTGAAGAGTGTTTAGGGATTGCAATGAGTCCAAAATTTGAAGAATTGTACAATATCAGGTCTGAATTCTCCAATTTCAGGTATAACCTTGGACGACCCTTTTGTTTTTACATCTGTTCCTCTTTGATGATATTTATGGTTTTATAGTGTGAAACTTAGATGTAAAATATAATTTAGATGAATTTTAAGAGATTTAAGGATTTTAACAAGTTCCAAATTTGAAAAATTGTATAATATCAGGTCTGAATTTATGAATTTCAGGTAAGACCTTGAATGGCTCTTATGTTTTACATCTGTCAATCTTTGATGATATGTATTGTTTTGTAATGTGGAACTAAGATGTTAAAAAATGATTCAGATGGTTTTGAAGAGTGTTAAGGGATTTTAATGAGTCCAAAATTTAAAGAATTATACAATATCAGGTCTGAATTTCCGAATTATAGGTATGACCTTGGACGACTCTTTTATTTTTTACATCTGTCCCTCTTTAATGACAGTTATAGTTTTATGGTATGGACCTAAGATGTAAAATAGAATTTAGATGAATTCTAAGAAGGTTTAAGGATTCTAACAAGTTCAAAATTTGAAGAATTGTACAATATCAGGTCTGAATTTGCAAATTTTAGATAAGACCTTGGATGAGCCTTATATTTTTTTACACCTATCCCTCTTTGATGATATGTATGGTTTTGTAGTGTGGAACTAAGATGTAGAAAATAATTTAGATGCATTTTAAGAAGGTTTAAGGATTTTAATTTGAAGAATTGTTCAATATCAGGTCTGCAATGAATGAATTTTAGGTATAACCTTGTTTAGCCCATATGATTTTAACAGTTACACCTATCCCCTTTTCATGATTTGGTTTAGTTGTGTGGAAATATGTATAATTTACATCGATTTTAAAGAAGCTTAACATTTTAAACAAGTTTAAAATCTTGGCGTATTGTACAATATCAGATCTGAAATTAAAGAATTTCAAGTATAATCTTGGTTAGCCCATATGATTTTAACACCTATCCCCTTTTCATGATATATTTGGTTTAGTTGTGTGGAAATATGTATAATTTACATCGATTTTAAAGAAGCTTAACATTTTAAACAAGTTCAAAATCTTGGCATATTGTACAATATCAGATCTGAAATTAATGAATTTAAAGTATAACCTTGCTTGGCCCTTATATTTTTAACATCTATCCTTTTTTGATGATATATGATTTAGTAGTGTGGAGCTCATATATAAAACATAATCAAGATGGGTTTTAAAGAAGTTTAAGGTTTTAAATAAGTTCAAATTTTCACAAATTGTACAATATCAGAGCTGATATTAATGAATTTTAGGTATTATGTTTTTTACATTTATCCCTTTTTGATGTCATATATGCTTTAGTAGTCTCTACTTGAAAGCCCATGGTTGAACTAAGATGTAAAACAAAATTTAGACAGGTTTTAAAGAAGTTTAAGGTTTTAAACAAGTTCAAATTTTGACGAATTGTACAATATCAGAGCTGATATTAATGAATATTGGGTATTTAGGTGAGCCTTATTTTTTTACATCTATCCCTTTTTGATGACATATATGCTTTAGTAGTGTTGAACTAAGATGTTAAACAAAATTTAGACAGGTTTTAAAGAAGCTTAAGGTTTAAACAATATAATAAAAAATTGAAGCATTGTATAATAACAGGTCTGGAATTTATTAATTTTAGGTAGAACTGTGAATGGCCCTTATTCTTTTTTTACATATATCTCTCTATGATAACATATATGGTTTTGTAGTATGAAACTAAGATGTAAAACATAATTTAGATGGGTTTTAAGGAGGTTTAAGGTTTTAAACCTGTTCAAAACTTGACAAATTGTACAATATCATATCTTCTGACATTAACGAATTTCAGGTATGTATCTCTCTATGATGATATATATGGTTTAGTAGTATGGAACTTAGATGTAAAACATAATTCAAATGGGTTTTAAGGAAGTTTAAAGGCAGAATCAGATCTATGGGTGTGACAAAATTACAAGCAACATGTACAGTTCATGTACCAATCTATTCCTTACAATCTCAAATACAATATCTCCAAAAAGATTCACAATGTGTTAAGTTTAAGGGCAGAATCAGATTTATGGGTGTGACAAAATTACAAGGAACATGTACAATTCATGCACCAATCTATTCCTTACAATCTCAAATACAATATCTCCAAAAAGATTCACGATGTGTTAAAAATTGATGAAGTTATAATGGATTCAAAAAGCAAAAATGGGTGAAAAATGTTTAAATTCTCCCAAAATAATAAGAATGGTAACCATTCTTATGGAAAAATAATACATTATTGTAGAAATCTTTAGTTTTCCTGAAATAAAGGGTGCACTTTTGGGGATTATTAGCAAATAGACATGAAAAGGAATGACATAAGCCAGAAATATTCAAAAAGGTCCATGTGCAGTATGGCAAGTGATTTTAGATGGTCATATATTTCACCATGAGTACTTTCTGGGCATAAATACAGTGGTTTTTATTTTAAAAAATATGTTTTCTTTCAAGTGAAGTCCCCATGAAAATTATAAATTGGGACCCCATGTCAACATTTTTTCTAAATGTTTAGAGCCAACCAAGGTTATACTTGAAATGTAGTGTTAATTGCCGAATTAATATTGTACAATGCGCCAAGATTTTGAACATGTGAAAATCCTTACACCCTCTTAAAATCCATCTCAATTGTTTTTTACATCTTAGTTCTACACTACAAAACCATACATATCTTCAAAGAGGGACAAATGTAAACAATATATGGCTCACCAAAGGTATTACCTGAAATTCGTAAATTCAGACCGGATATTATACAATTTTTCAAATTTTGAACTTCTTAAAATCCTTAAAGTCCTTAAACATTCTTAAAATTCATCTAAATTATATTTTACATTTTAGTTCGTTACTATAAAAGCAGAAATATCATTAAAGAGGGACAGATATAAAAACATAAGGGTCATCCAAGGTCATACCTTAAATTCGTAAATTCAGACCTGATATTGTACAATTCTTCAAATTTTGGACTCATTTAAAATCCTTAAACTTTCTTCAAATCCATCTTAATTATTTTTTACTAATTAGTTTCACACTACAAAACCATAAATATCATCAAAGAGGGACAGATGTGAAAAATATATGGCTCACCAAAGGTCTTACCTGAAATTCGTAAATTCAGACCTGATATTGTACAATTCTTCAAATTTTTAACTTGTTAAAATCCTTAAACCTTCTTAAAAACCATCTAAATTATTTTGTACATCTTAGTTCCACACTACAAAGCCATTAATATCATCAAAGGGGGACAGATATAAAAAATCTAAGGCTCATCCAAGGTCTTACCTAAAATTTGTAAATTTAGACCTGATATTGTACAATTCTTGGAATTTTGAACTTTTTTATACATTAAACTTCCTTAAAACCCATTTTAATTATTTTTTACATCTTAGTTCCATACTTCAAAACCATATTTATCATCAAAGAGGGATAGATCTGGAAACCATAGGCATCAGCTATAGTCATACACAAAATCACCCCTCTCAAAAATGTCAAATTTTTCAAAAAATCAACAATTTTTTTCTCGGCTCCTACTAATTCAATTAGTTTGAACCTTTTGGGGCTTATAGCCCTGCTACTGGGCACTTCACATGAAATTTTTCAATGTCTTCCAGTGTCTGATTGAAAAGTGAGGCTCTAAATAGTAAGAAAATGGGTCACGAATTTGCCCCCTGGGGTACATACTTTGTACTATTTTTCAAATTCTGGAGGAGTAATTGGCATTATTTATTTTGCAAATGATTCATATATATAATGTCTATGTATGTAACTTAAAACCATCAAGATATCTAAAATTATTGAAGATGAAAAAATTATTTTCCGGGGGCGGGGTGTTTTTGGGGGGTGGGGGGCTAACCCCTGAAAAAAAGAATTATGTACCACTCTGTGAAGCTATCACCTAGGTAGAATTTTCATCCAAGACTTCCCTCTAACTGAAAATGCTGCCAAACCAACTATACTCCATTTATTAAGAATTTTCCTCCTCGCTCTTAGAGTACTAAAAGTTCTTCAAAAGTATAATGGTATTGAAAGTCTAGTTTTGAAGATACCAATTTTCGATGACCAAAATTATGCTGAAAACGATGGATAGCACGAGTTTTCTCAATAGGAAAACAACATGGAATATGTGGTTTTTAACTGCATTGCATTCCAATACCCATCCCCTTTTCAGAAATTGTTCATATAGTGTCGAAGAAACTTTTGATATGTTTAAATTAAGAAAAACAAGATCCTCTTTTTAGAAAATAAGCCTAACATTTTTAAAAAAGTGCCAAGTGCCATAATTTTTCAGAGAGTTGGATTGCTATTTTATTATCATAAAACTACTGTATTTATGGCCAGAAAGTGCTCATGGTGAAAGATATGACTGTCTAAAATCACTTGCCATACTGCACATGGTCCTTTGACATAAAATACCATGTAGAAATCATCAAGTTCTTAAATAAAGGAAGATTCAATCAATGTGTCATATTCATCAAATACAATATAATATGTGGAAGACAAGTGGTTGACATGGTGTACTGACCTGCAATAATAAATCCACTTCATTAAATTTCAGCGTATAAACATGTGGAATCATGTCAACATGATCATCCCTATCCTCCATGGCCATGTGGAATAATGTCAACATGATCATCCCTATCCTCCATGGCCATGTGGAATAATGTCAACATGACCATCCCTATCCTCCATGGCCATGTGGAATCATGTCAACATGACCATCCCTATCCTCCATGGCCATGTGGAATCATGTCAACATGACCATCCCTATCCTCCATGGCCATGTGGAATAATGTCAACATGATCATCCCTATCCTCCACGGCCATGTAGAATCATGTCAACATGATCATCCCTATCCTCCATGGCCATGTGGAATCATGTCAACATGATCATCCCTATCCTCCACAGCCATGTGGAATCATGTCAACATGAACATCTCTACCCTTCATGGCCATGTGGAATCATGTCCACATGATCATCCCTATCCTCCACGGCCATGTGGAATCATGTCAACATGATCATCCCTATCCTCCACAGCCATGTGGAATCATGTCAACATGATCATCCCTATCCTCCACAGCCATGTGGAATCATGTCAACATGATCATCCCTATCCTCCACAGCCATGTGGAATCATGTCAACATGATCATCCCTATCCTCCACAGCCATGTGGAATCATGTCAACATGAACATCTCTATCCTCCATGGCCATGTGGAATCATGTCAACATGATCATCCCTATCCTCCACGGCCATGTGAAATCATGTCAACATGATCATCCCTATCCTCCACAGCCATGTGGAATCATGTCAACATGATCATCTCTATCCTCCATGGCCAAGTGGAATCATGTCAAAATGATCATCCCTATCCTCCATGACCATGTGGAATAATATCAACATGACCATCCCTATCCTCCATGGCCATGTGGAATGATGTCAACATGACCATCTCTATCCTCCATGACCATGTGGAATGATGTCAACATGACCATCTCTATCCTTTAAGGCCATGTGGAATCATGTCAACATGACCATCCCTATCCTCCATGGCCATGTGGAATAATGTCAACATGACCATCCCTATCCTCCACGGCCATGTGGAATAATGTCAACATGACCATCCCTTTCCTCCATGGCCATGTGGAATCATGTCAACATGACCATCCCTATCCTCCATGGCCATGTGGAATTTCAACACAGATCATCCCTATCCTCCATGGCCATGTGGAATAATGTCAACATGATCATCCCTATCCTCCATGGCCATGTGGAATAATGTCAACATGACCATCCCTATCCTCCATGCCCATGTGAAATCATGTCAACATGACCATCCCTATCCTCCATGGCCATGTGGAATGTCAACATGATCATCCCTATCCCCCATGGCCATGTGGAATAATGTCAACATGATCATCCCTATCCTCCATGGCCATGTGGAATAATGTCAACATGACCATCCCTATCCTCCATGCCCATGTGAAATCATGTCAACATGACCATCCCTATCCTCCATGGCCATGTGGAATGTCAACATGACCATCCCTATCCTCCATGCCCATGTGAAATCATGTCAACATGACCATCCCTATCCTCCATGGCCATGTGGAATGTCAACATGATCATCCCTATCCCCCATGGCCATGTGGAATAATGTCAACATGATCATCCCTATCCTCCATGGCCATGTGGAATAATGTCAACATGATCATCCCTATCCTCCATGGGCATGTGGAATAATGTCAACATGACCATCCCTATCCTCCATGGCCATGTGGAATGTCAACATGATCATCCCTATCCCCCATGGCCATGTGGAATAATGTCAACATGACCATCTCTATCCCCCATGCCCATGTGGAATCATGTCAACATGATCATCCCTATCCTCCATGGCCATGTGGAATAATGTCAACATGACCATCCCTATCCTCCATGGCCATGTGGAATCATGTCAACATGACCATCCCTAATCCTCCATGGCCATGTTTTTCAGCATTATCTAGATTTTTACAGGAGATTTGTTCTACCTTTCGATCAGATCAACTTATAAATAGTATTACGGATTTTGTCATTTAGTATAAATATAGGTTATTTACTGGGAGGGATTGAATATGGGTTTTATTCCGAGGGACAATATGATATTGACCGAAGGGTAATATGATATTGACCGAGGGAGCGCAGCGACTGAGTGTCAATATCATATAGCCCAAGGTCAATATCATATTTTCCGAGGAATAAAACGCATATTCAATCCCAACCAGAAATAACCTATTTATTCCATAATACACCCCTCTAAAATGCTACATTTGGAAAATGCAGATAACTGGGAAAAAATAACCGGGAAAACGAAAATTGGTTAATATGCTCCAATATGATTTTTTTCCGGGGACAATACGATTTTTTCATGTAATACGCTCCAATACGATTTTTTCCCGGGGACAATACGATTTTTTCATGTAATACGATTCAATACGATTTTTATTCCTTCATATTTCCCTGGGAAAACAGTAGTATTATGGAATAATTTGAAATATTCAATTTATCCTACCTCAATCTCTATTCTATTCAAAAGTTTTCTCCTGAGAGATTAACTCTATCCATGGTCACATATTCAGCATAATGTGTAATTTTCCAGAAGATTGACTCCCAATGACTTACATGTTTTCATGTATATTCACGGAGAATTTCTTAGATTTACAGATGTATAACTCACCTAAGGCCAAATATGTGTGACTGCTCATAATTAAAGAGTGAATGGATCTTTGCCTCTGTATTTACTACAATCAGTCTGTCTAGCAAATCCTTAAAAGAAAATAGAAACATGAGTTAGAAACTTGAATGACGCATTCTAGTTTTGGATCAGCATTTCATGACCTTCTTTGATTAAATTGAACCACGTGGGAAGGATTTTCCACTCATGTGAAAAAAACATAATTATATTAAATATTTTCCATTTGAGGAGGTTAATTTATTGCTAATAAAATAATATAAAGATATATATAATTATGAAATACCTAGGTGCATGCTATGGCTTATGTTAAATATGGTTTGTTTGCGCATTTATTACTACAGGTGTTATACAGTAGAACAAAAACAAGGCATAACATGACAACCAACTACAGTGGTTGCTCACAATATCATTAGTTCAATCTTAAGTCAGCCATCAAAAGAATAATAGCAAACAGAGTTAAGGAGGAAGGCAAATGAGCAAATCCTCACCAATAAATGATAGCATGATGCTAGCAGAACAAAATAAACTATTGCACTTGTTATATGACATGATGGACCCGACCACCCTGCCATTTAAAGGAAACAGAAGGTCAGAACAAAAATTCAAGATTATGACCTAAATCGATGGAGAAGGGAGGAGAGTCTACATATCACAAGTTAAAGCTATACATGGTCATTTTGAAAAAAGGCCATCTTCTACCCAAAAGTGTCATAAGACAGTATGTGCCATGCGTATAATGTACAAAATATGAACAAAATCGCTCCACTACTTTTCGAGTTACAGCCAAAATCGTAAAATAGCGAGTAAAAGCCGCCATTTATCTAGATGGCTGCCATTTGCTTCTTTAAGATCTACATTTCTAGATTTATTAATGTCCTATGTAATTTTTTTACATTTAAAACATATTGCTATTACAGCTTTACATATTGTACCTAAATTACTGTAAAATCGGCACTTAAATGGCCGCCATTTTTGAATGAGCGGCAATTTTGACAATCAGCTTTCAAGTAGAACTTCTACCTCCATAGGGTATATGTTTACAAAATATGAACAAAATCGGGTTAACGGTATTTGAGTTATTGCCCGGACAGACGGACAGACATACGTACATATGAACGTAAGAACTATGGATGGACAGACGGAGGCGTTCCCTATATCCCTCCGAACTTCATTCGACGGGATAACAAGATGCTAGATATATCTCTTATGGTTCGACTACTCACCAGCCAGAGTAATCTGAGAGTAAGCTTTGGAGAATGGGATGGAATTTCAATGTGGGATAGACTCTGTGATCTATGTCAACATGAAGTTGAGACTACACTTTATATTGGTTTTTTTTTAAAAAAAACAATGAAAACAGAACACAAATACAATTAGCGATAAAAAGATACTTGAATGATGTACACATGACAACATCTAACAAGCTGAAATTGGTTTTCGGAGGGGATGGGTGTGTCAGTCATGATGAACTCAAGGCAATGTCCAGTAATGTGCGTGACATATATATATGTGTATATTAAAAGAACAGAGAAAAACTATTCCACATAATTACTTTCTAAGCCATAAGAATGATGGGAGTAGTGATCAGTGGCTGAGGATTTGATGTAAAAAGGATTGGTATCGATTTGGAGAACTGAATTCAACAATGTTGTTCTCTTAAACCAATCACTGAAAACATTCTGTAAAAAAACACGGTATTTTATGTAATGTTGACTAATTGACAACAATTTAATGCGAAAATTATTTAGAAATATTTTATATAACTGTTTTTGTTAACATTTTTTGTTTTCATAGTGCAATTGTTTTTGCTCCTTTCTACCAATTCTTGAGAATGAAATAAAATGTCTTTCCAAACCTTGTTGGAACAAAATAGCATACACAACATGTTTTTAGACCTCTCAATATTATAGTTATACAAAGGAATTTTTGGTTGATTTTAAAAAAGTATTCAAAAAATTAAAACAAAATCCCCCTTAAATAGATAAAAATCAAGATAAACTTATTATTTCATTAACAAGATACTTTTTTACAATCAACCAAAATTTCGTTTGTACAATTACAATATTGAGAGACCTAAACATGTTGTGTTTATGTCGTTTTTTTCCAATGAGGTTCGGAAAGATGTTTCATTTCACTCTGGAAACATGATACCAAGAACAAAACAAGTGTTTGATGCGTTTTCTAAAAGAATATAGATGAAAGTATATACATATTTTTCAAATTATATTGTTACCATTCAAAAGATGACTATTAAATTGACGATGTGTTAAATTTTTGGATTTTTTTATGACTGGTTTAAGTGAAACGTGTGTTCAAAAAGTTCTCCATATCGATACCACTCCTTTACAGAATTAATGATATGGAAGAATGGAAGTTGTAAGAATTTGTTATAGACCACCAACCGCCACCCACCACCTCCAGATCACCAACCGCCGTCACAAAAAACGGAGACCATAACGGTTTGGTTCAGAACATCTGGCTTTGGAACAGAATGTGTGTAATTTGTTACTTTAAAACAATCTATGGTGCAAAAATTGAAAGTAAAATGCTGTTGCAGTTTTAAACCAAAAGCTGTGAAAAGGTAAGAATTTCTTGTTCCGAAACGAAACCAAAATGCTGAGTTTTTGTTCTCTGTTCCAACCTGCAGAATTAGGAACAAAATCAGGTATCTGTGAGACCTGTAGTTCATACAAATATTCATAAGCTTACTACAACAGTTTCAGGGAGCTCTCTGAATCCATAAGAGTCTTTGGCTGGTAGTTTACCTCCCCTCAGAAGCTCATATACAGATGGAAAGCTGGAGAGTGTGTGCACGAGACTCATAAAGTACTGCAAATACACATAATACTTGTCAGTAATTCTGCTTTTAACTTATTTTTTATAATGTACTTGGCTTTGTATACAGTATATTAACATCAAGTGTATAAAATTAACTTCTGATTCAACTGAATAATTTTGAAGGTAATTCTCACTTTTTGACAAAATCAAAAGTTGCATCATGAAAAAATGAAAGAATAATGAGATGACCAAATAGAAAATGAGTTATACTACTATACCTTATGAGCAGATTTATCTATTGGGTCAATTGGCCAGATCCTTGGGGTGTACACAAAATTATCCTCACTGTCACACTCCAGTGTGGACCACAATTCTCTTATCAGATTATTAAAAAAACCTAAAAACAATAGAAAAGGTTTATGAATATGAAACATGAGCAACATATTATTTTTGCTAAAAATTTCAATTTTATGAATAATGGGAAAAGCAGCTTCATGTCTGCCTTCATAGTTATGTTTCTGTATATGTTTATGTACAAGAAAGTGAATTTTTGGAGTTGAACAAACCTGAGCTATCTAGTGGCTTTATGCCTAGAATTGAACCTACCTGAGCTATCTAGTGCCATTATGCCTAGAATTGAACCTACCTGAGCTGTCTAGTGCAATTATGTCTAGAGTTGAAGGTACCTGAGCTGTCTAATGCCATTATGCCTAGAATTGAACCTACCTGAGCTGTCTAGTGCCACAATGCCTAGTGTTGAACCTACCTGAGCTGTCTAGTGCCTTTATGCCTAGAATTGAACCTACCTGAGCTGTCTAGTGCCTTTATGCCTAGAATTGAACCTACCTGAGCCATCTAGTGCCACTATGCCTAGAATTGAACCTACCTGAGCCATCTAGTGCCACTATGCCTAAAGTTGAACCTACCTGAGCTGTCTAGTGCCATTATGTCTAGAGTTGAAGGTACCTGAGCTGTCTAATGCCATTATGCCTAGAATTGAACCTACCAGAGCTGTCTAGTGCAATTATGCCTAGAGTTGAACCTACCTGAGCTATCTAGTGCCACTATGCCTGGAGTTGTACCTGCCACCTGAGATATCATGTAACCATACCCAAATTTCTCACGTTTGCTCACCTAGAATGTATTCATATGCAAAAATATATATAACATGGTATTTAAATGACTAAATGCATCCATCTGGTAACACACGCCTCAATCCTAGAATTCTTTGCTGAAGGATATTGTACAAAAGGCATTCTTTAGGTGTACTTTAAATGATTGAAGTATACCTCCAGTGGCATAGCCAGGATTTTGCAGGAGGGGATTCAAATATTTTTGGCAACATTTTTTTTGGAGCTGCCTAATTTGCTTAAATTTTGCCAAATTTGCTTAATTTTGGTCCATTTTATTAATTTTTGCCAGTGTGCTGAAATTTAAAGTTTTACCTTTGCCAAACATTTGCAAGAGCAAAATCATAAGACAAGTGGAATATCACATTTTTTGACCAATTTCGTTAATTTGGAACATTTATGGGCAAAAATCTAGAACTTTTTTTCAGCAAAGGCTTGATAAAATCTCTTTAAATTTTTATGTTTTTACCACTTTGTGCCAGAAAAATAAATCCAAAATAAATAGCTCAAGGACATAGACTCCCCCCCCCAATTTAATTCAAGCAAAGGTTGTGTAATTCTATTGTCTATTTTCCATTACTTGCACAATGTGCTCTTCAAATAAATAAGAGGCAAAAATTGGCAAAAATGTGAATTTTGAAAGTGACTCCTGGCCAAAAATAGAGTTTTCTAGTGTCCAGAACTTTGGTGCATATCACGTGCATTGCATCACTGAATTTTCACATATTCAAAATTATTTGACGCGTTATATTAGGGACCATTTTGACCTCATATCCCAATTAGACAGTTTATTTGTACAATTGAATTCCTTTTGATGGTATTGGAACAGTATTTCAGGCCTAAAATGCAGTGCAAACCTATTATCGCCCATTTTATTTTACTCAACATAAAGTTATACATCTCAGTTAAATCCATCTTTGCATATACCTCGAATATCTAAGGTAATCAAAAAACGATAAATTACTGAAATACTGGAAAAAATTGACCCAAAATTTGGGGGTTCACATAATTGCTGGAAAGGTGGACGTTCAATTTTTTTAGTTAAGATTTTGGGGGGAACCCTCTATATATATTTTCAAAAATATGATAATATAAAGATGTACACTATATGTAATATGGTGTAATCTAATGTGTAGATGAGAAAAAATGTGAAACTCTATAGTTTGCATGTTTAAACTAGAGGAGAATAGTAAGGATTAAAGAAATGTAGCGACCAAGGTTTCACAAAATGGATTACAGCTTCTTCAAATTTGTATCTATATTTACAAGTAGAAACGTTTGGTAAAATGATCACTTTAGAAAATTCCTTTCCTTCCTTATTGAGAAAGTTCACCTACCTGTAGCCTCTTGGCATATCTAGAGCACATGTACGACACACAATCATCTATGGCACCTGTCTGCTGCAAGAGCAGAAGGCCTTTAGGTGTTGTAGCAAAGTTCAATAAATTGTCCTTTAGTGTCTCTTCCCAGAATATCCTACATATAAACATATTAGTAAATTTCATTCTAAGCAGTATAGTGAAAATTGTATCAGAGTATGAGTTTCAAGTCTACCTGACTGTTAACTCCCTCATGCCTGAAAATTTTTGGGAAAATGGAAAGAAATGAAAAACTAAAATGTAAATGACTCTAGAAGCAAGAAAGGGAAGCAACACTCAATAAGTAATATATCATTTTGAAGGGCTATACCCATTCTTTATGTTTTTGGAAAAAAATGTGAATATGCAAATGAGAAAGTGTCATTGTGACGTCATAATTCAAGATGGCGCAGTTAGATTTTTTTTTAAATGGAATTATTTTAGCATTTAATTTTTTATTGAGACTTCAATTTAAAAATTTGAAAACGCAGAATTATAGATCTTTTTATGTTCCTACTGGTCCATACTTTTAGAAAATGCATTATTCTTGCAGTTTTATTGAAATGAGGCCCCTGGAGACCCCTCAGAATAGCAATAAAGCAAAATCGATCATATATGATCGATTTTGTTCTAAGGGGTCTCCAAGGGACCCCTGATGATCAAAATGCATGATTTATCAATTTATTTAATTTTGAAGTCTGTACAAACATTTTAAAAAAAAGTTCATGACTTTTCGTTAAGTATTTACAAAGTTACAGTGATCCGAAGTCGGTGAGCGCGTGAAAAATTGCTAAAACGATAAAATTTATTTGTAGGAGATATGCCATGACACAAATACCACTGGAATCAGCATAAAAAGATCTAAAATTCTGCGTTTTCACATTTTTAAATTGAAGTCTCAATAAAAAAATAAATGCTAAAATAATTCCATTTTGAAAAAAATCTAACTGCGCCATCTTGAACCAGAACAACGGCAACGCCAAAGCGTAGCGAATCCCATCGAACAGAAATGGCTGGCATTTTTACAAATGAATAGCAAATATCATAAAACAACACACCAGAAAGGCCACCATTTTTAAAATGGTTGCTCACTAGCCAAGTTGTCATCAGAAGAAATAATATGCTTTTAAGTAGCCACCTCTAAATTTTTTGAAAAATCGCACACATACTTGTAAAATAACACACATAAAAATGGTGGCCATTTTCAAAATGGCCGACTACTCCCCAAAGTTTTATTAGACAATGTGCCATGCTTAAAGTATTCACATATCAAATATGATCAAAATCGCTCCACTACTTTTCGAGTTATAGTAAAATATGTTAAAAAGGCGGCCATTTTTCAAAATTATTTTCAAAATGGCCGCCTTCTACCAAAAGTGTCATAGGACAGTGTGCCATGCTTATAGTAGTCACATACCAAATATGAACAAAATCGCTCCACGACTTTTCGAGTTATAGTAAAATACGTTAAAATGGCGGCCATTTTTTCAAAATTTTTTTCAAAATGGCCGCCTTCTACGAAAAGTGTCTTTAGACAGTGTGCAATGCTTATAGTATTCACATACCAAATATGAACAAAATCGCTCCACTGTTTTTTGAGTTACAGCAAAAATCGTAAAATGACGAGTAAAGGCCGCCATTTTTCAAGATGGCTGCCATGTGCTTCTTTAATATCTACATTTGTAGCATTATTAATGTCCTTTATAATTTTTTTACATTTAAAACATATTGCTATTACAGTTTTACTTATTGCACCTAAATTACTGTAAAATCGGCACTAAAATGGCCGCCATTTTGAAATGAGCGGCCATTTTGAAAATCAGCTTGCGAGCAGAACTTCTACCCCCATAGGGTATATGTGTACAAAATATGAACAAAATTGGGCCAACGGTATTTGAGTTATTGCCCGGACGGACGGACGGACAGACGGACGGACGGACGACGTACGTACAGACGTACGTACGGACGGACGGACGGACGGAGGCGTTCCCTATATCCCTCCGAACTTCGTTCGATGGGATAATTAAGACATCACAATGACACTATCTCATTTGCATATTCACATTTTTTTCAAAAAACATAAAGTATGGGTTGGGTATAGCCCTTCAAAATTATATATAACTTATTGGGTGTTGCTTCCTTTTCTTGCTTCTATATATATATCTTTTATTGACTCAATAACCATGTCATGTAAATGACATATCAGTCACTACAGTGTACAAAAAACTACAAACTACAACTACATACTACAAAACTACTTTACATCAGTTTCACATGTCAGGGTATGATATCAGTGTGGTGTCTATAGATTCATTTACATTTTAGTTTTTTATTTATTTCCATTTTCCCAAAAATATTCAGGCATGAGAGAGTTAAACATGTAGTTTAACGGATTGCTAAACACTGTATTACATGTTGTACATGTAGTATAACGGATTGCTAAACACTGTATTACATGTTGTACATGTAGTATAATGGATTGCTAAACACTGTATTACATGTTGTACATGTAGTATAACGGATTGCTAAACACTGTATTACATGTTGTACATGTAGTATAATGAATTGCAAAACACTGTATTACATGTTGTACATGTAGTATAATGAATTGCAAAACACTGTATTACATGTTGTACATGTAGTATAATGAATTGCTAAACACTGTATTACATGTTGTACATGTAGTATAATGAATTGCTAAACACTGTATTACATGTTGTACATGTAGTATAATGAATTGCTAAACACTGTATAACATGTTGTACATGTAGTATAATGAATTGCTAAACACTGTATTACATGTTGTACATGTAGTATAATGAATTGCTAAACACTGTATTACATGTTGTACATGTAGTATAATGAATTGCTAAACACTGTATTACATGTTGTACATGTAGTATAATGAATTGCTAAACACTGTATTACATGTTGTACATGTAGTATAATGAATTGCTAATAATGAATACAAGAGAATTGTAGAATACGGTATGTTTATGTGACAATTGTAATATTCACATTTTAAAACACTTGAGAAACTGGGATTAAAATCAAATACCTATTATCATGTATAATAAATATAAAATGAATGCATAAATAAGGGTTATGTACTGGGAGGTTTTGGATATGGGGTTTATCCAGAGGGAGATATGCATATCTACCTGAGGGACCGCAGGGACCGAAGGTAGATGTGCATATCTCACGAGGGATGAGCCCAATATCCAAACCGACCGTACATAACTGCTTTATCCTATACTAAGTAGAGTTTTCAGGGGCATATGGCCATTTTAATAGTACAAGGTGTAAAAATAAATAAATCATATGCAAAGTCATTTTATAGCATTTCCACTACTTACCAGAAGCGGGAAGATATGCACCGAAGCGGAAAGATATGCACCGAAGCGGGAGATATGGCGGGAGATATGGAGGTTCTGGATATGGAAACCTCAAAATCAGGATACGGGATATATCTTACCAACTTATCTCCCTGAAACTCTACTTGGCATAGGATAAAACATCATACTATTTTACTTAAGCAATTATCTATCACAAAACCTTCCATTGACTTAATGTTTCACTGCCTCAAAATGATTAAACTTTTTTTTGTCAGAAAGAACGACGGGAGAACTAATGGAAAAATGTGAAAACTGGTGAAATAGTTACAATGAACACTAATAAATTTAATGTGAATACGACCTTTTATGAATAGTAGTATAAATTTGTAATTCCAAATGGAACCTTGGAATCCATAGGTTGCACTGGGCAAGTAAAATTATTTCTCAAGGAAGGCCAAGTATGATTTAACTTGATCCACCTAGTCTTACACATATCCACCATCCACATCTACTGTCAAATTTAACTTACAGTTCACGAGATTCAGCATGTTCATTATCATCACTATTGTCACTAGATGGTGTTGGAGTCTTCGCATTTTCTAATTGTCTTCGTGTTGCTTTCCAAACATTAGATATGACAGTATGTAAATTATAAGGGTATAACACATAGAGTCCCTCACATGTGCTATATAACTGTCTGCAAACATACATGTAGGCTTCTATAACATAGCAGCTTGGTGGAGGCCCACTCTCCCTAGGCAGGTTCTTTACAAGTCCTTTACAAACAAACTCAGTAATTGTATGAGCTGGTGCAGATTTTGTGCGAGTGAATCTTTCTTCACGTTCTCCATATAAAAGATGGCGCCTTCCACGACTATTTGAGGCAACGACAGAGAGGATTTCCCCGATGTAGACTCGTGTAGTTTCTGAAGCCATGTTCCCACCTTGATCCTGTAATATTGATGTCTTCTTTAAGCCATGTAAAATGCACTTAAGCAGACATAATGTAAATTACATTTTATAAAGTTTTATTTCATGTTTAAGTTCTTGCAAGGATGCTCTAATTTCTTTAAAACATTCATCAATATTTACAAGTAATATCATATGAGTTCTTCCTGTAGTATATAAACAATGAATATAAGTGACTGTGTTGGTTATTTATAATTAACTTTAATTTCCACTGAGTTTCTGACTTTTCCAGGTCAACGAAAGGGATTTTAAATTTTACTTTACCATGTGCATGAGCATACTTAGTTAGATCTATAGGGGGTTATCCAATAATTATAATTCATTTGAGTACTGGACATGTTACGAAAGCCACCTACGCTGCTTCCATCAAGCCAATGTGCTATGGGTGACAAGAGGGCAGAGGTGACATCATCATGGCACATACATATCTCTGAGACATCATCACACTGACACAGACGCACTAGGAACTCAGTCACAAGGTAACACAACTCAAAAACACCTGCAATTAAATTAACAACATATATCATTACATGAGTGTATGTACTAATGTTGAATATTAATCTACAAGACTGTCATAATATCCATATGTTTTAATAATCCAAATTAGAATACATTGAATAATGTTGTTATCATTGCAGACAGAAAAGGCATCTACATTTTATCCTGATCACATAACTTAATTTGATCACATACATGTAAATTAGAGGTCTTTCCTTGACTGTGAGGATGGAGGGACTTGAATGAAGGGTCATTGAGGTCTTTCCTTGACTGTGTGAGGATGGAGGGACTTGACTGAAGGGTCATTGAGGTCTTTCCTTGACTGTGAGGATGGAGGGACTTGACTGAAGGGTCATTGAGGTCTTTCCTTGACTGTGTGAGGATGGAAGGACTTGAATGAAGGGTCATTGAGGTCTTTCCTTGACTGTGAGGATGGAGGGACTTGACTGAAGGGTCATTGAGGTCTTACCTTGACTGTGAGGATGGAGGGACTTGACTGAAGGGTCATTGAGGTCTTTCCTTGACTGTGTGAGGATGGAAGGACTTGAATGAAGGGTCATTGAGGTCTTTCCTTGACTGTGAGGATGGAGGGACTTGACTGAAGGGTCATTGAGGTCTTACCTTGACTGTGTGAGGATGGAAGGACTTGAATGAAGGGTCATTGAGGTCTTTCCTTGACTGTGAGGATAGAAGGACTTGACTGAAGGGTCATTGAGGTCTTTCCTTGACTGTGTGAGGATGGAGGGACTTGACTGAAGGGTCAATGAGGTCTTTCCTTGACTGTGAGGATGGAGGGACTTGAATGAAGGGTCATTGAGGTCTTACCTTGACTGTGAGGATAGAAGGACTTGACTGAAGGGTCATTGAGGTCTTACCTTGACTGTGTGAGGATGGAGGGACTTGACTGAAGGGTCATTGAGGTCTTTCCTTGACTGTGTGAGGATGGAGGGACTTGACTGAAGGGTCAATGAGGTCTTTCCTTGACTGTGAGGATGGAGGGACTTGAATGAAGGGTCATTGAGGTCTTACCTTGACTGTGAGGATAGAAGGACTTGACTGAAGGGTCATTGAGGTCTTACCTTGACTGTGTGAGGATGGAGGGACTTGACTGAAGGGTCATTGAGGTCTTACCTTGACTGTGTGAGGATGGAAGGACTTGACTGAAGGGTCATTGAGGTCTTACCTTGACTGTGTGAGGATGGAAGGACTTGACTGAAGGGTCATTGAGGTCTTTCCTTGACTGTGTGAGGATGGAAGGTCTTGACTGAAGGATCATTAAGGTCTTACCTTGACTGTGAGGATGGAGGGACTGGACTGTAGGGTCAGTCAGAAGCTGTGTCAGAGAGACCAAGAACTTTGTTATGCTGACTGGCTCTAGAAAACATAACAAGGCATTAACATGACAAAATGTCATCACCCAGTTGCTCACAATATTATTAGTTAAGTTTTGAATTTGTGAGAACTCTGTACCTTGGTAAAAATCAAGTACAGTAGATGATTTTGAAAAAAATGGTCAATTTGAAACACATTTTATGACTCTGAGAAGGGCATTGAAGGAGAAATCTCAAATCTAAAGTCAGATTTGAACTTTTGAGAACTTGAAGATGATTTTAAAACAAGCAAGGCACAGGACGTGAACGAGATCACACCATCAGATAGGCAGACACTATGAACCAGGAAAACTGTTCTCCTATTATGTTTACAAATTTCAAGAACAGGAAAACAAGATGGCCGCCCAAAAGTTAATCAGCTCTAGTACTTGATATCCTCTATCATTTGTGTAAATTTGAAGGAAATCCGATGAGCGGTTTTCCTGAAATGGAGATGACAAGATTTTTCGAAAAACCTTCAAAATGGCCACCAGAAAACAAGATGGCCACCCAAAAGTTAATCAGCTCTAGTACTTGATATCCTCTATCATGTGTGTGAATTTGAAGGAAATCCGATGAGCGGATTTTCTGAAATGGTGATGACAAGATTTTTCGAAAAATCTTCAAAATGGCTGCCAGAAAACAAGATGGCCGCCCAAAAGTTAATCAGCTCTAGTACTTGATATCCTCTATCATTTGTGTAAATTTGAAGGAAATCCAATGAGTGGTTTTCCTGAAATGGCGATGACAAGATTTTTTGAAAAACCTTCAAAATGGCCGCCAGAAAACAAGATGGCCACCCAAAAGTTAATCAGCTCTAGTACTTCATATGCTCTATCATCTCTGCAAAATTGGAGAAAATCTGATGAGCAGTTTTCCTTAAACGGCGATGACAAAAAGCAGGACGACCACGATCACGACCACGATCACGACCACGATCACGACCACGATCACGTCCACGATCACGACCATGATCACGACCACGATCACGACCACGATCACGACCACGACCAGTATGACGACTATATCCCACCGATGGTGTGATAAAAAATTCTCAATTTGAAGCAAGTTGTAAAAATACCTTTTCGACCTTGAGAAGGTCATTGAAGGTCAAATCTTATTTGACCTTGAAAATGTTATTGAATGTCAAATCTATGTTCAGATTTGAACTTTTGAGAACTTCTAGATGATTTTGAAAAAAATGCTCAATTTGAAGCAAGTTGAAAAAAGACCTTTTTAACCTTTTTTGACCTTGAAAAGATCATGAAAGGTCAAATCTTGATTCTAGAGTCAGATTTGAACTTCTAAAAACTTGTAGATGATTTTGAAAAAATGGTTAATGTGAAGCAAATTAAAAAAGTCCTCTTTTGGACCTTGTAAGGGCATTGAAGGTGAAATCTTAATTCTAGAGTCAGATTCGAACTTCTGAAAACTTGTAGATGATTTTGAAAAAAATTGAACTCAGTCTAAACTGTATTTGTCAAGTTATTGGAAGATGTAAGAAATTGTTACAGACGATAATGGCCAACTGCCAACCACCAACCGCCATCTGCTGTCACAAAAAATGGAGACCATAACAATATGTCACCACCTTTTGGTGGTGACATAATAAAAAATACATACAACATTGTACTTTTTGTAGATATTTTCATCTATGAATGGAGGCAAAATGAATGTGTCCTTAATATGAAGGATAAAAACTTTGTAAACAAAATAATACTAAGGTGTTCCTTTCAAAAAAATTTCTAGCTACAGCTGTTTTTGCACTTAAGTCTATTGATGATTTGTCAGTTGATATTAAACAAATATGTCACTCTTCAAATGAATATAAGAAGGTGTATTGTCCATAGGGCAAGGCCAATACTTCCCTGCAAAAATCATTAAAATTTGAATTTTGTTTACTGAATTATGCATCACTTTGACAAAATTCAGTTGGTCTAAACATTGCTGGTACATCATTATATCTCAATGTTATATTCATGTTTTTAATGATTTTTTCAACTGAAAATCTTACAAGATCCATTTTCTTTCTAATACCCAAGAGTAATATTCACTTCTATGTAATCTTTTAAGTTAATTTTGTATGTCAATCACATGATAAAATGGCAATAACACATGCATTAATATTGCACTTTTCACGATTATTGCATCGCTTTTCCATTTTGATTGGACTTTTCAGCTTGAATAATGGAAAATATGAGCTTACAGTATTGAAGGGTTTATAAAAGAAAAACTCCACCAATATACCTTCCTTCTCCTTGACTGTTATAGGAAAGAGATCCCTGCCATGTTTGAAGCAAAGCAGTTTACTGATGAAGTGTATTGAATGGATGAAGTAGATGTATTCTATTTCTGGCCCAGTGTAATGTTTCCTACGACCTTCACCTGTACCTGAAATGGATGATATTTCCTGATAATTATAGATCAAAAATTTTGGCAAAACAAGGGGAAGATTTTACGGTCAAGATTTTAGAATTGAAAATATAAAAATTAGGATTTCCCCATCAAGTCAGTGCTACTCAGTGCTAAAATCTGATTTAATCAGCTTTGATGTCATCACTCCATATGACTAAGTCAATGAAGACACGGATGCGCAATCTAAGAAAATAAAAATACATGTACTGCTTTACTGCCAGAGAAAATTATATCAGATTTATGGAATTCCCAGATAAAAGAGGATTCCCTCATTAATTTGGAAATTAGTTATACAATTCAGTGATCTCCCCAGCATTAAAGCAGGTGGGTGCAGCACCCACCTGAGACTTTAAGAACAGGCTTGCACCCACCTGAAAATCCATTTGCACCCACTTGAAAATGAGAAAAATCATGAAAAATGAGCATATCTTGACCATTTTTTTGTCTAAATTGTGAAAAAATTGTGAAAATGAAAATTTTGCACCCACTCGAAAAAAAATCCTGTGGATAACACTGCAATTCATTTCAAAACAGTAAATCCAAAATGGCCACTTTATTATTCACCTGACAAGACCAAACAAGGCATGAACATGCAAAATGTTACGCTCTGACATTTGTTACAGATACCAACTGCCAATGGCCAAACACTGTCCACAGAAAAGTTAACAATATGTCACCACTTCTGGTGGTGATATAAAAACAAATCAGGTTTGGAATTTAATACGAAGAAACATCCCTCTTAATCTTCAAACTGAAACTTCAAACTGTATGACTGGAATGCATAGGTGAGGTTTCATAAACACTGGGAAGTGTCAATTTCGATATTTTAGTAACGTAACGCTTTGATCTTTGAACCAAATCAGACCTGTATGATATGGAAACTCTGGAGTATGATCATTTGATCATATATGAACAGATTTTATATGGCAGATATGGGTTGGGGGTTCTTTTACTTCCTAAAGTTTAAGGCCCATTCAACATATTTTGTTTAAGGATTTAAGCCCTGGACTCAGTGCATTGTTTGCTGAATCATACCATGAAGGTGTTGTTTCCAAACCTTTGCATGACCGCGCAGTGGGAATGCAAAGTTTAGGAAACAATGCCTGAGTAGAATGAAGCAGCTACAATGTATTGAGTCTTGGGCTTAAATTCCTTTCACACATTGCAATTTTTCTACAGAATCATCCAAAAGGAACAAAATCACTAAAAGAACACATTTTCAATGACATTTTTTGCAAGGGTTTAGTTGGCAAGTCATCAAATCCAATATGAAAGGTCCATTCATCACCATGACAACTGTTTAACTAGTGACCTTGCATGTGTTATTGATATTTCACACACTGTTCCATATGTGAAATACTGTGTTCGGATTGACTGGAATCGGACACACCTTGCCTAGCTATGTGTGAAAGTACTTTAATTGCATGTTTTATATTCTGTTAGTATGAGCAATTTGGAGAGACATTAGAATAGGGGGATGCTGTGACTGGAAACTTTTAGCACGTCCAAGATAACATTCAATGATTTCTGGACACTTTCAAAGTCTGAATCAGTAGGCTAGAATCAATCTAAAGAAATTAAGATTTTTTTCAATCATTTTCATTTTTGGGGAGTGATGGGGCAGTGGAAACTTTACTATTTCAAGATGCTGTCTGGTTATTTCTGGGCATTTTTAATGTGTTTGAGTATTTGAAGTTTTTGCTTCAGTTTTTTTCGGTTTGGGGTGTCAGAAATGTTTATGATTTCAATGTCACTTGGTGATTTCTGGGCACAAGGTGTTTAAATTAACGAATATAACTTCAAAAAATATTTTTGCATTACCTACAGGAAAAATACTCATGGAGATGATAAGATAATTTAGACTTTGAAACAGGGAAGGTTCAAACAACCCACCCACATATTTTTTCTGAAATGTTGTCCTGTTTTTCAACCCCTTTCACCCCTGCTTTTTCAATTATTGTTAAGTTGCATTTTGAGACACAGTTAACCCATTTAAAGGGTTATGATAAGCTCCCCGTATAAAAATAATATGGCAGCTCAAGGCCTGTGTAATGGATCAGTCTATTTTGAAGAAATTAGGGGAGTTTTGTAAATTCCAGTTTATCAAAATCGTCTTGAAGATAGAATTATTCGTCAGAAAGATTACAATGATTCTATAAAGTTTGAGCATTAGCATTAGCATCAGCCAATATAAATCCTTGTGCAAATCCAAACTACCTTGTTTCATTTACAGTACATTTCATAAGACCACACGTTGTGCTAATATGTGATGGGTAAATCTAGATATCAATTCTTCCCATTAAACACAAATAGAAGATCCTGAAACTTCACCAATAAATGTGAAATTGATTTGTAAATATAAAAATCTCCCAATAACAATATTTCCCATGTTATTTTCCCATAGGAAAAACTAATGCTACCAATTGCTTTCAGCTCTATTTTGGTCAACCATAATGGATATCTTTAAAACTCCTGAAGGAATCACTTATTAATTGTGTCAAAATGCAACATATTTATGCAACTTAACAATAATTGAAAAAGCAGAGGTGGAAGGCAACCAGGGAGTTTTTTCAATTTTAAAATGAGTTGTAACAAAACCATAGATCTATTTTTTAAATGTTAAGGTTTAAATTATATTCTATTCAAATTCTATCATTGTTAAACCATATATCTGCTTTAAAGGGAATGCGAAGTTTTGTCCCTTAAACTTGATAATAAGTTAGAATAAAGATACATCTTTCAATCCAACTTCATTTTATTGTTCTATCATTATCCTTTTAATTGTTATTGAACCCCGGGTTTTGCATATAAACTGGACCACGGAGCTGCCATTTCAACCGTAAAGTGGTTCTTTACGACATTGTTATGACATCATTGATGCCAGATTGATGCCTTGGCATTCCAAAAGTTTTGTGGCACCATTTTTGAATCAAAAAATGAATGCCGAGTTGTTGCCATTCCAAAACCAAATAAACCATTTTTAAAGGAACTAAAAGAACACGTATATACCACCCATAATAAAGAACAATTTCAATAGAATATTAACGCCGGCATTTTCGGAATTGCTTTTTACCTATCTAGACATGGAATGCAGGTTACATTAATTCTTTATTTACACTTCAAACAATCTGGGATTCGTGACTTTTATTAGGTCTAGCGCTAAATGCGAACAGAGAATGCTAATTCTATCAGGCTGAGTCTCAGTATCAGGCGAATGCAAACTATTTGAATAATTAATTCAACTAACCCATCTTGAATTTCCAACAAGAATGCAATCTCGGTGATGATTTAATTTGCTAGTCTCATTACAAAAATATGTGTTCGTACTTTAATATTCATTGCATTTATGTTTATCTTTAACACAAGTATTCGAAGAAATTTTTAAAATTAAATTTTAAAACCGTATTCAATTACTATCATGGATTCTTAGCCTCACGTCACATTTTTACGGCGACTGTACGGTCTTTCATTTCTGTGGTAAGTAGAATTTCTACGGTTGCCTAAGTATTTCTGCAGTCAGATAATTTAGCAGTCACATTTGCTAAGATAGCTCTACGGCGTATCTTAATTATGAGGAAAAACTACGATTCCGTACGGCTGATAAATGATGACGCACGATCAGCGTAGGGTGGCCCTACGACGTGCGCAGTTTATCTTGAAGGCATCCACAAGGGGTTCTATGGCTCGGAAAGGTCAATTGTAACCTATGAAATCCAAGGGCAGCCACAAGTCGACCGTGAATCCGACGTACGGCCGTCGTGGGACCTACGGTTTGGCTGCTGCTTGTTGATATCTACGGTGACCACAGGAAAGAAAACATTTTAATTAATTCCGACTCTACGCTCTGTAAAAACTGGATATGCCGTGTATGTAGACCGCAAGGTGACCTTAAGTCGACTGTAGTTTTCATATGTTTGCCGCAGAAATTTACTGATTTCAGGGAAATACGATCGACATGTGGTCGCATTGAGCAAATGTGACTGAAGCTTTTAAAGTTTCACTTATTTTCCGATATAGAAAAACAAAAGGTTGTATGCCATAAAATTGAAAATCATAATTTGGAAAATACTGTAGAACTGTACTTACCACGGATGTTATATAATTAAATTCGAGTTCGAAATCAGGAATTGTTTTTAACAAAAAATAATTATATAATAAAATAAATATTAAAATATTGGCGTACTATCAATATGGAAATCGCCTTATCGTCGTTGAAATGAAATATCATACTACAATCAACCCTATCATCTCCCCCGCATCACTGAATGTTATGAGCCTTCTCTTGACATGATCCAAGGTGAAATACCATTGAATTTTGAAAAGCTTTTTTGTCATATTGAATGTCGCTATTACGGTGATATGATGATTGAAATTGGTCGTTTAACAACTGAGAAAAATTAAACATTACGTATTATTCTTTGAAAATATGACAGTGGCATGTCCTTGTAAAGCTATTGCCAATCTTAATATTTAGGAGATTGACATTTACATACGTATCATTTAGACAACATCGATTTTTGTTTGCATTTTTCATCAGAATTTAAATGGTTAAACACTTTAGGGAGTTACTGTTTCATTGGATTACTACTTTTAGTTTTATTTCTTTCATTCTCCAATATACATCTATTCATATTTGAATAGAATACTACAGATTGAAGAAATCTACCATTTATGATTAGGTAAGAAAGCGGCAGTATGCCTATTTGCCGACGTATACCTTATCATTATATAACATAATTCCAGTGGATATTTTTCAAGTGGAATATAATGCGATGACTTTTCAGTCAAAACCACCTACATTGCGAATCGCGCAGCCGATATCTCATCAGTTTAGTGATTTTTCTACCTTGCCTATACTATAAATATAAAATTAAATACAAACATTTGAAAAAAGACATTTAGTAGATGGGTTAACTACATTTGGACTTCATTGTATGGTGCAAATGTCCCATTTGGCATGGAAGTACCTTAGGGCAATAGAAATTAATTTATCCGAAGACACAAGCTAGATGGCGCTTTATATTGGAAATATACACATTTTTCAAAATGGCCGCCAAAAATACATCAGAGACGATATATTTGCTTCTGTGCATGCTACAATTATAAGATTGGTGTCAAAAAATACAGTGATGTAGTCGGAGAATCTATTTTATTAGATCTTGTGTCTTCAAAATTAAAAACTTGGACTCTATATTCAAAATATACGCATTTTTCAAAATTACTGCCAGAAATATAACATAGAAGATATCTTACCTTACGAATACTTACAAATTAAGATATCTTACCTTACAAAATGTCCCATCTGGCATGGAAATACCTTAGGGCAATAGAAACAAATTTATCCAAAGACACAAGCTAGATGGCGCTTTGTATTTGAAATATACACATTTTTCAAAATGGCCGCCAAAAATGCATCAGAGACAATAGCTTTGCTTCTATGCATGCTTCAATTATAAGAGTGGTGTCAAAAATACATTAATGTAGTTGTAGAATCTATTTAATTAGGTTTTGAGTAAATTCAGCACTTGCACTTTATATTCAAAATATATGCATTTTTCAAAATGGCTGCCAGAAATTTAACAAAGATGATATCTTCGCTTCAAAGATTGCTACAATGATAAGAGTGGTGTCAAAGTATACATTAATATTGGGTTGTAGAATCCATTTAAATAGGTCTTTCATAATAAGAATTTTATAACATTGATGATATCTTCACATCAGTGCATGCTACACTGATACGATTGGTGTCAAAATTTTATATTTATGGGGTAGGAGAATCAATTTCATTAGGTCTTGTGAGATTATAGTTTTCACTTTGTATTGGAAATATATGCAGCTGAAAATATAACAAAGATTGTATCATTGCTAACAAAGATTGTACCTTTGCTAAAAGTTTCTTTGCTTCTGGGCATAATATTTCATAAAATTGGCTTCAAAATCTACATTTTTGGAATGTAAAATCTATTTAATTACTCAGATGCAAGTAATTCGGGTGAAATAACATTTCAGGGTATCACAAAGTTCCCTTAAACTTGAATATTCTTTATTTTTAGTGGTTCACATTTCATATTACTCTTTTGTATCTGATAGTTGTGCAAATTAAAATATCTCCAGTAAAACAAAATACTATCTGCACAACACAAGAAAAGAAAAGATATTTCTCTTTTTGTGTTTTACAACATGGGGACTATGGGGAATCTCCCTGACCTAAATGTCACTTTTTCAAAGAAAATTCAATTTTAAAGTTGATGGACTCATTTCAAAACCACATTCCTTGATATATTTTTTCATGACGATTCCAAATTCAACATCAGTTAGACTGGATTTTGACTTTTTAATGACAAAAATAAAGGTTGTTACTACTCACATCTAGCTAATTGCATTATGAGCCTTAAAATCAATCATTTTTCGCCTTAACACAGCAAATGTGTATTTATTTTTCGATGTTCCTTTTACTCAAATTCACCAGAAAGACCAGAGTCTCTTTAGTAACTTGCAATAAAAGTGCATCTGCAATGGTAGTGCAACTTTAGTTGTTGCAATGCAACATACATAAGAGAGAAATGTGATAGATAGAAACCACGCAGGAGAGACATACATATGCACCTATTGTTAGAAAGGGCCAGAAACCTTCTGGCGAGAGAAAATCTTGAAGATCGGAATAGATTTCAAGGGCTGCATATAATGACAGTATTGCAGTACCCTCTTCATCTCCTCTTGTTCTCAATTAAAACATATCAAAAGTTTCTTCACTTTATATCAACAATTACTTAAAAGGGGACGGCATTTGAAATGCGCTGAAGTTGAAAACCATATCTCCCATGCTATCCATAGTTTACAGCTAGTTTCTGTCATCGCAAATTGATATTCAAAACTACCCTTTCAAACTATTATACTTTTGAAGAAGTTTAAGAGCCCTTGTTAGATATAATTTGTTGTAATATTTTCCACAGCCATTGAGAAAAGGGCATACATTTTCAATAAAAAGTGAAAATGTTTGTTAACTAATAGACATACACTTACAATATCAGAATTTCCGCTGATTTTAACATTTTGGTGACCATTAAGTCAATGCTAAAAATCATATTTAGATGAAAAAATTGAGATTTCACTTAATATAGTGTAACCATACAATGACGACATATCTAGTACGTAATAGCTAATGAACTCCTTCTGTGGGACATTTTGAATTTTATGAGGCATTAATCATAAAATTAACATCATCTTTAATTTAATTGAGTACATATGGCCATACTTTGAAGGAATCCGAAAATAATTGCAAAATCAGACATAAGACAGACGATGGACTGACAGACTGACGGACGGAGGGCTTTACTATATCCCCACTGAACTTTCTTCGTTGGGAAAATAAAGACTATAAACCTTATCAAATGGATTCTACCACCCATTAATGTATACTTGGACATCAATCTTACTATTGTAGCATGCATACAAGTGAAGATATCATCTTTGCTACCTCTCTGGCAGCCATTTTGAAAAAGGTATATTTTTTAATATAAAGAGGAAGTTTCTCATTTTCAAGACACAAACCCACACTAAATTGATTCTTCACCCTCATCTGGCGTGTGTCTTTGGATAAATTTGTTTCTATGGTCCTAAGGTACTCTCATGCCAAAGGAAACGTTTGCATCATAGATTGAAGTCCAGACCCCCTAAAATGCAGTTAACCCATCTACTAATTGCAACAATTCAATTTCTATGAAGAATATATTGAAACAACCTTTCCAAATATATAATATGATATGGACATGAACATGCGGCAACAATGTTAAAGGGTTCCGATTAGCATCCCGTATAAAAACAATATGGCGGCTCCAGGCGAATCAACTGGATCAGTCCATTTTTAAGAAATAAGGGGAGTTCTGTAAAATCCAGTTTATTGAAATTGTCTTTGAGATAAAGTAATCCGTTTATAATGATTTTGAAAACGTTATCCAACGAGTGATTGCGTTCAAAGAATACAGGTACAACAGCCAATATTAATCCTTGTATTAGAAACCGGTTTGTCTTGCTTTGTTTCATTTGTAGGATATTTCATATGCCAAGCTGTGTGCTATTACGTTATGGGGAAATTTAGATGCCAATTTTTCCTTATTATACACAAATAGAAGATCCTGAAACTTCACCCATAAATGTGGAATTGATTTGTCAAAATAAAAATCACCCTTTTATAAATGTGTGACGATCTATAATATACTTATGCTATATAACAGTTAGAGGTGTTGACACAACGACCTCAAACCTGTGAACCCTTGAGTATTATTCCGGGATCGGGCGTTTTATACTAAACGGAGAGCAACACCAGAAACGAGCGTTCGATTTGCTAAACGATATGCGTCACCCTTTAAGCGGACAGAAATAGTTATAAAATATCAGTGAAATGTGTTCTATTTCTGAGATCCAAGTATGACGTGATTATATAGCGACACTTCCCAGGCATCAATTTTAAGGCATCAATGATGTCATTGATACATAACAATGGCGGCATCCGCAGCGATCCAGATAGGGGTACTTTGAACTTGAATTATATTTTAGTTCAAACACGATATGTCCAATGAGTGAGCTGAAGTGATAGATGATGGTTATAAGTAGTCAGCGTGTAAATTAGAACATGAAACTTCGCATTCCCTTTAAATGGGCTTATTAACCTTTTGCAGATTATTGATGTAGATGCCAGAAACTTTTACTAATTCAAGATGCTTATTCTGGGACATGCTTATTCTGGGCAAAAATCACTTTTCCCCTCAAGAAAATATTACAATTTTAAGAAGCTATTTGGTGATTTCTGGGCACTTTCAAATTGTATGAGTCAGTTAAAAAAAGAAATAAAAAATAATTCGATTTCTTAGGGGGATGTGAGAGGGGGGTGTGCCAGAGGGGCAGCAAGGAGTTGTCTTCCAAAAAATGTTGATCATTGCAACTTGCTGTTTGATAATGTCTGGGCACTTTTAGAGCATCTGAGACAACGAATGAACAGAACAAATGGGGAGTGTGAGGGGTGGCCCACTTCCTCTAGAATTCTTTTGGGGGGTGCCAGAGGGGGGGGGGTGCGGTTGCACCAAATAACCCCCCCCCCCACACATCCATCTAACGTCCCTGTAAGTAAGAATGATCTGAAGGTGAGCAGCCATGATCTGGCATAAATTAAAACTTAAATGAAATGAAAGTTTACCTGTAGACCCAGGTGTATCTGACGCTTCACTCATTAGATCAAAGGGAACTTTCCGGGAGCCACAGAATTCCATACAGTGTTTAATAACAGCTATCACCTGAGAGAACAATAAGGTTAAAAGTAGGTATTCTACATATAATGCCTCCTCCCCTCTGAGGTTTTAGGATCTTCCTTCTACTATGGGAGGGTATAGGCTTAAATCATTAATATTGAATATTGAGGGGAAAATGGCAGTGTAAAAATACAAAAAATAAATTCCATATATATATAATTTGAGGTTTGTTTCAATCTTTTATTTTAGGCTTTTGTTTTGTCACATAGTGACTGCCATTTATTTTCTCACCTACATGTAAGGGATTGTGCACATTTAATATGTCATTTGAAGAATGTAATCCTATTTTCTTTACTTTATTCCTATTTTTACTGTTAATGAAAATTGTATGTTGGATGTATGTTTGGCGCTAAAAGGGCATCAGTACAAATAAAAATCCTACTATATAGTATATTTAGTCATATGATGAAACATTGTAATGTTTTCTTACCACTACTTTGCAAGATTCAAAGTTCTTCAATAAAATAGACCTGCTGTAATGACCATGCTGAAAACACCAGAAAGTAAGCAATTATCAATAAGTAAGTGTTAATCTATTAATGGCATCATTTGTTTGGCTCACATGGTGGATATTTATGCTAATTCCTTAATTCATATTGGGTATTTTGATATGCATGAATAGGCATGCCTTTTGAAAACTTGTAAAATAAGCTATTAAGCTCATTGTGAAATCATAGTGTAAGTAACATTGCAAAATCACATTGATACGACGTCAGATACTGTACATCACGGCGTAACATTGTAATTGTTCATTTTACCGACAAAATGCAAAGATTTACGCGATAAATATGCGCAATGTTCCTTTAAGTAATTGCAAAAGTTTTAATATTCGTGGAATCTTCTTAAAAACTTCAAGTTCTGTTCAGATTAATGTGCGCTTCAATACAATTCTATATTCAAAAAGGTTGTGTCACGATATACATAATTAAAATCACCAGAAAGTAGACATTTTAAACCCTACCCGCTTTCTTCTTTGTCGCGCTTTTCGGCCATGCGCTCTCGTTGTCGCACCGTCTTTCTAGACTCTTTCACAGAGCCCCTTGTCATATTCAACTGATATACACAGACGGGAAAATATTAAGGATTGTTAAATGTATTATCTGTAATTTATATTAACTCAAATATTTAGTTTTATCTATTTAAAGCAATGAATAATAAAGGAGAACATATAATACGCTAACGGCGTAATGTCTTATTTTGTAAAGGCTTCACTTGGGGTTGCGGTGATAAAATGATGTCTATCTCAATATATACTGGTTCAAATTAAATGAAATTAATGTATGTAGGGAGGGGTATATTTCAAAGAACATGTTGAAACATTGGAACGTTTTGAATGTTTATCCCTTAATTAGAGATATTTGAACACAAAAAACGAAACGTAATTTTTTGAATTTTTCACATGGCTTCACTTCATATTTCTTTCAATTTATACTTCTTACAGACTGAATTTTATTCGAAATGATATAGTTTTTTGATAAAAATATAATAGAATATGATATTCCTTTGAGGAATCAAAAAAGAATAATTCACTTTTCAAACGATTAAATGTTTACTTGATCAAAATATATATCATGTTGGTACGAAATTCTGCCTGTCCACACTTTTTTGGCATAAATATAAGCGTTAAATTAGCATTGTTATATTATGACGTCATAACACAGAATCTGTTTGTTTTTTTCAAAATGCTGAATTTAAATATTGTGAAAATTTGTGAAAGATCCGTTAAGAAATGACAAAGTTATCTTCATTTTTCGTTGAAAATTAAAATCATTTTTCTTCAAAATGTTACAGTCCACATCCGGTTTTGGCATAGAAAGTCACATCATTCGGTTTGCGTGATTCTGATTTAAAAAGTTCCAAATCAATTATTTGGAATTCCGATAGGCAAAATATTTCAAGGACATATATGTTCAACCGATGACGAAAAATTGTATAAAAATATGATTTTGCTCTGGAGATATCGCAGTTCTAAAAGTAAGTATGCATGTAAAAATGCAATAAATGCTGTGATGTACAGTATCCGACGTCGTATCATTACAATTTGTATGTATTGATATTTTTATAGTTATATTTTAATGACTATTAATACATTAATAAATGAGTGGACTGATAGCTGCAATATATCCTCATTTACTTTGTTCATTAGGATAACAATGATAAAGAAGCATAAAATTTCTGTCTTGCTTACCATCCAAGTCATAAACCACTTGGCCTGTGGGTCCAAGACAGCTAGGAAGTGTAGTGGCATCATCTGTGGCTGACTTCCCATTGGTGCTTTGTAGGTGATCTCTATCAGCTTTAACATGCTCTCTATCAATTCCTCCACAAATCTAATAGTGCAAGAAGCAAGATACACTGACAATGTTACAATGTCTTTCACCATTAATATGACTACAATGTACAGATATATTTCACCTTTGATACTATTGGGATTGCAATAAATCATTTAAACTGTGATACATGGATGCCTGAAAGAAAATATCAATGTTTTGAAGAAGTTCCTTTTTTTAGAATTGCTTTGACTTAGGGAAATTTAGCTCAAAGAGATGCTGCAATCATGAAATCAATCAACGTTTTTATCTCACACCCGGTGATCGTGAAAATGGGACGGAGGGGGGGAGCAAGCAATTTCTGGTAGAAAAATGAACAAATCTGCAGAAATTATTTTTTCAAGAAAAGGTTTATGATTAAATTGCTAAACGAATAGGCGCACGGTATGGTAAAATATGTCACGTATTCTATGAATCTTTTTAGCTGATTCTCTTCTTAGGTATAAGATCTATTAAAAAAGGCGCAACGCCACCAACGTGCATTAGTCAATGTTTTTGCTTTAAATCAAGCATCAACGGTCTAAATAAACTGCAATAAATATTTGTAAGTGACATTATCATCATAAAATTAATGACCTTATGTTTCCATACGTTGTATAAAAAATAATCGAAAATAATTAAAATGGGACGGAGGGGGGAGGGGACGGAGGGGGGAGCAATATGTCTATTATGTGTACCTGGCAAGGTTGATCAAACCGTCCATTACATTGATAGTTTATGATGTTGATTTTACAAAGCTTTTATGTGATGAATCTACAATATATACAGTTAATGGTTTAGTTTGATCTAGTTTTAAAATAGTTTATTTTTGTGTCATTGATATTACAATGGTCATGTAAAATACATAATAAAAATAACATTTGGTAACATCACCAGCCGGTGTCGACTTATGAGACACAGTATACATTTATATCTGAGTGTCACCCATTTGGTCAAATATTACAATAAATACATATATTGCACTAAATGTGAATTGCAAAATACATATGGTCGAAGACAAGTATTACAATAAATACATATATTGCACTAAATGTGAATTGCAAAATGCATATGGTCGAGGACAAATGTTACAATAAATACATATATTGCACTAAATGTGAGATGCATATTGCATAACAAATACATATATTACACTTAATGTGAGAAAATATTTGCAAAGTACAGTACAGTATTTGGCGTAATAGGCGATGTGCCCATGGTATGATTGGGTACACTAATTGGGAAACTTCCTAGCAGATTATTTAGTCTAAATTCTACATCTGCTGAAGACCAACATAATCAAAAATATTAACATATACTAGATATCTGGTTGCGAGGTTAATAACGAAACAACTTTAGTAACTGCTTACTCGAAAACTTGCATGTCCAAATAGAAATATGATGCGATGTCTACATTTTTATGATAAGTCTTCAAAAAATAAAAACTATTATACACATAAAAAGATAAACGCTCTCCTCCAAGATTTTGATAATCCTAAATAAATCTAACTACGAATACAACTTGTTATCAATTCCTAACCCATTGTAATTGAGGAGAAAATGGGAAAATTTGGATATAAAGTGAAGTAACATCTCTCATCATGTCGTATAGACATTTTGCTCCCCCCCCTCCGTCCCCTCCCCCCTCCGTCCCATTTTAATTATTTTCGATTATTTTTTATACAACGTATGGAAACGTATTTTGTAAAGTCATTAAGGTCATTAATTTTATGATGATAATGTCACTTACAAATATTTATTGCAGGTTGTGTAGACCGTTGATGCTTGATTTAAAGCAAAAACATTGACTTTTGCACGTTGGTGGCGTTGCGCCTTTTTTAATAGATCTTATACCTAAGAAGAGAATCGGCTAAAAAAAATCGTAGAATACGTGACATATTTTACCATACCGTGCGCCTATTCGTTTAGCAATTAAATCATAAACATTTTCTTGAAAAAATAATTTTTGCAGATTTGTTCATTTTTCTACCAGAAATTGCTTGCTCCCTCCCCCTCCGTCCCATTTTCACGATCACCGGGTGTGTATCTGCATGTTGTTTTTAAGTGAATGTGTTAATATTACCTTTCTGGAAATCGTATCCAATACTGGGGAATCTGTTTTTGGAATTCATTCAGCAGGCGGAACTGAAATACATGTTCAATGAACAATGAATGGAACTGAAATACATTTTCAATGAACAATAAATGGGACTTAAATTCATGTTATATGAACAATAAATGGAACTGAAATACACACTCAATGAGCGATGAATGGAACTAAAATACACACTCAATGAGCAATGAATGGAACTGAAATACACGTTCAATGAACAATGAATGGAACTGAAATACATTTTCAATGAACAATAAATGGGACTTAAATTCATGTTATATGAACAATGAATGGAACTGAAATACACACTCAATGAGCGATGAATGGAACTGAAATGCATATTCAATGAACAATGAATGGAATTGAAATATGTGTTCAATGAACAATGAATGGAATTTAAATACATGTTCAATGAGTGATGAATGGAACTGAAATATTTGTTCAATGAACAATGAATGGGACTTAAATGCATGTTCAATGAGCAATAAAAGGAACTGAAATACATGTTCAATGAACAATGAATGGAACTGAAATATGTGTTCAATGAACAATGAATGGGACTTAAATACATGTTCAATTAGTGATGAATGGAACTGAAATATTTGTTCAATGAACAATGAATGGGACTGAAATACATGTTCAATGAACAATGAATGGAACTGAAATACATGCTTAATGAACAATGGATGGGACTTAAATACATGTTCAATGAGTGATGAATGGAACTGAAATATTTGTTCAATGAACAATGAATGGGACTTAAATACATGTTCAATGAGTGATGAATGGAACTGAAATATTTGTTCAATGAACAATGAATGGGACTTAAATACATGTTCAATGAACAATGAATGGAACTGAAATACATGCTCAATCAACAATTAATGGGACTTAATTTCATGTTCAATGAGTGATGAATGGAACTGAAATATTTGTTCAATGAGCAATGAATGGAACTGAAATACAAGCTCAATCAACAATTAATGGGACTTAAATTCATGTTCAATGAGTGATGAATGGAACTGAAATATTTGTTCAATGAATGGAACTGAAATACACTCTCAATGAACAATGAATGGAACTGAAATACATGTTCAATGAACAATGAATGGGACTTAAATATAGTACATGTTCAATGAACAAAGAATGAAACTGAAAAACAAGCTCAATGAACAACGAATGGGACTGAAATACATGTTCAATGAAAGGAACTGTACATTATATAGGCACCCTACTGTCAAAATAAAACATATGGCCAATACTCACAACTTTAAGGAGTTTCACTGTATCTGCTTTGTTTATATCTAATCCATTTTTCACTTTTGGTATGTAGCTTTTTGGTGGTTGAAACTGACCAATCAGGTAGTCCACTAAAATTAAAGAGAATAAAGCAATTCAAAACTGTTGCTAGACCAAGGGACAAAATGGAAAGTATATGGGCTAATGATAGTTCATATTCCTCTTGGTGTAAAATTCTAATTTCACACTTCAAACCAGAATATGCCATTTTTCTTGATTTCTGAAAATTCCCAAAAGTGATTGCAGTGTCCACTTGCTTGCCACTGTTCACTTGACTAGGGATGTCATCAGATGAATTGAAGAAATGGACCATTTCTATTACATATACAGGGCGTTCAATAAGTATTGCTAATTTTGCTATAACTTTTGTTCTGTTTACTCTTTATTCATGAAACTTTCACAACCTAAGGTACGTATATCTGACTTTATTCTATGAAAGTTTCAAGACAATCGAATTAGTATTAAGAAAGTTATGGTTACTAAGGTAACCAGTATCATGGATATGCGGGGAAAATTTCTGACGTCTCTTTGGACGACATTTTGAGTGTTGAAAGCAGTATCATTTAATGCCGTTTAACTCTTGGGATATGCAGTGCAGTTACAAATAATCCATTCCAGAGTCACTTCATGATCCATGTTAACTTCATGAGGTGCTCAAAATAGGCACCCTTAGCGTCAATGCACAGTTGTTGTCTGTTGTGGTCCACATTTTTGAAGCCTGACCCTTAAAGTGTGTGGCTAGGGAGGTGTTCACTGCAGACATCAGCTGATTGAGATTCTGTGCGATATTCCTCTCAGATCCCTTTTCACTGGGGTGAATACAACAAAATCAAGTGGGGCCTTATCTGGGAAATATGCTGCATGGGGCAATGCTTCCATGCCAAGCTCTGTTATTGTATTTTGGACAATAGAGGATCTGTGAGCAGGGACGTTATCCTGGTAGAACGTATAGGTCGATATTGCTCTTTGAGGACATTGAAGTGTGTGGCTAGGGATGTGCAGTGTTCACTGCAGACATCCACTGATTTAAATTCTAGTGCGATATTCCTCTCAGATTCCTTTTCACCGCTGTTAGATAATACATATAATCCAAACTGACAACATCAAGATTTGACCATATCAACAGTTTTTTTTCATCAAAGTGTTTATTTGATGTATAACAATAATTCATCATGTAAACCCTTAAGGTTGCCCCGCGTATCCATGATAATGGTAACCATAACTTTGTCAATACTAAGTCGGTTGTCCGTAAATTTGGATCGAAACAGGTCAGATGTGTGTCGCTTATGTTGTACAAGTTTCATGAATAAAAATGCAAGATAACAAAAGTGATAGCAAAATTAGCAATACTTATTGAACTTAAAGTACTTATGTACTTTGAATCTATACACAAAGCATTGTTAATAGCAGTGTGCAACTCAAATGATGAAACAATATGTGGTTGCATCTGCATTCAATATGAATGCATGGTGTGCTTCCGACACCACAAGCAACACATGGGCACATACAATGTATTTATATTTTATCGGACACTTTAAGCAAGCAGCCCACAATTCTGAAAACAACTCACCTAGTAGAAAGAAGACCTCCTTTGTTGAAGGTGAGCAAGATGCAAACGCCTTGGCACAAAATGTCATACTCAAGCTCTATAAAGAGACGAAATTACATGAAGAAATGACACTTTGTGTAAGATGATTTGATACCAGTTTTTAACATCTATTTAAATTGACATGCCTGTAAACTTAATCTGCAATATATTGTACATCTTAAATATCCAAACTTAATCTGCAATCTATTGTTCACTTTAGAATATGCCTGTTATTTCCTTACTGAAATCTTTATATCGTCATCTTCCAGAGCATGCATGAGGCCTTTCTTGAATTGTGGCCAGTAGTCGCTACATAAGATGTCAGCAGAAGATGCTTTTACTAGACTTATCAAACCTTCAATTCGATTCTGAAAGAATAAATATGCACATTTCTTTCATTCAAGGATTGTGTTTCATTATACTTTAACCTTGTTACAAATAAGTTTTAAATTCATACATACAATTACTTTATAAAACCATTTTAAATCATTAATTCAATCTTAGTACATGGAGTTCTTGAATTCCTCGTGTATGTTCAGTAATGCCCCAAATGTAAAGAATCCTATATAGAAGGGCTGGCTTACCTCTGGGAAATTGCTTTTTTCAAGGTTCTCTGCAATATGCTGGAAATGTTCTTGATTGGGAAATACAAAACTGCTCTGGAAATAAAAGCATTTTCGCAAATTTGAGAATGAACTCAGAGGTAAAATCTTAAAATAAATCCTTTCATTACTGATTTCTTAACTGCTTTTCCTTGTGGATGGACTGATCTCCATACCATTTTTAAGATATGAATAATGAATTAACACCCACATTAAAGAGACACAAGCTGATAATCAAGAGTTCATTTTCATCTAAATTAAACATTATCATTAGACTGATTAGACTGACAAATTTATGAGTATAAAATGCACTGAAAATTATACTTAAATTAAAGTGTGATTTTAAGTTCAAATATATATACTGGGAAATATACTGAAACTCTTTTAAAGAACTTTTAAGAGGGTAGCTTATTTGAGTTTCAAATAATATGTGTCAATTGAAAAATCAACAAAACCATAGCTTTATTTTTTAAAACTCCAAACTTGAAAAAATCTGGAGGAAAATAAGGAGATTTTTATATTTTGTTTATGGATTAAGTTATCCATAAGTCAGATTAATCAAACTTCTCCCTGTACTCAGATATTGTTCTTTGGCAAATTATTTATTATGTTTTATGCATGGAATAATTAAAGTACATTGGATGCTTCCTTTTTAGCAGACTTTAATCAAACTTAGAGTCTTCCTGGCCTGTAATTAGGTTTGTTTTACCCCCAGGGTTTTGCCTTTTTAAATTATTTTTGTTTTGATTATGGATATAAAGTTTCTTTAGACACATCCTTTAAAGCAGACTCTAACAAAACCAGAGAGACAGGGTCTTACAGTACTGTAATCAGAGTTCTCCTTTTTGAGGTTATGTTTATGGACTCATTTATTTAAGACACATCTTGTAATGTCTGATTGCATTTCCTCTATGAAATCAAAAATATAAAATTGATAAACAAATTGTTTTCTGATCACAATTTCTTCCTTACAGATGCAATTATGACTACGAGGTGAGGTTTAGTGTCTGAATTTGTTGAATTGGAAAATTGATCCAATCATAATTATTTCAAATGTTTTAGGAATGCCAGATCCATTTCCCCTTTGACTCGAATTTAATAAGGAAATATCTCTGCATTTTTTCTAATGACTAGACTTAATATCAAAATACTATCAGAAACCATGGACTTTCAAGATATGGGCTTTCAAGGGTATGCAACTTCCCATATTTCATACAGATTGCATTGCCTTAAGTTTTAAAAATATGAAAAAAGCTTGCTTCCTGTACACATTCTAAGAAAAATCTTATTTTTTACTTTTCATGTATAATTTAAAGAAATAACTCAAAAATAAAAACATGATTATTTGCAGCTGAAGCCTTTGAAAGCCAATGCTGCAATAAGATTAAATAAACTAATCAAAATAAACTTGGATAACTACATGAAGGGTCAACCATAGTTAACCCTTGATAATCTCCTCAGTGGTGTCATATTATGGCCCAGGAAGATAAGTGGAAATCCTATTAAAGAAATTAAAACATGTTGACCCTTAGTACCAGAGACAAATGAAAATTAATTTTTGAAGTTAAGTTTATGAACTTAGGGGATGCATCGAAAGTTTGATGTCGGATCGGAAACAAAATAAATCTAGTTTTGACTTTGACCTCCCCTCCCCCAAAACTAAATACCATGAAAGTTCATCTCTGACTTCCGGTTTGAGAATTTGAAAAATTATTTCTAAAAACAATCTAGTAAAGACAGAAAAAGAATCAACTGAAAAGGCTCAGTACAAATGCACTGCCCTAGTGTTTGTTTATAATATTCCTCCACCGACCAAAGGTCCATGTGCAGTATGGCAAGTGATTTTAGACAGTCATATCTTTTACTGCGAGAACTTTCTGGGCATAAATACAGTGGTTTGTATTAAAACAATATGTTTTCTTTGAGGTGAAATACCCCTGACAATAAAAATATAATCGAACAATTCGAAAAATTATGGATTCAAAATGTTGAACCTATTTACTCAAAAGAGGATCTTCTTTTTCTGATTTTTATTGCATGAAAAGTTTATTCAACAAGGGGTCTAAAAGTTCTTCAAAAGTATAATGGTATTGAAAGTCTAGTTTTGAAGATACCAATTTTCAATGACCAAAATGATGCTGAAAACAATGGATAGCACGAGTTTTCCCTATGGGAAAATAACATGGGATATTTGGTTTTTAACTTTAACACATTTCAATACCCATCCCCTCTTCAGAAATTCTTAATATAGTGTAGAAGAAACTTTTGATATGTTTAAATTAAGAAAAACAAGATACTCTTTTTAGAAAATAAGCCTAGCATATTTAAATAAAGGACCCACGGTCCTGTGCTCACACAGTGTTTTGTGCAGCCAATGATGATTGAATTTAAACATGAGAAAGTTCCCTGAAAATGACAAAGTCCTACTTTTTGTAAAATTTTATAGAGTAAACACCAAAAACTGTAATTTCGAGAGCTTTGAAATCTTCAGAGAATATAAGTTGCATATACAATAACTACTACAAGTTGACTTTTTGAAGTCAAAATCAGCAATTTCTCGGAAACCGGGCGAACTTGGGAAATGGCCATGATAGGTCAAATAAGCATTATGGATATGCATAAAATGAATGTGGATATGACTCAATCCGAATAGCAGTTTTAATTTACTAAGTAACTGTGAGAGCCAAAAAGTATCAAGGTGGGATCCTAAACCATAATTTTCAGAGAGTTGGATTGCTATTTTACTATCATGGGGACTTATCTTGAAAGAAAACATATTGTTTTAATAAAAACTACTGTATTTATGCCCAGAAAGTACTCATGGTGAAAGATATGACTGTCTTAAATCACTTGCCATACTGCACAAGGACGTTTAAAGTTTCATCTCTCATGATTATGGAGAACACTGAAAATGTGAAATTATTTTTTAAATCTCTTCATTTAGATCAGCTGGGCCATCAAAGAATATAAAAGATGTCAAAAATGTAAGATTAAGGATTTATCCTAACCATGCGAGAATACTTTTTTATTAACCCTTACCATCCAAATATCGTGTAATCTTACATAGCCCGAACTCAAACGACCAAATATGGTATGGCAAATGATTTGAGACATTTATATCTTTGACCTTTGAGTATTTTCTCATCATAAACTCTACATGTCTCATCAGGGTAATATGTATGCCTCATAAATTCTACATGTCTCATCAGGGTAATATGTATGCCTCATAAATCCTACATGTCTCATCAGGGTAATATGTATGCCTCATAAATTCTACATGTATCACAAATATCATGCAGTCCATTGTATTCAGCTTAGTTTTGGTCACCAAAATATAGTATAAGTTAATGTTATGACTCTGATGATGCATGTTGAAGCTATGCTGAGAAAATACTTATGGTCAAAGATATGACTGTCTAAAATCATTTGTTATACGACACCTGGTCCTTTATAAATGTTTGATCATAGTATACTTTAAAGGAAAAATAAATTTGTTGTTGGATGTAGAATCACTTATGTCTTGGGCTGATTTCTACATGTATTTGTGACACTTCATTCAAAACATGTACAGAATATGTGACAACTGGAGAAATGAACAAACATATCATCAACTAAAGCTTACCTGATTAAATGAGCTCCCAAATGAAGATTCCCCATCACTGCTAAAGAGATTGTGTTTCTGTATAGCTTGACTCTCCTCAATTGAATGCCGAAACTCTTCATCAAAGTTGTCTAACAAATACTGCACAGCCCATTGCACATTTTGCTTTAAGTTCCCAGACATTTCCTTTCGCCTATAATAATTTAAAGCTTCTTTGTGTTCAAAGAAGGGGGAGTTGTTGTTTGTAGAATGAATCAGGGGAGTTTTTTCAAGCATTTCCCTTATGTTTATCATAAAAAAAACATCAATACACTTTAAAACATTTTATTGACTATAAGATTGCACCATATAATCCCAAAATATATTTCTCATTTTCAAGGATACTTCACCTTGTGGGGTTGTTTTGGTTTATATTGCAGCCCAAAAAGGTGTGTATTAAAGATTAACTTTCCTGTTATCTCAAAATCTGCTTGGAACTGTACCATTGGATTTGTATGGGAAATTCCTCAAAGAGAAAATTTTAAGGATTAAGGAATGGGTACCATTTACACAATTTGAGAAATTATTTGCATACATGAAACCTATTTAAAACAGCATTTATATTATTCAAAAGCGAATAGGATTGATGATTCCCAGTCCTCTGAAGTTTGAAAAATGCCTGGGTGCTAATCCATAGATAATCCTTAAAAATGAGAAATATTTTTGGGGGATTATATGGTGCAATCTTAGTCAATAAAATTATTTTGGATGAAAATCATAAGCGAAATGCTTGAAAGAACTCCCCTGATTTGTTCTACGAACAACTCTCCTCCTATGCAAAAAGTTATAAAACAGAGACCTTTTTAATATGAACATGAATATTACAAGATGGACAGATGGGGGTGAGTTAAAAATATACATAATATACACCAAAAAGTTCTCAAATGATGGTCATTTTGAAAATATACAAGTTTTTGAACAAGGAGTCAATATATTTTTTTCTATTGTTAATAAACAAAAAATAGTTTAAAACAGGTGAATCCTATCGACAGAGGTTTTAAAAGGTGCCACTATTGTTGACACACCAATGGAGGGATGAATGAATGGACAGATAGACGGACAGACAAGTGGGTAATTGCAACAGCTTAATAACTAATACCATTCTAGTGATGAACCCATTTACAATGTTGAGAATCTTACTTTAATGATTCTAATAAATCAGAGAAAACTTACTGTTGAGAATGTATAAGTTTGTCAGTAATTTGCTGCAGGATATGTTCATTTCCAGCAATCTGATCATATTGGTCAAGAGCATGCCTATGTAACTCACTGTCTATCAATGGTCCCAGAGATTCCTCCACTTGTGCCCTTAATCCCTTCACCAAGTCATATCTAAATCAAAAGAATAACACATACAATAAATCAGATGCGAGTAGGTAGTTACCAGATTCACCACCAGTTAGCTAATTCAGGGCAAATAACATGGCAGGGTATTAGAAAGTTCCCTTAAATTTTAATATTCATCAGTTTTAGTTGTATAATTTTCATATAAATGCATCTAATAGTTATACAAAATAAAATATGTCTGATAAAAGGAAATATTATTTGTCCAAAACAAGAAAAGATATTTAACTTTTTGTGATTTTATAACATGGGGCTATCCTATGTGCTGTTAGCATCTTTGCTTCTATTAGACTAAGGGTGTAAGAATATAATAGCAATAATAGCTGGTAGATATGGACATAGCTGCTGGTAGATATGGACATAGCTGCTGGTAGATATGGACATAGCTGCTGGTAGATATGGACATAACTGGTAGATATGGACATAGCTGCTGGTAGATATGGACATAGCTGCTGGTAGATATGGACATAGCTGCTGGTAGATATGGACATAGCTGCTGGTAGATATGGACATAGCTGCTGGTAGATATGGACATAGCTGGTAGATATGGACATAGCTGCTGGTAGATATAGACATAGCTGCTGGTAGATATGGACATAGCTGCTGGTAGATATAGACATAGCTGCTGGTAGATATGGACATAACTGGTAGATATGGACATAGCTGCTGGTAGATATAGACATAGCTGCTGGTAGATATGGACATAGCATGGACATAGCTGCTGGTAGATATGGACTATGGACATAGCTGCTGGTAGATATGGACATAACTGGTAGATATGGACATAGCTGCTGGTAGATATGGACATAACTGGTAGATATGGACATAGCATGGACATAGCTGCTGGTAGATATGGACTATGGACATAGCTGCTGGTAGATATGGACATAACTGGTAGATATGGACATAGCTGCTGGTAGATATAGACATAGCTGCTGGTAGATATGGACATAGCATGGACATAGCTGCTGGTAGATATGGACTATGGACATAGCTGCTGGTAGATATGGACATAACTGGTAGATATGGACATAGCTGCTGGTAGATATAGACATAGCTGCTGGTAGATATGGACATAGCATGGACATAGCTGCTGGTAGATATGGACTATGGACATAGCTGCTGGTAGATATGGACATAGCTGCTGGTAGATATGGACATAACTGGTAGATATGGACATAGCACGGACATAGCTGCTGGTAGATATGGACTATGGACATAGCTGCTGGTAGATATGGACATAACTGGTAGATATGGACATAGCTGCTGGTAGATATAGACATAGCTGCTGGTAGATATGGACATAGCATGGACATAGCTGCTGGTAGATATGGACTATGGACATAGCTGCTGGTAGATATGGACATAGATGGTAGATATGGACATAGCTGCTGGTAGATATGGACATAACTGGTAGATATGGACATAGCTGTTGGTAGATATAGACATAGCTGCTGGTAGATATGGACATAGCATGGACATAGCTGCTGGTAGATATGGACTATGGACATAGCTGCTGATATGGACATAGATGGTAGATATGGACATAGCTGCTGGTAGATATGGACATAACTGGTAGATATGGACATAGCTGCTGGTAGATATAGACATAGCTGCTGGTAGATATGGACATAGATGGTAGATATGGACATAGCTGCTGGTAGATATGGACATAACTGGTAGATATGGACATAGCTGCTGGTAGATATGGACATAGATGGTAGATATGGACATAGCTGCTGGTAGATATGGACATAACTGGTAGATATGGACATAGCTGCTGGTAGATATGGACATAGCTGGTAGATATGGACATAGCTGCTGGAAGATATGGACATAGCTGGTAGATATGGATATAACTGGTAGATATGGACATAACTGGTAGATATGGACATAGCTGCTGGTAGATACGGACATAACTGGTAGATATGGACATATCTGGTAGATATGGATATAACTGGTAGATATGGACATAGCTGGTAGATATGGACATAGCTGGTAGATATGGATATAACTGGTAGATATGGACATAACTGGTAGATATGGACATAGCTGCTGGTAGATATGGACATAGCTGGTAGATATGGATACAACTGGTAGATATGGACATAACTGGTAGATATGGACATAGCTGCTGGTAGATATGGACATAACTGGTAGATATGGACATAGCTGGTAGATATGGACATATCTGGTAGATATGGATATAACTGGTAGATATGGACATAGCTGGTAGATATAGACATATCACAATGATTTTGAGGTTCAGTCGCAATTTGTTTATTTAGTAATATTGTTGGGCTAATATATGGCTGATGTCAAATATTATACATTTTTCTTGAAATTCATTATCAAGGGAAAATAGGATGACACAATCTGGAGTATTTATCATCATGCGACTTGACAAACCAAAACAATGAAACAAACTAAAACTTAAAGGGACCAGAAAGAATAAATGTAGTTTCAAATAACATTTCTCATCATTACACTGATTCATTAATATTTTCAAATTCAAGTAAAACAGGTATTCTGCATATTAAATTGTCAATAATATTTACATATCTGAACATATATCTCAATTCTTATTTCAGAAAATAAAATTGGATTGTAAGGAAAACAGTGATATGCTTTTTTTGAACTATACCTTTTCTTTGTAATTCCTTAAAATATAAAAGGTGAATAGATTTATATCAGTGGAAGGTGAAAATAAGCTCTGGCAGCAAACCAAGTAATAATAGTAAAATGAGAACCTATGTAAAATTCAAAAATAATATACATCTTGAAGAATATCACACTACTGAAAATAACTTTGAAAAAAGAAAACTACAAAGCTGAGACTCCTTGACCATTCATTAGAGATTGAAGCAGGAAGATACCAAAATAAAAATGTAAATGAACGCAAATGTACAAAATGTTCAGATAATTGTGTTGAAGATGAACTGCACTGTGTTATGAGATGCAAATTCTACGAAAGTGAGTGCACTATATTATTAGATAAAATTCAAACATTAAATAAGGACTTTTCTAACATGACTGGGGAAACAAGTTCCTATACATTATGTCATACAAATCAAATATGGAGGAAGTCCTGCATTTCATTGACATGTGCTTTAAGAAAAGAAACCTATAACATCGCAACCATTACAACACAATATCTTTGTAGATTAATGTAACTGTATGAATGTAGTTTGTATAATTGTAGTCTGGCCATGCCCTGATAACACATTGGCCGTCCCTTAATAAATTCTAATTATAATTTAAAAAGATTTTTGATTCATAGAGATATGCTGCTTAAAGAAGCAATAGACTTTAAGATGATGGGTGAAATAGATACTATGGATAGATACAATATAAAATTTTAGTTTTAATTGTACCACCAACATAATGGTGGACTGATCTAGGTGGGCTAACAATCAATCAATGCTCCCATGAGTTCACTGTGCAAGCCAAAAGAACATTCAAATAGAGAGTGGATTAATTGCGAGACACCATACATGATACAAACAGATACCTTACCTGTGAAAATCCCCATCTCTCTCTTCTAGATGTACAAGTGTTTCTTCCATATCCTCCACACTGTTAGCATCTTGAAGATAGCCCTTTGTACTCAATAGTAACTGTTTAACACCTTTAATCAGGGCATCCTCTTGCAATTTCTCTACAGTCTCTGTCATTTTTACTGAATTATGCCTCCATTTGGAATATTGTAGAGGTTTTTGATAGTTATATTACAATGAAAATACTATTCCCTGTGACTGCTTTTTATCTGATCCATTTCAATACAAACAAGATCATCTGGAAGCTGAAAATAAATGTTGTATACACATAGATGGCAGAAATATAAATAGGAAATAAAATAAAAATTCTGATATCTGTGTGTATACATGTATGTGGGCAAGACTAAAAAAAATAGTCTGAATTTCAAAAAATTTCAGACTAGAGAGTCTATAGTAGACTATATCTTACTGAACACAGCTGGCTCAAAAGCCAGCTGACACACCGTTAGAATATACCGGCGTGTGAAGCGTTTTTCCCCAACTTCCAGCTGGTGCGCTGGCATAAGTAACGGTATTTAGGAAGATAATTGAATATTACTTGCCCTTTTTTTGGCGCGTGGTGTCAACAAGTTCTATTTGTTGTGTAATTTGCAGTTTAATTGGAGAAATTTCTGTTCCGGCGCGCACCATTCTTAATTTTTTGCGCATGCGCTCAATTTATTCTCTTCATTGCAATGCCAACGGAAGTTCCCAGAGCTGACTTTTTTCAGAGCTGACAGAAGTCAGCTCGGTAGAGTAAACTATATCCTATTTTTACTTAGGTCCAAAGCCTTCTCTATATTCCGGCTTTGAGGAGGAAGATTGAGCTGCCTTAGTATTATAAATATTGTAAATCATTGTGTCACACGCACAGTAAATATGGCAAACTAATATGAAATATACCTTTATGTATAGATTTGAATAACACCAGCTCACATCCCCGTCTGAATCTATTGTTATATTTGATTTCTTTAAGCGAGAATAATTTCAAATGTTATTCACGTCCAGAACCGGAAGCCATTTTTAGCTACAGCGAGAAAATTTCACCATGTGTTGAAACTCCGAAATGAAATTTTGAAATATCTAAATCCAGACAAGCAACGCTTCATCCTAAATATGATTAATATTCTTAAAAATATTTATAAAATTTATTAAAAATGAGTTCTAGGTGCGTGTAGGTGCGTGTAGCACAGTACATACGAAATCAATGAAGTTTCGTCTAGCTGTAAGCTAGAGACTCGAGTAATCCTATTTAGTCTGATGTTGGATACATACTAGAGTCTATAGTCTAGTGTTCGGACTGTAACAGCTACATGTCACAGAGAACTACATATGATTTGTATCGTTTTAATGTTTATTTCTTCTAGAATTATAAGCCTACACTGGGACTTACTATATTTGCACATAGCCACCTTTAGATAGATCTCTCAAGATAATCTAGCTTTGTGCTCACTGTAAGTAAACCGGGACATCTCTATCATCTATATTGATTGTTCAGATGTCTCATGGACTACTACACTAAAAGATTACAATATAATCATAATATTGTACCAAACAGTTTATTCTAATTTCAAATAATTGTGCGTTATTTACCTGAAAAGTATATTCCAGCAACTTTGTTTACAACACTGTCCGCCATGTTGAATTACTGCTAGGTACTTGTCACGTGACCTAAATCGCGGCGTAACCTGGCAGAGAATGCCACTGTGGACTTTTGTCAACAAACCAGATCTACATTATAGGCTAATGTGATAAAATTCGGGATTACGGATGTGAAATATGGAGAGGTGGCAGAGGTACAACGAAGCTAACGTTATTGATATTAAGGTTAAATATTCAACGAAGTCATCACAAGAAAGATCTACTTACGAAAACAATGTTGGGAAGACAGTCAAAATTTGATCGAATTTTTTCCGAAACAGCAACTCAGGAATTGCAGCTGGAAGAATGTCCAGTTGCATTGGCAGAAGTTGGAAAGCAACCAAACTGTTTCAGGATATCTCTTACATCATCTCTAGTCATTGCTGTAGTGTGTGTTACTCTTGTCATATGTCATGAATATGTTGCCCAGCTTTTGTACTGGATGGAATCAATATATCCTGCTGCAAGCTGTGCAATATTTCTATTTTTAGTCATCATTGTCTCATTCCCAATGACGTGGGGATACCTTTTACTCAACATAGCCTCAGGATATTTATATGGACCAATTTACGGTTTGTTTTTAGTCTCCACATCAGCTGTTTGTGGCATTCTAGTGTCAGATCTGATCATTCGAAAATGTTTATCAGAGCTTGTTGCAGCAAATTTGAAGAATGAGAGCCTTTTAGCTTTGCTGAGAGTTGTGGAGGGTCACCAGGGATTCAAGGTGGTTGCCTTAGCCAGACTAACTCCTATTCCATTTGGGTTACAGAATGGAGTATTTGCGGTATGTATCATTATTATCTGATCAGGTAAATTATACTGTACAGTACTGTATGTGTACAGTGTATACATGTACACACTACAGTACATGCATATACATTTTTGGCTCACACAGTGAGCCTATGGGATCGACCAGGCGTCCGTCCGTTGGTCCGTCCGTCCGTCCGTTGGTCCGTCCGTCCATCCGTCAACATTGACTGCACAAATTAAAACTGCTATTCGGATTGAGTCACATGCACTTTCATTTTATGCATATGGTGGACTGATTGCCTTATACTTGATCATTTCTTGCAATGAATTACATCATTACTAGATTTAAGCATTCCCTACATATTGCTCGGTATATGTCAGCTTCATATTTTTACAGTTTTTGAGATATTTGACATCAAAAACTGTAAAAAAAAGTTATTTTTCAACTTGTATCAATTTGACCAAATTTTTTTTGAAAATCATCTACAAGTTGCCAGGAGTTCAAATCTGACATTAGTTTTAGGATTTGACCTTTAATTGACCTTCAGTGACCTTCGAAAGGTCAAAAAAGTTGATTTTTCAAATTTATTTTTGGATGTAAATTTTGGTCAGCTTAATCACAAAAGACCTTACTGAGCTCTGAATAATAAGTAAAATTTTCAAGGTCAAAGGTCATTAAACTAGGTCACACAACTGTGCTATCTAAGTTTCTCAAAGTTCGAGACTACAAATCCAAATCAATATTCTTGTTTGAAAGTCAGGATGTACATTCCTCTGAAGGTTCCAAACTGTGTGAGCACAAGACCGTGGGTCCTATTTTTAAGTATGAATGGGGCTACTATTCCAAAATTTGTCATTTTGAAGAAGCATTGAGATAATAATTGTGGATAGAAGTGGATGGACCTTCCCTAAGTGGTATAAAAATGGCTGTTTCATGCCAATGTTTGCTTAGTTGCCCAGTTGATATATCGCATGTTATAGATGGTGAAAATATCAAAGTGGCAGTACTTGGCAGCCTCATGGCTTGGCTTACTTCCTACACAGTTGCTCAACGGATATATTGGCTCAACACTACGTTCAATGGAAGATGTTCTCACAGACAATAAAAAGAATTTAATGGGTTACATAATGTTTTCTATACAGGTGAATAGCCATCATCAGACATGTTGCATCTCTGTCTCTAATTTTTTTTATGTAGTTTCCCGTAATTCACCCAAATTTATCTCGAAGTTGAGTGTGAATTCATTGTTAAACTGTCGGCTCATTTGATCTCTCAAATGAGTGAACTTATAAGTTAACCTATATTCACTCTATATAAGTTATTCACAGCATATTCATGTTGTAGTTATAGGGAGGTTAAGTTGCATATTTTTAAGAGAACCTGTACGTGAGTGTGTAATATTTCGACCCTCGGGGATTACTGTCCCACTCTCAATTCACTTTCCCACATACATAATGACAATTATTTTCTGTATACCTTTATACTCAATCAGTCAAGTAAACACTACAAATGGAAGAACTAATCCACTAGAAGCATAATTATAAAAGTTTGTTATGCAGAATATGGCATATTCATGGTTGTGTGGTATTAGTGATACGGGTGAATATGCCATACTCATCTGTGCCAGTGGTATATGGCATATTCCGCAGGTGAGTGTGCCATATTCCGCAGTTAATATGTGATACATTGATTTCAGTGAAAACCCGATACTCACCAGCGGAATATGTCATATACCGCAGGTTAAAACACGATACAGAAAGCCTCCATTTGATTGGTCAAAAGAATCGACTCTAAATAAAAAAAAACTACGCTGAATTACTAATATTGTTAGCGTTTCGAGTACTAATATATAAATCTTGGATTGATTAAGTAAGTTTATTATGTGTAATTGCTTAATGATACTTCTGAAAGTATCAGAAATGTGTAAAATGTGATTGCCAATACAACAACAATAAATAGTCATGATTTTGTAAGTTGTATAATACTTATAGTCTTTGTCAAGTGTTGATTTGGTTAAAAAAGTCAATCATAAGCTCAAAGAACGTAGGTTCGTTTGTTTATTGAAGTGTGTATTTGCGTGTTACAACACATACAAAAACGCTCTACTATACCTAACCCCTAGAAATGCATAAGATACTCTGTTTGTCTAATTGTATTGTTTAGTATATTTTTGAAAGTACTTCATCAACATTAAACAGTCATCCGATAAACCATTAACAAGGAACAGACAAATAAAACCAATGACATATTCATTACTAATAAGCCAAATGGGTTGCTCATGAACATCAAATGCAAGGTATAGTAGAGTAATAAAACAACATCAAACAATACAGGTACCACTGGTGAACGTTAATCAGTTGTATTACCCGGGGTTTCACTCCAATATACTTTTTAATACTAGTACTTATGTGTCGCCCCAAAGACCCCCTTTTTGAGCATTTTTTCCATGTCAATTTCCTCTCAAGATTGAAGGTTTCCATGTTTAATTCCTCTTCGACTTATAATTGACTAAAAAATAAACTTTTCTACATGTAGTGATTTGTTCCAGCCCTTAACAACTGATTTAACGATTTTTGTACAATTTTTTTGTAGAAAGACTGAATTTTTGACATACAGTAAAACCTGAGTTAGTGAACACATCTCTCTAATGAACACCCATCAACTGTGAACGTTTTTATTCGGCAAAACATTTTTCTCCCATTGACTCCCATGTTAAAGTACAATCCTACAGTGAACACCTACCAACTATGAACAGTGTACACTAAATCCTGGCAACATCAGTTGAATTATCCTGTCTCTAGTGAACATTGAATCAGATATAAGATTTCTCGCAGATTTTCTGCAACTGCCTTATTATAGTTAAGCAGTTTATGTTTATATTACCTGTCAAAAATAATTAAAAGGTCAATTTGAGATCTTGATCTCTTCTATTGAAACAGGTGTGACTAATTATAATTCTTTATAAGCTTTGTTTTTGTAACACAGGATATGTGTCTGGGATTGATTGCTTGCAGATAATCTGGTTAACTATTATTACCAAACTAAATCTTTTTCTCATCCCATCAATTTAAAAAACAGATCGGATTAAAATTATAATTCATGATCATTTCACTATAACTGAACCTATCATGTCCTTTAACTAATTCAATAAAGTCATTTGATTGACTCAAATGTCTCAAAGATTCCACTTGTCTTAAAGGACCATCTTGATGAGATAAAAAGAATTATAAAGGGATTATTTGACAATAAAAGGATGAACCATTCAGACGACAGTTAGTTTGTACATGTATATAACATTACAACAAATCAAATACTTAACCCTAGAGTGTCATGGGTTAATATGGGTAGAAAAAACAAATTAAATTGATTATTCCCTCCTCTCGTTTAATAGCTGGTCTCTTTATATAATACGTCAAATGTGACGAAATCAAATCATTGCTGTAGTGAACACCTACCAACAGTGAACATTTTTTCTCGGCAAAAAATTGTTCACTATACGCAGGTCACTTTACTTTAGACAATTTTCCATGTTTTTTCCTCTCAGATTGGCCAATTTCCATGTTTTATGCACAAAACCAAAATTGACTGTGCTGCACATACATGTATCTACCCAAATTATTTCATAAACCTTTACTCGTTCTTTCAAGCGATGCTATTAACAATTGCGCACTTCCTTATCACATTCTCATTGGTCAGTGAGTGTGCCATATATCGCATGTGAATCTGTCATACACCGCAAGTGAATACCATATATGCCATATTCATTGCGGTATGACATATTTGTATCGTGTTTACCACGTAACAACGTTCACGTACAAGTTTATATAAAACATGTATCTTTACCTCCCTACTATGTATATTACACAAAACCTTTACATGTAATTAAACATCATGCCTCAAATCGATAACCTAAATACATTTCACTTAAAAAACTTACCAGTAGTTTGACAAAGACATTAAAACTGAGTTTCGTTTGTTTTTATCACTCTCATTGCTAATAAAATCTGTAATTTGTTTTTCAGATCTTGCTTACAATAGCTCTAATGATATTTGTAGTACGTAAAGCACGCCAAGAACTGAAGAAAATAACTGAAGAACATCAACTGAAAGTCCATGATGATAACAAAGACAATCAATTCATTCCTGTAACAGTTGATATGCAGAGGAACTTGCCAAGTAAAGTACAGCTTAGTGGAGAGTTAAGTTCTGGGTCTGATGAGACAATACACTGCTCCCGAGTTTTGACTCCAGTTCATTTGCAAAAAGAATCTCCCCTAGGATCCGTGTCTTTCACTTATGGTAAAATCGGATTCAATGGTTAAATATGATTATACGGTGTGTCTCCAAAAAAATGTTACACTTACAAAAAGTTCAATATCTTTCATGATTTGGGCTTTTCCCCTAAAATATACAATTAGATACCAAAAGACCAGCCTTTCTCGAATAAATCCACTCCATCAGAGATAAAATCCGTCCATGATTGGCTGCACAGGACAGATATCATAGACGCATGTGAAATCTGATTTGCGCCAACTTCTCAGTGGTTGGACATGTGGTGATCAATTCTTTTTTGGTGTGAATGCTGTGGACAGTGAAATCTTGATATGATCAATGATCCAGTTGTTTCTTTCCTGGATAGAAATGCAACATTTCATTGTCAAAGGTTCAATTTGGCTACGTTTGCTGGCAACAGGATGGTACAAGGGCCTGTGGCAGATTGTTTGGTAGAACTCATCTTTGGAAATCAGAAAGTAGCATTGAATTACCCAATTGATTTGCACCCAGGGTCATCCCACTTTAGACCCTTGCTTTTTAAAGGGCCTCTGAAAGCGCTTTACAGCATCACAAACTAACCTATATGAACTTCTACAAAAATAATTGATGGAATCAGTGTGATATTACCGTGACAATGCATGTTCGCATGGGCAAGGGTACCTCAAATTTGCTTTCACATTCAACATGTTGAGGGGACCCCGTGTTTATGTGGATAGACAAATGACCATATGTTAGACAAATAGGAAAATGACTCGCAAAGGTCAAACTTCTGCTCAGAAGAAAGTTAAAGGCCCCATATAAAGTTTAAACCACTTTGGCTTATATTGTAGTCTTACCCAATGTTATCAAAGTGTGATATGTGAAACTTTTTTTTTAAATTTCAAAAAGTGGTTTTTGATAGACTTTTTGTTCCAAAATTTGTGAATTTATTTAAAACCAACTTTTAGAGGTCACTCATATCTTCTAATTAGCCACAATTCATACCAATGCATAGCATTCATCCTCCCATGTTTTTTGCCGAAAAAATTAAGAAAATCGGTTCATAAATAAGCGAGAAATGAACTTATCAGTGCATGAAAATTGTTCTGAGAAAAATGCATTTCAAAATTTTAGTTCTCATTGAAACCAATGGTACAATGCTATATAAAACATAAATATTCTTCCTTTTAACCTGGTTAGACAATCAACATTGGTTTTTTATGAAAGTCTAACATATTTAGGAAAGATTGACGTCGAAAAAAAAATTTCAATTTTTTTTAAAAAGTTTTTGGTACCTTAGTGACATCACTAATGTTTCAAAATATTTTTGATATGCTAAAACATTGAAATGGCCCATTAAATATGGCATTTTATCATTGAAATAGTGTGTCCTTTGTTCAATCTTTGCACTGGTGTTAAAAATATAATCTTTTTTGAAATGCATTAAGAAATATTTGATGATTAAGAAATTTCAACTTTTTTTGAAAAATGGCGGGAAATTTGAATATTTGAGAAATGAAATGCTCACTTTTTTTTCAAAAATATTTTTTTGTTCAAAAATCTCTAAAATCACTTTTTAAGTGCTGACAAATAGTAAATGAATGATAAAAAAATATTTTCAAACTTTAGACGGGGACTTTAAATGTTAAAGAAACTGTTCCTCTTGTGTCATATGGTCCATCCAATCACTTAGAACTTGGCGCAAGTCAGACTTTACTATGGGACTTTAAAAGCTGCCCTGTGGAACCAATCAAGGACAGATTTTGAATCTGATTGTGTCAAATTATTTGAGAAAGATTTGTCTGTTGGTATCCAAAGTAATTTTATGGGAAAAGTCAAAATCATGAAAGATATTGAACTTTTTGTAAGTGTAACATTTTTTTGAGATACTCTGTAGAAGAGATTGCTGTGATATTGTAATAAGACACTTCAGCACAAAGTTAAAAGTATGATTTTCTGTTATCTTTATTTTTTCTATAGATTTACACCTTTAAATAGTAGTACTCTAAGTCTTATACAGGGCGTATCAAAAAAATGCAACAAGTAGTTATCTCAATTACAAAATTATTATTATTACAAAACTATCGATGTCTACATCAATTTCATTCAATGTACCACAAAGCCACGTCTCTCCTCTTTGCAATGATATGTTATTCATTCACATGTGGTTATGGTTGGGTGAGAAATCCTTCCATTTGCACAGTGGGTCTCGGCTCTGGACCAAGTTTTAGATATTGAAAAATCAGTGCAAGGGCTAAGTGCCAATGGAAGTTCCATTAACTTGAATTGTTGTGACTTTTTCTTTTGGAGCTATCTCAGGAGCATCTATGCTCACAATTCCTCCACCAGATATTGCTAAACCTCGAGAAAGAATTGCTCACAATTCCTCCACCAGATATTGCAAAACCTCGAGAAAGAATTGCCCATGAGCTGCTTTTCTCTGCTTTAACCAAAAGATGACTCGGGGCTGAACCATGCATGACGTGGACAGATGAGCGCATCTTTATGTGCAAGGAAGTGGTGGCAATTTGGAGGGGTATAGGGTGTATTGTTTCAAGAGTATGAGTATGAACACTTAACTGTTTATGCCACACCTCTCACACCTTCTTCCAATAGCCCCTATGCCCCTTGTACAGACTTTTGCAATGTTTAAAACTCGGGTTCGAGCTGAATTTTGCCCCACTTTGTGCAAAATTAATGATTTATCCGCCAGACATGACTCCCTGTGAATGAATGATATTCCATTGCAAAGAGGGGTAATTTGGCCTTTTGGTACATTGATTGAAAAGGATACAGTCAGCATTGGTTTTATGTTTTCCTCCAATATTTCATTGGGCTCCGTACTTTTGCGATGTTTATAACTTGGTCCCAAGCTAATTTTGTCCCACTCTGCAAATGGAATGATTACTCGCCCAACCATGACCAAATATCAATGAATGATATATCATTGTAAAGAGGAGACACATGGCTTTACTGTGCATTGAATGCAATCAATGCTGATATCACTGGTTTTGTGCTTTTCCGAGATAACAATCTGTTGCGCTTTTTTTAGACGCACTGTATGCGTATTTAAAAATTAAAATATAATACTAAACACATGCTGCAGAATCAAATAAGATACCATAGTCATAACTGGAACCCCCTAAAATGTGTGCACAACAACCATTTCAATTTTATGATAGTAGGAAAACTGAAGAATATGTATCATGCAAGGATTTTATCCTTTGGTGTTGTATAAATTCGGATCTCACTTATATGAGATAACAATTTATGCACTATATTATTTCTATTAGAGCAAGACACACAACTACAAGTCTTCCAGTATGGGCAGGCAACTGTAAAATTAGAACCATATTTGAATGAATAATGCTGTAGAGCTTTATTTTAGGATCAATGAGCTGACTTACTACTATCACACCAACCTATTTTTCACTACGTTCTCGAAAACGGGCTGAACGAACTGCGAATGAGTAGACGTACTGTTTATGAGCGAAGTAGCTGACTATTTCAGACATATTTCCCGACCACAGCCAGATTGAAACCGTTTTACGACGTTTTCGTAGGACTGTCACTCGTTCTAATTGTAGAACGTATCGACCACGAGAACATTTTGACCACGAGAACATTTTGAGCATGTTCTAAGTTCTAAAGGACCTACCCATTCGAGTACGTTCGATGAAGTTTGTAAATAGACCCCAAGCGGTTCTAAGTACGTCCAGTCCGTTCGTACACAGTTGAAGCCCGTTTTCGAGACCGTAGTGAAAATTAGTTTGGTGTGATAGTAGGGTAAGCAGATGTAGAAAGTATGATGGCATCATGTCGCTTGAGGACATTGATTTGAACTGGTATTCAATCAAGTTCATGAATGATAGATACAATGTATGCAGGGATCCTTTTGATGTTGTATATTAGAGGAACTAGAAGGGATAGAGACTAGCTGAGGATAAAATGTTGCAATTATTAATCTTCAGAAATCGTCCCAATGTTTTCCCGTCATTACAATCCTATTTTATTTTCTACAAAAAAATAATCGACGGATCAAATATAGAAGTAATTGAAGATTTGAATGCCGAAATGACAAAATTCGTTAGAATTATTTATGTACATTCTTTATCAACATTTTGACGAACATGGAATGGTGAGAAAAAAATATTTCAAAAGTGGGACTGGGACAATGTTTGAACTAATATAACTTTATAACTAAATGAGTTTATTGCTAGACTCTGCGCAGGGTGCTTTCCTCTGTGCTGCTATTAAAGTGCCACTACATCGATGTATAGTTTTTATGACTGCAATTTTAATGCATTTTTGTCATTTGTACTGTCAATAATTATGCATTGTACACAAGCAATTTTCAGCTCTTGCTGTTTATGTATTTGGCTAATGTTCAAAATTATAACGAAATAAACTTGCACATTTTAGGAAACAAATTTGTTGATGTGTTTAAAAAGTCTGTAGTCCACGATTCCCATATCAATCTGCGCGCCTACTAGGCACTAGGCACGCAGTTTGAAACTCTGACAAACTGTGCGCATATTTTCAAAATGGAAGACGGGGAGGACACGACTCCCTAAAAGATGTTGTTCCCGCTGTAAAACTAGTTATCTCAATATAAGGGACTTAAGTAGCTTAGATGCGCTGAAAATTTACATTGTTAAGTTATATTTATGTCTTTTTATCGTAATTTGTCATTTTTTCAGCCATTGTATCTATGTATGCTATAATATATAGGATCGCTCCATCTGATTAAAGCAGCAAAGTTTGTGTTCAAAAGGTAATACGCCATAAACGTTATTTAAACATTTTCCTGTCAAACTGCGCATCTATGTACGATATTCACATGTATTTCCAAAACTGCGTGCCTAATATTTCCAAACTGCGTGTCTATCCAATCTTGTATTTTTATTAGAAAACGTAAGCAACACTCCCTCTCCCTTTACCAGAAGAAGTCCGCAAAACTTGCCAGTTACGAAGATAATATGCCCAGTGATTCTCCTAAAGCTCCTCAAATAATGACACCGCCTCTAGATTTTGACAAAACAAATTTAATACATGCGTTTTTAAAAAAGAAAGACCAAAAATGACCAAAAAGGAAGCTATTTAAAAATACAAGAGACTCGTTCGAGAATACACTAAATACAAAATACTGTGAAACTTTCCTTTCGATCAGATGTCCTCTCAAATCTCAAG